AGGCAGAGGCAGAGGCAGAGATCCAATTGATGCCGCTGCTGCTGCTGCTCCTTCTGCTGCTGCCACTGATGCATTGGGGGCCAGGCCAGCGATCTTCGCTCACTTGACTTAATTAAACGCTACAGACAGACGGACAGACGGACAGACGCACAGACAGAAGCCACAGTGGGTAAAAATACATATCAAAGGGGAAGTTCAGATCAGGTAATGGGGGACTGGGACTTGGACTGACTGTTCTCTTGGGTGCTCAAGGGGTCTAGCTGTGGGGCATAATGCTTCGCTTATCGCTTATCTCGGTATAGATTACCCGTACACTTTGCGGTTCTTCATGAAAATAAGCATCAGAGTGGATAGTGGATACTGGATCTCGGCAGATTCAGATTCAGATTCAGATTTTGCCTTCGTTCTGTGATGTTTTTCTGTTTTGCATGGGATTTTCCCTACCATTTACATGGCCCACGAAAATGATTGTTGTTGTTGTCTCTATATTTGCTTGAGTTGTCAGCGCCAGCGACGAAAAAAAACGTTGAACGTGGAACGTGGAAAGGCAGCGCTTCAAAGGAAATCACATTGCGTATACGCAATGTGCAAATAAACAAGACGACAAGAGGCACAAAAAAACAAAAACCAACCAGAAGAGAATCGCAAACAAACATGGACAAAATCGACGGAAGCCAAATGGCGACAACGTTGCCAGTGTTGTTGTCGTTAGTCGTTTTCTAGTTTTATTAGTTCTGCCAGTATTTTGGCCACACGTGCCAGCCATCCATCCATCCATACATCTATCCATCCATCTCCCTAGTCCCCAGAACTTGCGACTCGCGAAAATGTGTTTTCCTCCCTGACTTTCCGGCTGTGTCTATGGGATGTGTGTGAGTTTATGTATTGGAACAACATCATTTGACTGTTTGCTGCCTGCCGCTTGATTGAAAACGAATCTAAAGATATGGCAAGGAAAGGGGGAAAGGGCAAAGAGGTTGTGATGATATCTTACTCGAGGATTGGTATTTTGTCAGGCTTTTAGATTCAGCCTCTTTTATTTTCGTAATTTTGCTTAACTTCTGGTATCATGTTTCCTTTTGGAATGCCATCAAGAGGCTTTTAAAAAGTATCTCTATGGATGTTTGTTAAAGGTATGCGAAATAGACAGCCCAAAATGTTCTCTCGTCAAATATATCTAGCAGTGAGTGAAGTTCTTTTAGGCAAGATCATGGCAGATCAACAGTCATGGAATACCCGCGAACAACCTGTTGTCGATTGTTGGTTCCGTTTGGTTATCTGTCTGTAAAGGCCATTGCATTGCATTTTTTTATGGCGACAATCGACGCCAGTGAGCAATTGTTTGCCATTGCCTAGGCCAACACGACGAATGAGCAATGCTTCCTTCCATTCCCCATTATTGACACTCCACCTACCTACGGGTATGCTTATCTCTCTGGAGGTGTAATCATGCAAATATTTTATTATCAGAGCGTTTACTGAAGTGAATTGAAGTGTTCCTACGGGCCACACACTCCACCAACTCTGCAGATGGGGGGCGCGTGCTATAATTACGCGTACGATTAAAATAAGACAAATAAGATACGGTCTGGGTTATGTATATCTGTACTTGAGTGTGCGAGTGGTGCTTGTATTTGTTTATGAGCCGATAAATCACTTCACTGGACTCTATTCGAGAAAATCCAGCAATGACACAATGTCGCGGGCCAATGAAAATGAATCAAATATAATCACATAAATAACATTCAAATCATAAATAACCAACCAGTGGAAGAGAGCGGCAAAGAGCGAGCAGGGAGAACTGAGTGAAGGAAAATTTATATGAATTTTATTTTTTGGAAAAACTTCCGCTGACGGCGGAATGGCAGTGGCAGTGGCACCCTAGGCAGCAGCAGCAGCCGTGGCAGCGGCATCTTCTGAGCCGAATGTGGGTCACCAGCGAAGCTGCCAAAATAAATTGTCTCTTATTCCGCCACTCGGCGTGGCATCCGAATATTTGGAAAATAATATATTTTCTGAGAAAAGATAATAAGCAAAAGTGCATTTGGGGATAAACCCAAAAGCTCAACGGGCGAACAATGATCGAAGCGCCGTAATGACTATGCAAATGAATGGAATGGGTGGAATGGGTGGAGTGAGCGGAGTGTACTGAGTGGTATGACTGTGAATGTGAATGGCGGCGATGAGTTCGCAGGCAATTTGGCTTGACAGATGGCGCCAGTCGGCGTGTCGCATGCAATTTTTGCTGATTAATTCAATGCAAACGGATTTAATAACCCAATCCCCTCGATCCCCTGACATCCCACATTGCAATGCGATAACCACATGCTACTGCTACTGCTACTGCTGCATGTTTCCGTAGTGTCTCCAAGTTCCCCTCTTCTGTCCCGCTTTTCACCATTTTCCTCGGCGACTCGTTGATGGATTTGCATGAATCATTGGCGGCCGCGTCACGCTCGAGAGGAAAAGCGAGTCGCGGGCACAAATGAAATGAAATGCAAAAAAAAAAAGTGTACAAGAAGAAATATTATTTGAAATATGAAAAGTTATTTTAATGCGTCTTGTCGCTGCCTGTCTGCGTTTGCGTCTGCGTCTCTGTCTGTCCCCCCTCCTGAGTGTCTCCTCTCCCGCTCTGGCTGTGTGCTAAATTTGGGGAGCAGGCAACAGCAACTGACGACAGTTTTCCTACGTTTGCTTTTGGCTTAGCTGCTTGGTTGTGTTTGCTGCTTCCTCTCGCAGTTTCTGGCTGTTGTGCCAGACTTTTCCGGAAGCGCGGCGCGACAGCAGCAGCCGGCTTTGACGTAGGCACTGGCCATAGTTGTTGTTGACGCACTCGTGGCATAAGAAAATACCCCATTGGCGAAGAGGCCAATGAGCCCTGGGGCTGGAGTGTATCGAATTTCAGGGCAGAACTAAGCAAATATGCACAAAATCCATCTTTGAATCTATTTTCCTGTTAATGTGTGTTCTTCCTTGGAATAGAAATTAGGGAAACACTTTTGTTAAATGTCCTTTTTATATTACACATCAAAGCCAAGTTCCCAATCAATCGGGATCAATCGGGATCGATGGCCATTCAAATGAAACCTCCAATGGCATTCCAATGGCAATGCCAATTCCGATGCTCCCAAAAGACCAATGGCCTGAGGAGTCGCTCTGTATAGGTACAATACAATATTTTTTAAGCGCATAATTAAGTCATAATAAGACTGGTGGAGGTGGTTGGGGGAGGTTGGTTGACGAGGGCCAGGCCAATATGATATGCCAATTTTTGTCCGAACACATGGAGAAGGCAAATAAAATGTTCATCTTATTATTCTGTGCGGGGATTTCGGGGCAAATCAAAGCATGAGCCGCAGGGAGAGCAAAGGGAGTTTGAGTTGAGTTGGTTGGGTTTGGTGGTCATGGCAATTGTCAACTTGTTTTGCGTGTGCTCTGCCTCTGTGTGTATCTGTGTATCTGTGTGGTGCTGCCTTCAATTCGTAATCGCCTTGTGAGTCGACGTTTCGGGTCTCTGCCATACACACACACACACACACACACACACACACAGACACAGGGACAGTGGGACAGAGTGACAGAGGGACAGAGAGGGACAACAGACAATTTGGGAGCGTGAGAAAGTGGCGCGCACAATTAAAATGCTGCTTTATGGCCCGACGCTGGGCCCCAACATAAATTATAAACAATAATTTATCTTTGAATATATGTATACTCGAGCGTTTTGATAGAATAAATACACCTATCTACATATATAAACATCTATCTATATATCCATCATATGCGAGTATACCATACATTCATATATATCAAACAAATCCCAGACCAGACCTCAGTCTGGCCACGCGATCCTCGTCGCATAAATTACCATTCGCTCGGCCTTAAATCAGCGCAAATTTTGAGCAGACTGCTTGGAACTTTGCGCATCTGTATCTGATAGATACACCGGCATACACTTGTGTGTGCATTGCATAATGAAACACACAGTAGAAATGCATTTTCCTGGCCGCACACACCCACCGCCCAGAGCAGTGCAGTGCCAGTGCCACCCACCTCAGAGCAGAATATAACAGAAGCCCCGAAAATAGATCGACCAATCGATGAATGATCATGATCATCAGGGTATGAATCACTGAATCACTGGGACAGCGCACGCAGATCTCGATTAGCATGTGACGAGTACTTGGACACTCACTGCGCCCCTCATGGCACCCTCCCCGGCTCATGGGACACGTGATATGGCGGCTAATTTAGGCACTTGACAGCGCGGGGGAGTGGCAGATAGCCACTCGAGACAGAGACAAAGACAGTGGGAAATGGGCAGAGACAGAGGCAGAGACAGAGGCAGAGGCAAGTTTCATTGCCAATTCGATGGCATGAGTCAGTGGTGCAATTGGCTAACTCATATATCAGCGGAATGTGGTGCTAGTTCTGTTGATAAAGACTGTAAGACTATGGGACACGTGATGGAAAGTGCTAATAGTCAGAGCTAATTCAGTTGTCTAAGGTCTGAGAGCGATAAGGGGCCACATTACAGAACATCCGATAATTACAAATTGCAAACAATCGCTTTTCTTTGAATCATACAATGGCTTCCCCTTTTCGCACCATCATCACAGCTTAACCAATTTTCCAGTCCGTAAATCGGTGCTGTCTGAAAGTTGCAGACAAATTAATTTTGTTGTTTAACGATCTCCCAAGAAGCTACCCAAGAACCAACATACACGACGATCATAAAAAAATAAAGAGGAAATTTAACTTAAAAAATCTCAATAATTTCTATTTTGCTATTTTGTTTATGGGCCGTCTGGGAATATACAATACAAGCGCGTCTCCTAGTATTTAGTATACTTCGTACAGCACATAAACAAAGGTGAAAAAGGTGTGGAAAATTCCATACTCAAGATGTACCCAAAGATATTTAGCTAAGGAATAAAAACTCAGCAGTGAAAGAGCTCTGGAAATGCATAGCCTAATGTTTTGTTTGGTGTTCCTTACAGCACAGAACGCATCGATCACGTCGATCACCTCGGTGCCGAACAACACGACCATCGACCATGGCCGGGAGCTGCGGATCATTTGCAAGGTGTCCGGCCAGCCACCGCCGAAGGTCACCTGGTTCAAGGATGACAAGTCCATCAATCGCAAGCGCAACGTTTACCAATTCAAGCATCACAAGTAAGCATCACAATATACTCATCTCTAAATTCTGATTCCTAAACTTTGAACCAACTTTGTAGAAGACGCTCCGAGCTGATTGTGCGCTCCTTCAATAGTTCCTCCGATGCGGGCAAGTACGAGTGCCGTGCCAAGAACAAAGTCAGCAAGGCGATCATCAAGCGCCGCATCATGATCAATGCCTATCCAGGTGAGTGCTTGAGTGGAGGTGCTCTGGCTGCTGTCTCATGTGGGTGGCTGGCTGTGTGTCCATGTGGCTGTTGCGACACTTTTGTTGGTTGCTCTACAAATTCGAAATGCTCCAATTCGTTTCTAATTTATGGGCACATTCGAAGGCGACCAGCACGGACCAGCCCACCCCCAGCAAGACATCAGCATACACAGCATAAATTCCGTGTAAATCATTTTAATAATAATATTAATTCGAATTAATTTCGAATCGTTTCAGTTGCCTCTCGGCCGGACCAGACGCGCAGCTCGGGCACCCCCTGTCACTTTACCGACTTTTGCTTCCACGGCGGCACCTGCATGCTGATCCCGGATCTGAACGAGTTCTACTGCAAGTGAGTACATATATTTGTATTAGAGGAGCGTAGTCTCCGTAGTCTCCGACTACAGCTACGCTTGGGGCTGTTTCGATGTGGGTCTCCTCGTCTCTCTCCCTATCTTCTGCTGCACTATCTCTGTGTGTGTGTGTATGGAACTATCCTGAGACTCGTCCGTGTGTTTTTGTGTGTGATCCCTAACTCAAGTGGTTTTTCTTTTTGTTTGGGACCTGATAAACCCACGCTCATGTGTCAGCTGATAAAGGCAGCTCTCCCCTCCCTAGCCCGTCTCCCTTTCGCAGACTCCCCCTGTCCTCTATATATATCTTGTAATATTTTGGCATCGCATTACAACCAGACGAGACGGGAGAGCAATTAAAAGGCAACAAATTTGTTGAGGATCGGGCGCTGATGCTTAGCCTGAGGCTGATGCTGATGCTGATGCTGGGAAAGAGTTCTCCAGAGAAGACCCAAAATGCAAACCGCGTGAATGTGAGCGTGAGTGTATGAGTGCAATGTGAATAATGTCTTTCAGCGCCTCGTTTTATCCATGTGTGTGTGAGTGTGTATAAGCAAGCCGATTCGATTCGATTCGATTCGATTGAATCCCATCCATTCCAGTGGCATCCCAAAAAAAAAGCGCATTTCACTTGAAATACAAAATATATAGTATATTTTATTTTTTATTTTGGTAGAGTACCAACGGGGGAAAATCAATTTCCATTTCCATGCCATAAACTGCCAGAGTGCTCTTTCCCTTTTTTTGTTAAAAATCGTTTCATACACTTCATTTGTTTGTTCTTTTGTTTATATTTAAGTGGTCTGCCGAATGTTGCAACGCAGTTCATGGCCATTTTCCCTTGGTTTTACCCATTATTCCTTTTCCCATTTTCCCCACAGTATGTTCATATATGCACTCTGAAAGTGTAAAAAGCGAAAGCGAAATACAATTTATACTAATATTCATCTCTCAACTTTCTTTTTTGTTTCTTTCAGTTGCGCGAATGGATACTTCGGCGAACGTTGCGAGAACAATAGGCTCGAGAGTAGGTACAGCAATAATCCCCAATCTTGCGAGAATTATCACGGAGGTTTTTACTGCTAAAATAGGCACTTCTATAGCATCGATTGTTTTAGATCGAGTCACATCGCGACAAATCGAAACTGAACCGAAAAACAAACAAACAAACAAGAGAATAAAAACAACTCAAATAAAATGAATAAACAAATTAAATCAAATCGAAAAGAACTCAGTGCCGATACCAAAATAATTAATAACTAAACATAATCTCCAAGTGTATAGAAGCGAACCCAACGAAATTACCCACACACAGCACAGCACATTTCACCATTATCCGTCATCCATTGTCCCTTCAAAAGAAAAACAATTTAAGAAAAACAGAAACAAGAAAGTGAAATAAACCAAATATAGTGGATAGAGCGACACTTAAACACACTCACACAGAAAGTACAAATAAAGTATGCGAAATCGGATCCGAATCATAGAACCACTATCCCCGAAACCACACTCCACAAGTCCAACCTTCCCTTCCTACCTGCTACCCGCCCTGCTATCAGTCAAGCTAAAAGTTTTATTAGAGAACACATTCCAAAAAGCAACAAAGTAAAGTCTTAAAAACGAAACGAAACAATAAATAACTAACAAAGTTGTTCAAATAAATAACAAATAAATACGAATAAAAACAAAGGGTGCTATAGAAGGTTTATTTTAAATAGTTTTTTAAATATAATCTTAATTTAATATCAAACTCACTCATCACACACACCAACACACACACACATACACACAATCGATTAAAAGTTAAAAACAGCAAAAACAAAACAAAATTATGAAGCAACACTCTGACAGACGGACAGACGAGCGGACGGACATGATGGAAAATCGGACAGATTGACGGACACTACAAATACGAGGATAGGATATCCCCAATGCGAAAACAGAAACTTATCGAATCTTGTTCAATACTCACACAAAAAACACACACTTATACAAACAAAATGAATATCAAGGATGAATATCAAATGAATAAACAGAGGCTCTCTTATGTTAGATACACACACAAACACTCAACACAACACACATAACAACAAAACATACATTTACCCTATACATAGAGGAACATTTGCAACAAACGGCAACACACTCATCCACAAAAAGCAATGTACTGAAACAAAAAGCGGATCAATACGGAAAACGGGAACTGAATTTTGTTTTGTTTTCGATCAAAGTTTTTTGTAGTTGGCAAAATATCCACACATGAATGAAAACTCTCTATTCAGCGATGTACCCCACATGAATAACGAACAATACAACAATAATTAATGATTTGCGATTAATTTTAGTTCTTATGTACTCGTTGTTAGATATCATATTAACCCTTTGGCTGTAGATTTTGACAAACCGAGACACCAATTCAAACAAATACCAAACAACTTCATTCTGCTCCCTGTTAACTTTTATTTGGTGGTTGTTATTTTTTTTAAATATTCATTTGTAATTTTTCTTTTGACTAATCTCTGCATTTCCGATTGGGTAACTCTGTTCACTATTATTCCTTAGTTTTTGCTCGTCTCGTTCAAAAAGTTCCGCCGCACCAGAGAGAACTTGAGCCTGTTTCTGTTTCCAAGTGCATATTTTTCGAATCGGATGCTTTCTTTCTCAACATCTCTCTGCATCCCTCTGCATGGAACTCATTCTTTCGAGAGCGCATTTGATGCTTGTAGTTGCCCCCCTTTTGTAATTCTTTTTTTTACTTTTTTGTGGAAACGGTTTTAGCCAGCTAATAGTTAAACGTAAAATGAAACGGAAAGCAAGATGGAAGATTAATTTTTAATTTTTATTTATAATTTAATCTCTTCACAGATATTTTGTTGCAATCTACGGCCAAATACAATACATACCCTAAATAACGACTATTAATGCATAGAGTTTTGTTTTATTATTTTTATGATTTTTATAAACGAAAAAACAAAAACAGAAACGAAAAGCAATCCCGCAATCCAACAACGTCGACAATTGTAATTTTTTTATTATACCGAAAAATTAGTTAATTTGTTACACCGTCAGATTAAGCCCAATATCCGAATGCAATGCCATTTACCATTCACACAATTTGCGACTACAAAAAATTGTAAACACTTCAAAATACTCGTACTTGGGAGCCTCCTCGAACCCTGAGTGACCCTTCTTTTCCAAAGTCAAAAGATACAGATACAGATTTAGACTGACTTTTGCCTAAAGGTTCTGTTTGAGAATAATTTGAATATAAAATGCAGAAACTAAAACGAAATCTGAATCTGAACTTATGAACTTAATTATTTTATAGCAAAGAAACGATCAAGGATTGATGTTTGTTGAAATTTGTAAAGCGGAAAGCGAAAATCATAACCAATTTTGACCCTGAACCGACTGTCACTGACACTGTTGCGCTTTTGTTGTTGTATCATAGACATTAAAGAAAGAGATCAAAGCTTGACGTAGCCGAGAACTTTGTAATAAATCCTGTAAATATATCTCTCGTTTTAAAAGTAACTTTAAGTTTTGTGTACATTTCAAGTAAGTTAATGCCACCAGCCCTTCTTTCACCATAATTTATTGTTGTATTTAATTACACCTAAATTATAAATTTGTATCTTTAAGCGTGTGAGTTAAGCTCACACACACACGCAACACCATCACTCACACACACAAACATCCTATAAAGCTACTTAATTTCGAAATATTTTTATTTTTTATATTTATTTTATTTGTGCTCGTTTCTAATTTTGGCATAAAATTTGAACACTGAAATTAAAAACATGTACTATGTATAATTGCAAATTTAGTTATGTTTTTTTTCTCACTGTGTATGTTGACATCAGTTTTTATGGCTAGGCGTAATCGAGATTATTTATAGTTTTATTCGTAAGTGGAAAATTTTTTATATATTTAATTATTGAAAGATTTATACCAAAAATACCATGTAAAGTTTAATTTTAATTTAAAACAAAATATTAAACAAACAGAAAAACCAACAAAAAAACAAACAAACAAACAAAACGATGCGTAAGAGAAAAAGAACTTCATTAAAAATTTGCAAATAATTCAAATACAAAATGGATTGCTTTTTGATTTGGTTTTGATGCCCTTTTGTTTTCCAACTTCCTGCTGCTTCTTCCTTTTGTTTGAATTAGTGGAAAACAAATTATTCTTTTGCTCTTGGTAATTCTATTTTTGCCCCGCTCGCTTTTCCCAAAAAATAGGCATCAAATAAAGGGTTTGAATTTAATATTTATGTATGAGGCTAATTATCCCTTGGCTAAATATTTTCTTCGTTTTGTCTCTCGACAGGCGAGAACTTCAACCCTTGATGGACATAAGGAGTCTAGCCGGAAAATGAGAAGCTTGAATAGTTTTCGTAAAGAAATGGATCTCATGCTTAGTTTTAGTTTACAAGAAGACGGCTAATAAAATTTTGAATTTGTTGCAAAGCAGTTTTTTTTTTGTCTTGAGGTAATAAATGATGAATGTATTTAAAAAATGGGAATATTTCGCGGTTCATTTACTCTGTTTCGATTGAAGAAACACGGCTTTGAAACTTACACAATTCCTCATCAGGTGTCTCTGTTGTTAATAGCATAAATGTGTAGATAATATGTAGGAAATGTGTAAAGGTAGTTTTTTGCGATAGACGGCATTGATCGATAGTGTCCTACTTTTTGTTACCATCTTTAGCTCCCTTGTACGTTTTGCAACACTAGTTGCCAAACTACAAAACAGGAGTACTTTTAAAGGTATACCTTTAATACCTTACCCCCAGGATTGATACATCGGATTAAATTATAGCTTTAGCGCGGAGACTCCTAACCAGCTAGTAATATTAAATATAACTTAAAAATCAAGGAAAATACCATAAGATTCACGGTATATTTACAGTATATTTTTAAAATGCAAGGCTATATTTCAGTATATTTTCGAGGGTTTGTCGGTATATTTTATCGATAGTTCCGCGGTCACACCTTTACAAAAGCTTCGGCGGCGTAATGAAAATATTGAAAATTACCACTTAAATTGACTAATTCAAGAATTGAAAGCATGTGAATTACAGTACAAAAACAGGACAGTAAGTACCGAACAGACTTCATGCAACTCTTGCTGCCCACCATGCGGTCTGTCCCATTTCTTTGATGATCATTTTGAAAATGAAATAAATTTCTTCTGTTTTTAGGCCGCTGGCGAGGTCTGCTGCTTGGTAGGAGAGTTGAATGGCACGCAAATAAGCGAACTGTGTGGAACGATGCACTTTGGTGGTCCACATCAATGTGCAGTTCGAGGAGTCCGAGAAGGAGAGCGACATAGAGCAAAAAATGCACATTAATTACAGATAATGTGAGTATACATGCGGTACATTGATATAGTTTATGGGTAATCTGGTGTGTGATTCTTACTCAACAGTTAGCCAATGAAGAAGCTGGCAGCAATGCGAAGAAAGAACGCAACCATCAGCCCCTGGAAGTCGATGTCTACGGCACGAGAGTTACAGGGATGCCATGATTGCGCAGGGAAAGTCGGCCTATGCACTTTCAGGATGAAGTGAGCTTTCCTTTTATAAAATTGAGTAAAACAGATGCCCCAGCCGTACCCTGCAGCCCTTGATGGATTCAAATGATACAAGAGACTCCCGCTAGCGATGAGACATGGCTCGTCCTGATCCGACAGAAAACAGCAGAGCTATAGCGTTGTCAAAAATGTTTTAAACAAAATGTTAAAATGTCATTATCCTTAATGTCCTTGCATCGAAAGTGATTGCAAACGACGCAAGGCATTGTCTCAATCACAAGAAGGCGCGGCATGTTTTTATCGGCCTTCAAATAAAGTATAAAAGTGTTGTGTTGAATTTATGCTGTACAAAAAAAGTTGTTTTTGTTGTACGGCAACTGCATAGTTTGCACTGTAGCGCCCCCGATGGCAACTACGGGAACTAAAATTTTAGTTCTAGTGCAACTGATGATTTTTAGTTCAATAAATAGACGTCATGATCGTGGCGCCGCCACTGTGCAACCGATAATTTTTAGTTCCAGAAATAGCCGTTGCCCAAGCGAGGTCGCCACTGTGCACCTTGGAATTTCATAGCGACCAGCTTTTGACACAGTGCAAAAAATGGAAACCAGTTACCTTCTGCTGACTTCTGTTCGCCTGGTACTTGGTGAGGAAATATTCCAGTTTTCGGACATTTGAGCGAAGCTTTTTCAACATTTATTTTGTTGATTTCTCAATAATTTGGGGCCGATCAGGACATGCCACACCTCCTCGTGATCAGGAGAATGTCCTGTATCGTTTTTAATCCTTTCAGATGCAAGGACCTTTAGGATATTGCCATTTTAGGGATGTTTTTAAATATAATCTCTACAACGTCAAAGCTTGGCTATGTCCTGTCGGATCAGGACATGCCACACCTACTTGTAATCGGGAATCTCCTGCAATCACTTCGGATGCAAGGATATTAAGCCTTCACAAGGATACTATTTAACTAGAATCTATGCACCGCTATAACTGGGCGGTGTCATGTCGAATCAGGAAATGTCTCCTCTATTCTTTGAGCCCATAAAGGGTCTCAAAGACTGCAGGATATATCTGTTTTATGCATTTTTGTAATATGGATCCTTTCAACCTGAAAGTATGCCACGCTTTTTATTATTCGACAAAACTTGGTTCACTTCATGTTTGCAAAATTGGTGGATACATTTGTTATGCTAATCTTAACCTAATCCGATGTGCTCTCATTCTTATATTGGAGATCGTCCACTTTGATGAAGAACATGTAATCCTGATCGTAAGAGTCGCATGTCTTACAAAGAAAAGTCAGGTTTGCCCGGAAGAACGACCCGCCAGCCTTCTTCGATCTTCTGCGTTGGAATGTTACCGATTGCAGTAACGGACCCCATCGGCCATCTGTGTATTGGAGTGCTGCAGCTGACGCGTACAATCCTCATCCTTCAGCTCCATGAAAACGAAAACGGGTTCGATTGCCTGAAACAAACGAAAGGAGAACAGGTAAAAGGAGAGCTGCTAGAAGTGTAAATATACACCTTACCTTCTCAGTGCCACATCCACAGCCACACATTCGAGCTCAAAACATTCACACAAGCCCAGTGTCTGCTTCGTATCGCCCAATTTGGGAGCAGGCAAAGTTGAAGTCAAAGCAAGCATGGCCCAGCAACAGTAAAAATTGATTTTCGTAGACCTACTTTGAGGATCTTGAACGCATAGACCAACTTGTTCTGCGCAACGTTAGCATCCTTGTGAAACTAGCTTAAACAACTCTGGTGGATTAGACATCGACTTCCAGGGGCTGATGGTTGCGTTCTTTCTTCGCATTGCTGCCAGCTTCTTCATTGGCTAACTGTTGAGTAAGAATCACACACCAGATTACCCATAAATTATATCAATGTGTACCGCATGTATACTCACATTATCTGTAATTAATGTGCATTTTTTGCTCTATGTCGCTCTCCTTCTCGGACTCCTCGAACTGCACATTGATGCATGGGTATCCCATGTGGACCAGCAAAGTGCATCGTTCCACACAGTTCGCTTATTTGCGTGCCATTCAACTCTCCTACCAAGCAGCAAACCTCGCCAGCGGCCTAAAAACAGAAGAAATTAATTTCATTTTCAAAATGATCATCAAAGAAATGAGACAGATTCACATGCGAGCAAGATTCGCATGCGGTCCGTTCGGTACTTACTGCCCTGTTTTTGTAAGGTAATTCGCATGCTGCGGCATCCACCATGACTTTTTATTGTTTTACTTGGGTTTTCAATTCTTGAATTAGTCAATTTAATGGTAATTTTCAATATTTTCAATATATTTACGCCGCCGAAGCTTTTGTAAAGGTGTGACCGCGGAATTATCGATCAAATATACCAACAAACCCTCGAAAATATACTGAAATATAGCCTTGCATTTTAAAAATATACTGTAAATATACCGTGAATCTTATGGTATTTTCCTTGATTTTTAAGTGTTTGGCAACTAGTGTTGCAAAACGTACAAGGGAGCTAAAGATGGTAACAAAAAGTAGGCCACTATCGATCAATGCCGTCTATCGCAAAAAACTACCTTTACACATTTCATTCATATTATCTACACATTTATGCTATTAACAACGAGACACCTGATGAGGAATTGTGTAAGTTTCAAAAAAAGTTTCGCCGTATTTATTTCATATACCGCTGGCAGAACACAAATTAGTTTTCGATGTGGGCTGAAACATGTCTAGAAAAATAATTTTCTTCACATGTTGAAAATGTAAAACTATATTTCGGTATATATTTTTAGGGTATTGCGGTATATTTGATCGATACATCCTCGTTCACACTGAGTTTCAAATTGTTCAGCATTGATTGTCAGCGCGTTTTTGCAATATTTTTTAATTTCCTTGAATTTTATTTTTATTTGATTGTTTTGAAGATGTCTGCGCAAGCCACCAAGAACTGCATTACGTTGAAAGGATCCGCACAGATTATCGTGGAGTATTTGAGTAAGTAGACAGCACACAATTAACTTCAACAGCCCGCGCAATTTGGCGTCTCCTTTGTTTATTGGCCAACAGAGTACGGAATCCATTCGATTTTGTTCCAACGCGGCATTTACCCGGCAGAAAACTTCGACAGCACCCAGCAATATGGCTTGACCATTCTGATGTCCAAGGACCCAAAAATTGAGACGTTCCTGAAGAACGTCCTCAGCCAGACCGAAGGTGAGTCGGTGCCGGAGCTGGTGTCTGAACTTTACAACATTTGTAATGTTAATTTCTGCGTTTGCCTTTTGCAGAATGGCTCTCCAAGAACATGATTAACAAAATCTCAATGGTCATCACAAATGCCCATAGCAAGGAGGTGCTCGAGTGCTGGGACTTCAAAATGCAGGCCGAGATGGGGGACAACCAGTCCGCCGATCCCACCCAGAGAACTTCCAGTAAGGAAGTCCTCCGCATTCAAAACGAAATTCGCGACGTGATGCGCCAGATCTCAGCCACAGTTAGTTACTTGCCGCTGCTCGACTGCATCTGCACATTCGATGTGATGATCCACACGCTGGAGAACACCGAGCTGCCGGCCAAATGGGATGAGACTGGCGCCATTGTCATTCAGAATGCGCAGGCAGTGCAGCTGCGTTCCTTCTCAACGGGCCTGCACAAAGTGGAGACCGTAGTCAACTACAAAATGAGCACCTAGCCCAGTGATTGCTTTAAATATTTATTCATGCTCATGCTATATATTTACACATTAAGTTAACCGATTAACGATTTTGAGGGTTGCATTAAAAGCCAGTTGTGAAGGAAGTTTTGATAATCTGCCCGCCGTCGCCGACGCAGCTGTCGATTCAAATGCCATCTAAAACACAAAGACAGAAAGGGGGACAGTGTTAGTACAGAAAGGGACAGTGTTGAAGAGGCAGAGAGGGTTGGAGAGAGAGTTAGTTAGTCTAGGCAGGATCTGGGTGAGTTGGTTGTGGTTGTGGCACACAGGGAGTAGCTAACTCACACTACCTATCCTAAGCTGCGCTTAGTTGTCAAGTCTGTTGTGGTTGCTTGCTTGCGCGTCGCTGATGTGACTTCTCGTCTGACCTATCATCTAGTCTGTACCAAAGTATTTCTGTCCAAAGTGATTGGGCGCCACGGGATGCAGCTCAGAGGTGAGGATCTTCAACTGGGGGAACGCATTGACCACAGTGCGGGCGGCCACAGGCGTGCAGAACAGATTCGATAGTATAATGCACTTCTCGGGCACTCCATGCTCGCGCAGCACGTTCACAGCCTGAAGCACAGTGTTGCCAGTGGACATGATCGGATACATCAGCAGGACCTGCCTACTGCCAATGTCGTCGGGAAACCTGGCATATACCACCCTGGCCTCGTGTGTATTCGCATCCGATTCGACCAGGATCTTGCCTATCCTTATGGACCGGCAGCAATCCCGCAGGCCCTGCTCCATGGCCTCGCCAGACCGAATGATCGACACGCCGCAGTTGCCGGATCGGTACTTGAGGCCCTCGTAGATGGCACCCGTGGGAGTCTCCACGTCACAGTCAGTATAGGGAAGCTGGTTGAGGGACTCCTCGATCACCAGACGAATCAGCCGGTCGGCATAGAACTTGAAATCGCTGCGGGTGGTGTTCCTTGAAGAGAAGCGTGAGGTAATATTGTTTCGCGCACTCTTCCTCCGCCACCTACTTGTCCCGGATGATGGTGAGCAGCTCGGACACTTGGGAGTTGCACTCCAATAGCTTCAGATTGCTACCGTACTCCGCCAGAATCTCCTCCGCCTTGGCAGCACCCACAATTGCATGCGTGGGCGTTCTCAGTGGCTGTTCCGTTGCCTCTTGTTCCGGCTGTGGCTGCTGCTCAGTAGTGGCATTCGTCTCCTCCGGCTGGGAGCCATTGCTGCTGGGTGACCCGGTGCACATAATTTGTTTTGACAATTAAGTTAGATATAAATAATTAAATTTGTGTCTTTGTTGTGCCTTGTGCCGCGTGCCCGTCAGTGTGACCGCGGAATATACCAAAATATACCTTCTCATTTTAAAAATATACCGTAAATATACCGTACTCTTAAATCAATTTCCTAGATTTTGATGTTCCATTTGATATTACTAGCTTGCAAAGACTTTTAACACTGAAACATAAATTTAATCTAATTGAATAATCAATTATTAGAAATGTACATGTGTGCATGCAAAAGTATGTAAATTATTGACAGAGACACATGTATGTTACTTGATATCCGCGTGCCCGTAATAAGAATTTTAAGGGATTCGATACATATTGAGTCGTGTCGCTACAGCGATATACAATCAAACAGTTATCGGAAAGCTATGGGTAAATTCAAATCGCCTTAATTTAATGACCTAAATTAACATAAAATGCTAATAAACAACAACAATGTCGGCGAGACAGACATCCACCCTATTATGCTTAAAAAGGGGAAAGCATTCCGCCTGGAACTACCCAAGAGGCGCCAGACTGTGGGCATCGTGCTGGTATGCGGCATGGGCGACACCGGGCAGCTTGGCCTTGGCTCGCCAGTTTTGCTGCTTAATCGCCTAACAATGGTGAGAAGAATACCGAATCCTGTGGATGTTTGCGCTGGTGGGATGCATTGCCTGGTTCTGACGGAGAACGGAGACATCTACTCGTTTGGCTGCAACGCTGAGGGCGCCTTGGGGCGGAGTTCCAGTGATCCGGACTGCAGAGATTCGGTGCCCGCTTTGGTAGATTTACCCGGAAAGGCGCTATGCATCTCGGCGGGAGATACGCACTCTGCATGCATACTGGAAGATGGCAGCGTGTATGCTTGGGGATCGTTCTTCCACTCGCACGGGAGCATGGGTCTGACCGACGATGACAATAAGCGCGTACCCACAAATATTTTGCCAGGAACTGTCTGCTGCAGCATTGCCTCAGGATCTGATCACTTGGTCATATTGACCACCAGTGGAAAGGTCTATACACTCGGATGCGCCGAATACGGCCAGCTGGGGCGCATTTCAGAGCGCTCATTGTCCGGAGAGGGTGAGTTTTTGCCCAAATATGAGTATATCTTAAAATATAGAAGTTGTGTCTTTTACCAGGCCGCCGTGGCAAGCAGGACTTGCTGCGACCGGACCAGATAGTTATCAAGTCCGCCAAGCGGTTCGACGCTATATGGGCCACACATTATGGCACGTTCTTACGCGGATCGCAGACGGGAATTATCTGGGCCGTGGGCTTGAACGATAGTAAGCAGTTGGCCAACGAAAAAGTATTGGAACCGGATCACTTCATTTATCCGGTGAAGACAGCGCTACAAAATATAAAGCAGATTGCTGGTGGAGCTGAGCATACACTGCTGCTGCAGAACAATATGGAATGCTTTGCCGTTGGTTCGCCACATCATGGACGCCTGGGCCTGGGCGATGTCAAGGACGTGGTGCCCAATCTGACGCGTGTTAAGAAGCTGTCCGACAACATTGTCTATGTCGGCTGTGGAACTCACTGTTCCTACGCTATTACTGAGGATGGAAAGCTGTACTCATGGGGCCTGGGCTCCAATAACCAACTGGGTGTAGGCGATGGCGATGATGAACTAGAGCCGGTTTTAGTCAGCAGCAAGAACACACAAGATAGGAAAATGCTGCTGGCATCAGGCGGTGGCCAGCATGGTCTGTTTTTGGTCGAAGCTAATGCAAAGGACTAGCCAAGCACAGGACAGGCGTTTTTTAATATAAACTTCACAGCAGAGACTGATGCTCGCCAAGCGAGGACCATGAACTAAACACACCAAGCAAAAAGCGACTAGACTAAAACATAGAAATAGATATTTGACTACCAATTTGATTTTTACTTGACTACAAGTTACACGATCTGCTTCAGATTTGCTTCAAGTGAAACACGAGTCCCCATAATGTCTGCTGCACGATGGTGGCATCCATCGATAGGGAAAATAAGTCCATCGATTGTGAGTCACAAACGATAAGCGTCTATGCATCGATAGTACTATCGATACCCTATTACCTCGTGTTCGCTCGCAAACAAAGAAAAAGTGCATTTGAATTACTGATTATTAAACATTGCGACCAGAGGCAGTTGCACACAATTGCGTATTTGATAAATTGCAAGGCAGATTGCTAAGGCGCGCGTTGGCAATTCTCGCAGTGTGTATGTTTGTGGCACAAGTGCGTGGTGCGTGCGTCGGTGTTAGTGAGCGTGTGTGCGTGTGCGTCTGTGTGTATATATTTGTATTTGTATTGCTATTAACTAATAAACAATAACCTTCGGGGCCAAGAAAACTGCCCTCCGCCTGTTCCAACAAACCGAAACAAAAATAAAATCGTGCAGCACCGTCTGCCAGTTTGGGCTCTTTCCGTATTCCGTACACCCAAAGAACCCAAAGAAACCGTAGCAGCAGCAGCAAAAGCAACAAATTATCCAAGCAAAAGCCACAGAGGCAGAGCGGAGCCAAATTATTGTGTGACGAAGCATTAAGTTAAGCGACACCACGGCAGCCACCAACAGCACACAAATGGCGGACGTGAGCGATCCCAGTGAGCTGTTCGACCTGGAGCTCCACGAGGACGACAAAGCGCACGACTCCGACGACGACAGGATCGAGCTGGACGATGTAAGGGCGAATCGTAGCAAATAATCAAACTACGCAGCAAAAATTTCACCAGCAGGCAATTTCCCCTTCTCCATTTTACGGGGGCGGAATTTTCCTCTTTGTTTACCTTTTCGCCTTTGTCTCTGAAAGCGTCTCTCCTATGTCTGTGCCTCATCTCCATCTCCACTTGCAATTTCTACCACAAAGCGGTGCCAGTTGCCAGTTGCCTGGTGCCTCATCATTATGAGGAACTCGGCTTATCTGCTGCGCAAAAGTACACATCACTTCGCATGTGGCGTCATCATCCAGCAGCAGTAGCAGTAGCAAAGATTATTCAGCATGTATTATAATGCACATTCATTATATACCGCAAACTAGACACCCGTGTCAATACTTGCCGCCATGCCATGCCCCGGATCCAATATAATTATTCCGTTCTCTCCTTATAAAACAGCATTATGATCAAGGTATTGAGCAAACAAAGCAAGCCCCGACACAGACTGAAGCCAATGTCCTTCAAAATAATCAGTTCAAATTACCCAGCCGCAACTTGAGAGGTTCGTTTCCTCTCTTCTTCAATCTTAAAAAAACACAGGAATACTGTAAGTGAGAGAATAAGAGCCAACAAGAGACAGAGAGCGAAAGCGAGGTGGAGAGGGGCTAAACTTCCACTTAGAAAACGAAATTCCTTATCAGTGGGTAATATAAAATTAGAAAATGAGAAAAACCTTAGTTTGCCAGCCGGCCGATAAGGTGTAATCGAAAAGTGAGCAAGAAATGCCGAACGATGATGGGACTGGCGCGTGCAGTAAACTGTTGGGGGCGGGTACGGAAGTGCAGTGAGGGGAATGCTATACCTTTGCTATAGCATTGTAGATCCCCCGCCCTACCATATCAGTGCTGTTTCTTATCATTCCCAGGAGGGTCTGGGTCTACACCCAGTTCGATGGGCTGACAATAAAAATTTACGCAAGCGCACACAGCGCACTCTACTTGAAAAGGGGCAGGCTTCTTCCCTTCCCAGATATCACCAGTCTTTCGAATTTGTGTGAACACTATAAATTATGACGGATTTGTTAATTGGAATTCACCGTCAACGCTGACGAGGTGAACCAGTTTTAATGTGCTGATGCTTGCTAGCACGCTGGCTGGCGACGCCTCCCCGCCATTCAATTGAACTTTAGTCAAAAATATTATACATATTCTACACACATTTTAAGCATGACGAGAGCCAGGCAATAGCTCTGCCTCTGCCCCTGCCACTGCTGACTGTTTCTCCTTCAGCTTTGCCTTTCCTCCTGCTGCCCACCCCAGCGCCAGTCCGCCCCTAACTGTGGCCTTCCCCAGTTGGAGCAGCAACAGCAGCCGCCATCACAGCAGCAGCAGCATTGCCGGCAGATTATTTGGCATTGTTCCGAGTTCTAAATTTAGTTTGTCATTAAAGAAAAAGGTGTATGCGTGTAGAAAGTGTATCTACATATATGTAGCTCTCTTTCCCCCCTGAGCATGTGTCTGTGTGTGTGTAGGCAGATCAGAAAGAGGGAGAAATCCATTGGGTCCACAGTCACAGACTCCAGAGAGAGAGAGAGAGAGCAGCGGCCTGGGGTCTCAGGCAACCGATCTCTACCAATCTCCCTTTGTTTTTTGTTTAAAATAAACTTGTGGAACTTGGGGTAGTATCGAATAGTCATAGATTTTATTATGTGGAAGTTTCTGGTTCCTCCAAATAGTAGATAATTATCCAATCGAGATCATGTTATAGCCCAAAAATTAATGAGCAAGTTATAATTGAAATTAAAAAAATCCCCCACAAACTTAATATAGAATAGATTGCGAGTAAAGTTAGTTTTGTTCCGGTTGTAGTTGTGGTTCCTCAAAACAAATCAAGACCCACCGATCGATTAAGAGTATCCGGACTTCTCTCGCTAGTGTAGGATGATGAACAGCTTTCCCTTCTGCTTTTGGTTTCTCGGGCTCGAGTTCCAGTTGGAGTTCGTAATAATAACTATGATTAATTGTTGCTCCCTCCTACGAGTATGCTCTCTCATATGTCGTCATCTCACGCTTCTCTCTCTCTCTCATCTCATTTGCAGGTTGATCTAGAACCGGAATTGTGTATTAATCTGCACCAAGAGTGAGTAATGCCAAAGCTATGTCGGTGCTACAGAGGACGAGCATTACGTGACTGTTTGAGGAGATGTCTGGACGAACGTAGATAAGTTTGGAAGGAGGACAAATGAGCTTAATTGGCAATTATCAGTCTGGTAGTTGTTTACAAGCACTGGACTAGCTAACATCTGACTGATTCCGCTTAGAGCCTGATCCCCGGTCAGACGGACGAGGCTACACCCTGTGCGACTCCCAGACAGCGATAACAAGTCGAGATATACACACACACAGTAGTGTCGCAGCGGTGCGCAGACCCAGACCCATTCCCAGGCCCAGGCCCAGAAGTGTTTACAACTGCTATTGACTGGCAATGAGCTGGGACGCCGCCTCCTGCCTCTTCAATCGTTGGAGGGGCAACGTGCAAACAAGACACACGGCAAAACACTCGACGGCATTGTGGCATTGGGAGGGTGGGGCGCCTAATAGTGGGTGGAGAGGGGGATGTAGCGTAATGGTTGGGAGCAGTGCGGAGGTGACGATTGGCGCGTGCAGCCCGATGGGATTTATTTATAGCACGTGGGCTGCTCCTTTCCCACGCTAACGTTGCGACAGACGCGACGACAACAACGACGCAAGCAGCACACACTGAACGGACCAGAGTAGAGCCGACCATTAAGCAACGAATCCCTAACTAATCTCTCTCTAACTCTCACTCTCTCTTGACCAAACAGCACTGAGGGTCAGGAGACCATACAGCTCTCCGAAGAGAATGTCAATCCGGGCCAAATCAAGCTGGGACCCAAGGACTTTGAGCTCAAGAAAGTCCTCGGCAAAGGTGGCTACGGCAAAGTATTTCAGGTGAGTTCTTTCCTACTATAAGTAGAAGATGTTCCTTCAATAACGATGCCATTTTCATTTTGCAGGTGCGCAAGACCGCTGGACGAGATGCCAACAAATACTTTGCCATGAAGGTGCTCAAGAAGGCATCGATAGTGACCAACCAGAAAGACACAGCGCACACACGCGCCGAGCGCAATATACTGGAGGCCGTCAAGGTTGGAGTCCCAGTCCCCCACCCATCAATGCAATTGCACATCGTATCCTATATCTATTTGCCCTTTATAGCACCCCTTCATAGTGGAGCTGGTCTATGCCTTTCAAACAGATGGAAAACTCTACCTTATACTTGAATATCTGAGCGGCGGCGAGCTGTTTATGCATTTGGAGCGTGAGGGCATCTTCCTGGAGGATACCACATGGTAGATATCCCTCTAGAGATCAGGAGTACATGCCGTATCATAATTGTATTGCATTACAGCTTCTATCTAAGCGAAATCATATTGGCACTGGGCCATCTACACAAACTGGGAATCATCTATCGCGATCTAAAACCCGAAAATATATTGCTGGACGCACAGGGCCATGTGAAGCTAACAGATTTCGGCCTGTGCAAGGAGCACATACAAGAGGGTATTGTCACCCACACCTTCTGCGGCACAATTGAGTACATGTGCGTGCGCCTGCCAATCCTTTTCTTCATTTAATCCGTTTAATCGAGATTAATCCGTTTCGCCATTGACTTGCAGGGCACCTGAAATCCTAACTAGAAGTGGCCATGGCAAAGCCGTCGATTGGTGGTCCCTGGGCGCCCTCATGTTCGACATGCTCACAGGAGTGGTAAGTGCAACACGTGCCATCGATTTTGCCTTTTCCTTGCCGTGCCTTCGCCTTGGCCTTTGTTATGTAACAGTATGTGTCACTGTTCTGATAGCCGCCCTTCACCGCCGAGAACCGCAAGAAGACCATCGAGACCATTCTTAAAGCAAAACTCAATCTGCCAGCCTACCTCACACCCGAAGCCAGAGATCTTGTGCGTCGCCTCATGAAGCGTCAGGAGCCACAGCGCCTTGGCAGCGGGCCCGAGGATGCGGCGGCAGTCCAAATACATCCATTCTTCAAGCATGTCAACTGGGACGATGTACTGGCCAGGCGCCTAGAACCGCCCATAAAACCGCTCTTGGTATGTTGAAGTAACTCATGGATCGTATCGGTTGCACCATAGGAGTATCCTCTCATATTTTATTGCTAATTTGTTTTATCTCTTGTGTGATCTGATCCAAACAGCGAAGCGAGGATGATGTTTCACAGTTCGACACAAGATTCACAAGACAAATTCCAGTGGATTCACCGGATGATACAACGCTGAGCGAAAGTGCCAATTTAATTTTCCAAGTGAGTAGATTGATGGAATTCGGGTAGCTTCTAATGGTAGATTTCTTAATGATGGTTGACCTACGCATACCTTGAATAGTTCTGAAAATCTATTTAAATCTCCAATAATATTACTTTACATTTCGCTTCACATTTAATCATCTAGGGGTTCGCTTTTTGGGTGGATTTTCAGAATAAATACTTCACTATACACTAAACAGTAGATTAATCCTATAAATACGGGGAGGGACCCTCAGTGATAGTCTGCACCGCATTGAAAGTGTGGTTCCTTGAGGGGTATACCCGTTGGTCCGTCCGTGAACTCGCAGAAATTGAGGCCAATGCGTCGAAAGGGATGACACTTGCTCTTGGGATTACCCCATTTCCCACGATACGTAAGCCAATCGGGCACAAGGGAACGCCCTAAGAAAGCAAAGAGTCAATCAAAACTGGCTCCAAGCGGAGAAAATGCAAATAAATCCACTTACCATATGATCTTAGGTTCTCGTAGCTAATGTCAACAGACTTCCAAGTGTTCCAGGGCGTACCAAATCCATTGATATCATAGAGACGAGCCACTTTGACGAATCTATGCTTGCCGGGTGCCGTCCAGAGGCCATGTGACCCTTTGGCGGCAAACAGAACCGGATGGTTCTTGAATGTGGTGACAGTTTTTGGAAAGTTTGGACGCTGCAGGATGCCCTTACGCGTCTCCTGGCGTCGAAACTCAAAAGAGCCCGTCAGCCGATTGTAGGTGTAGAAGGCGCCCGCATCGTGGGCGGACACATACATGGCCTGGGGCTCGGCATCACCGTTGAAGTAGAGGCTCATGTGCTCCCAGTCGCCCACATGGCTGCCGATATCCTTGCGATGGCCAAGGCAATAGCCGTAGACAGCCGGAAAGGGTATCCGACCAAGTGGACCCAGACTCACGGTGCACATGGTCTTGCCCTGGCTGTAGGGATAGAACATCCAGTAGGTAACGTGGAAGCCTGGCAGTTTGCCCTCTCCCGCATTCACCTCCTGCTCGGGTGACTCTCCGATGCTATTATTCTCCTCCAGGTTATCCTCCGGCCCGGCTCCGCCACTGAACTTGACATTATCCGCCAGATTGGCTATAAAGTTGTTCACTGGAATGCTGTTATCCTCATCAGAATCCAGCTGCATCTCTGGCTTCTGCTGGGAGTTGGTTTGAGGTGGTTCTACCCTCACCAGCTCCTCGTACTCATTGAGGTCGTGTTGCGCATCTCGCTTCACCCGCTGGAAGAGGGGAAACAAGCGCGAGGATCGCCTCACAGTCTCATTGCGTTCCTCGAGGGGATCAATGGAGACAGGAATGTAGGGGCCTCGTGTGCTGGCCAATGGAGGACTGGGAATGGAAGACTTTATGGGCTCCCGCCTACCCGGACACATGGTAACCACGCCATAGATGGGCACGGGCTTCTCATTGGGATTCCTCCCATAGATAAACGACTGTTCATTCCCCAGCAGATCCTGCATCTCCGTGTTCGTCACCAGATGCGACTTTGTCGAATACTCACTGAAGGGGACCCCGGGCCGAAAGCTGCTGTCCTTGTCCATGGGATGGACGTGCTGCAGGAACTCCTCAACGCCCAGCGGCATGAATTTCTCCTCCGGGGCCAGCCACACAATCGGTGCCCATTGTTTGATCAGGCGTTCCACTGCAATGAGATGGAAGATGGAAGCAGAGATTGCCTCAGTTAACTCGCTTTTAGCCCAGCCCCGGTGCTGGGGCGTCCATCGTGAAATTACCCAACCCGTACGGCCATTGGCCTTCTCCACTCCACGCCACCCTACTCCTACTACCTTCCTCTCTCTGTTGGCCAACTCTTTGGCTTTGACTGTGGCTAGTCTAGCTCTGATTTTCGTTTTTTAAATTCAAGTGTAATAAATTTCACTTTCACACATGAAGTGCGGCCATAAAGTCGTCATGCCTGCCTGCTAGGTGCTGGTCTCACTACCCACCTGACTTCTCCCTACCCACTGGCACTTCTCCTTGCCCTTGCTGGCACCCAGAAATTAAGCCAAACGACTGTTTGCGCTGCTTGTTTTTTCTGTTTTTCGGTTACGGCTAATTCGCGAAATTAAACGCTACTCGAACGCCACCGACTACCGCTGTTCCATATAAATACGCACATCAGGCCCCCGGATGGATGGCAATGAGTGGGGCGCCAAACGATGGAGTCGAGTCGTTCAGGTAAATCGTGTTGGAAATTTGACTTGGGCACACAAACAGTAAATAATGTTAGGGAAATTGGTAGAAAATGTAGGTGGAAACCGAAATGGCAATGCCCTAGAAAAACTATGGGAGTTACAAGTAACTACAGAAGAATTATTGGTCTGTTCCAGATTAAATTTACTCATGCATTTATTGTACTTTAATCGATAAGTAATGGGATGGTCTTGGAGATGTGACTGATTTCTTTGCTGATTCAGGTTTTATATAAATATCCTCCCCCCAGTCTGAATAAAACCCTCTCAGAGTGCGTGTAGGGTATATAATGAGTGACTCCAATGATTGCTGTTGCTGTTGTTGTTTGTGATGCATACCTACTTCTTTATCTAATGCCGTTATGTGTGCATACTGCAATGTTGCTTGTTGTTGTGGCTGCTGATGTTGCTGTTGTTCGAAGGAGTCGCCAGCTGGCGCATCGGTTGCATTCACAAGCACAGGCATAGACACTTCAGCTGATGCTGGATTGCCGCCTGCCACCGTTGGCGTCGTTGACAATTGCTGCGGCTGCTGTTGTGACTGCAGCTGCACTAGTTGTCGCTGTTGTTGGTTTTGCGGTAACAATGCTGCCGCACAGAGCAATGCCGTTAGGCAGTGCAGCAACGAAAGTGAATTTATATTAAACAACTTGGACATTTTTTCAATTTGGTCTGCCTTGCGCTACGATTTTCGTTGATAATTTTGTTTATTTTATTGCTTGTCACGAACAAAGCGACGGCTTTGTTGCGGTTGCCTTTATGTTATTATTATTAATTTCACACAGCTCGTAAGTCTGCCAATTTCGAACATAGATTTCTTACACATTTTCTGTTTATAGTGGGTTAGTTAGCGCATTTATGTCTTTTATTTGGTGTTGAAGTTGCGCAATCTCATTGGACAGACACTTTTGACACTTCCGCCGCATGCGCCACACAGTTTTAATACACTCGGACAGTTTCAGCAGCACTGCAAACATCAGCTGAGGGCACTGCTTCGTTCTTGTCCTAATTTTCGGTTCCACACTGCTCTCTCTCTCTCTTTCTTTCTTTGTGGCCGCATGCACGTGCACGCTTGCTCTGTTTGAGTTTCTCTCCGCTCTGTGCACTCCACTCTCCAGTCTTCTATCAAAGCTGGTTTTTTTTTGTGTGCCCTTCAACTGGTTTAAGTTTAAACTTGAATCTCGCCTGTTTTCCTTACATCGTATATCGTATCGCATTGATAATCAGCCCGATAGCCCTGAACTGCAGATGAGGCTGCACAATGGCCCAGAATCAATGTCAACGCGTTTGAGGCCCAGTGAAATTAAGCGAAATATATGCAAAAACGGCCTATGAGCTCAGTTCAGCTCAGATCACGCCAGGCCAGGCCTTTCTCCAGCCACAGACACGGCTATAGCTCAGGTTTTCTACCACCACGAGGCACGAAAGTTACTCCAAGTCGCCTGTCTGTATTTATCTTTCTTTCTTTCCGTTTATTTGTATTTCTTTTGCTTTTGGTGGCTACTGCTTTAAGCTTTGGTGTCCGAACGCTTTGAGCGTTTCTGCGAGACTGGCACAAACGTTGGCCGAGAAGCAGGAGAGCTGAGTCGAATCGAGTGGAGTCGAGTTGAGTCAGTTTGGGCCCCGCTCTGCTTACTTTGTGCGCCTGCATTGCATGCCAAGCCAATTGCTTGCCCCAGCCCCCGTCCCCTGTAGAGCAGCACAACTCGCTTTTGTTTTATTTTGTTTACAAACGAGAGTATGCTCCGCAGAGAAGTCGAACGACCCTTGAGCTGATTTCGTTCGGCCTTTTTTGGTGGCTGCTTTGTTTGTGAGCTGTGTGAAGTTTGTTTTGGTTATGGGATTAGTGGGCTATATATGAAGTTAAATATTGCTTAATTAGGTGCTTCAGCCATTAGAGAGACGAAAGTGTTTGGAATTCCGTGATGGTTTAATGTAGTTTAATGCTTATTGGCATGCCAAGAGCAAGCAGTGCACAATAAGTTCTTCATATTACAGTTTTATGTCTACTAGTACATTCTTTTTCTTCTCATTCGCACTTTGTTAATTGCTTATAAAACTGTATTAATTTGCACCTGATCAACGCCAGAACCGAGATTGGATTCAATTAGAACTTTGTTACGGATAATTATATTTGTAAACTTTCTCAACGCCTCGAGCACCACACCTCGAATTATGCTTCTCTTCAGTGGGTCACCGTCACCCCTCGCAATCGAGGCTCCAATTAGCAGCCCCGCTCGCTCACGTACATTTCACCTGCCGGCGGCGACTGCCACCGAACCACCGTAATAACAGTAGCTGCGCCGCCCCTTCTCAATCCGTGCCCCCAGCAGTCACCTGCAAACCTCTCTCACGGCTCTAACTCTGGCGTCACGCATTTTGTGTCCAGCCTCCGTGCCGGGGGAATTCACACGGCAGCCGGCGGCACTGGCGCTGTTTTGATTTTGCTTTGCTTTTAATTATTTTATTGCACTTGCTGCTTCTGTGACGGCTGCGGCTTCTGCTGTTGATATTGCTTGATTTCGTCAAAACATATACTTAATGAATGTGTCTCTCTCGCTGGCATTTTGGCTGGAAAAAAATTATGTAAAATGTATTACATGGAGAGACAGCAGCCACAGCCGCAGCACAGCAGTTGTAGTGAACCGCCTTGCATAAGCCCTGCTGCCCAGGCGGGCGGGCGTGCGGCTGTGATTAGTATGCAAGTCAGGAGAGATCGGCCCCGGATCGGATCGGGTTTGAGTTTTGGGTCTGGCTCTGGCTCTGGCTCTGGCTCAGGGCAATGAGTAATGCCTGATCCGATTCGAATTGTGCACATGATCGGACAAGTGGGTCATGTGGGAGTTGGATTTGGGATGTTGGGTTTCGCATTGAGCAGAATGGGAATCGGCAAACAAATAACAAGATCTTAATCATTTTCTTTTGCAGGGATTCACCTACGTAGCGCCCTCGATATTGGAGGACATGCATCGGGTCAATCGGATGCCGGCGCGCTCCCCTAGACGCACACCCAGACAGCATCCGGACAGCAGCTACCGGTTGCAGTTTCCGTCCGCCAGTGGGATGGTGGGACCCAACGCTCCCGGCCCTATGAACATGCAACGCTCGACGCTGTTCGCTCGGGCCACTCCGCCCCACCACATGCATACGTTCGCGCCGCGCCCATCGCCAGCACAGGACGAAATGATGGATGTGCAGCAGGGATTGCCAATGGTCTAGGCGGAGTTGCAGCCCAAGAGAGCATCCCATCCGACCACAACATCCCCCCTTCCCATCAGAAATTGACAGTTACTACTATGACGTATATGGAAAGTGGACAAGGATTCGGATGCGGATTCGGAGTGAGCCGGAGGACGAGCAGAAGGAGAAGTAGGATCACACAGAACGAGTGTGATGCATGTGTGCGGTGGGTGTTGTTTTTGTTAAAGAGAGCGCGCAAGGATCGCGCTGTGATTTGGAAGGTTATGATGATGATTAGGCAAGGAGGAGAACGTTTGTTTTGGATACTAACAACATTTAGGTACTACAACTAAAGTTGGCAAGCTGCACGAAAACATATGCTATAGCTATACTATATATACACACACACACACACACCTAGAGAAATAGGGCGATTTTTATGTATAAATATCATACTACACTTATAGTTTACATAGGAAAAAAGGTTTATACAATTTAGTTGAAATGTACACGCAACACTTTCATTTCGGTTTAGCCCCACAACCCGCTGCACCAGACAACAAACAGATTAAAGCTAAGAAAGTTCTGTAGTCGAGATGTAGCTCTTAATGTAAAATATATAAAATCAAACGTGTGTGGGCGATTACCTCCACGTACACATCAACCACAAACCCAGTCCCAAAGCAGGGTCTAGCTTATCCTAATCTATCATTTAGTTTGCACGATTATCAACCGCTGTAATTATGAAGACCCCCCACAAGAGTACCCTATTTGATTGATTGTAGTCCGAGAGTTATTCTTGTTTTTGTCAGTTACGAACATCAATCTATATTCAGTAGGCATAGGCATGTAGGGCGACGTTAGTTTTAGGTACACTGCAACGTAGCAAGCAACACAAATTCAAATTCAAATTCAAATGGAAATGAAATGTAAATTATAAACTAAATAAACTAAACTAGAATATTAAAGAATAAACCATAAAAAGCATAAATGTATGTTATAAAACGGTTTCCACAGCACCATTAAAAGTGTACCCCGACTTTGGGAATCATTTTCTCGCATAGCCAATTTATATTTATATATAAATACTTGGAAATCTCCTCTTTTGTTGCAACCCGCCAGGAATTAAATATGTTCCATATCTGATTATGTTCAACTTTCAATATAAACTAAACTAAACTAAAAATGAAACAAAACAAAAATCGAAACTGAAATTGAAACTGAAACTGAAACTGAAATGAATAACGCGTACTGAGAAGCTAAACGCTGCCACCACAATATATGTAGATCCAGGGAGGGGAGATGGGAGATCTATAGGTCAAAAGATTATACGAAGTATGTACTTTGATTATATTCTGTTTCAGTTGTGTTTTTCTCCCTTTATTTTCCATCTAAAGAAAAAAGATAAATAACGATGTCAAATATAATCAAAAGGTGCTTTGAATTGTTTAAAAAGACAAGACAACAAAAACAAAAAAAAAACAGAATTAAACACAATATATAAAAACAAAAAAAGAGACAAAGGGAAACGAAGATGAACTATTGAAAACGAAAGCAACTAAAACCTAAAACATTAATTATAATGGTTATGAAAGAATATTTATATAAACTAAAAGTAAATACCTCAGAAGCAATTATTTTTGTTACAAGCAACTGATGAAAAGTGGAGCAGGGAGTGAAGAGTGAAGAGTGCAGAGTGGAGAGTGCGGGCTGCGAAGTGAAGCGAATAAAGAACTTAACAAATTATGAAAACTACCAACTAAAGAACAGCAAATGAAAACTATTAAAAATATAATAATAATAAGGAAACAGAAAGAAAGAGCGCAACGCAGAGATATTTGTACACAGAGTAATTAATAATACGTTAAAGTGCGAGTTATATATATATAAATACATATATTTGGTTCATTGTACAATTTTTTTTCTTGTGTTTTTGGTTTTGTTTACTGCTAAGTGTACTCTATTTTGTATTTCATTAAACAATCATTTTCTATATATATAAATTTATTGTGTAAGAAGAAGGCAGAGCACTCCCGAGGAAGGATTTCTCAGAAAAAAATAATGTGCTAAAGCTAAGAAATAAAAGTGTAATATAAAAGCAGAGCCAGGGAGATGGGCGAAATAACTATCGAACAAATAACCAAGAATGATGAAACACTGCCTACACTCGAGAGGAAGCAACAACCACAAACTAGCAACAAATTACCAATTACAATAAACAACAAATTGCAAATAAAAGAATTTAAACAAGACCCCGAACCAAGGGCGAAACCTAAAAGCAACAGATAAAGAAACCGAAAAAGATAGACAGAGGAAGACAGAGTTCGTATTCGTAGATAGCCAAGTTAAACAATTGTCGAGCACCCTTGAAGGAACTATTCACTAATCTGGGGCTGCTGAGGTTCCCTAGCATACAATAACCAAGGAGATCTGTACAGTCCAGCTGAAATGAACCGTGTAATGAAGCAACTCCAATCAATGTACTTAGTGGGTTGACTGGCGGGAAAAGTACTTCCAAGAGGGGAATAGAATTTCAAAGTTCACTGTTAATAAACCATAACGAAAACACACACGACAGTTTGTAGTGGATGTGGATGTGGTGTGTCGTAATTGCATACATTACCTTAATAATAATAGCAGAGCAGACGAAGAGAAGAGTTCTGAAAGCGCCGCCACAAGCCATACATACTTACATACATATGTAGATGTAGATCGTTCAAGCCAAACGAAACCCGAAACAAGGAAATCCAAAAAGTGAAACATAACATAAATATAACTGAGAAATGAAGAACATACGATCAAGAGATCCGATCCTAGTTAATTAAATTGTACATTTTTATCATTAAGCTGTAAGAGCATTGCGTATATATAGTATGGATATATGTATATGATGTGTATCGTAATATATTAAAACTTAATTTTACAAAAAAACCACAACGAGGGAAATTGAATTTTACACATCTCAATCGCTAAGCAGTGCAGCTACAAAGTTAAATAAAACTGCTTGCATTTTGGGGGCTTGACAGTAGTCATAAAACTGTGAATGTGGTTCACAAAAATGCGCAGCAGTTAAATAGTAACTGTAAGTAAGAATATTGATTATTATGTTTAGGCTTTTGGAATATTTAAATTCTAATTTACTGATTACCTTTCTCCCATTTAATGCTCACAGCCAGCTTATTCTTGTCAAACCACCCACCATGAGGCTCTAAAACTTCTGGGCTAGTTGAAATGACAAATCAAAATCCAAATATCATTAACAGGGATTTATTTTTAGCCCCGCCCAGCGAACCAAGTCACGCAATGGCCATTGATTAGCATAATTAATGCCAAAAAGTTTGCAATCATGTAAAAAGTATCAAGAAACTGCCAAAAGCCGAGGCGCAAATCAGCAAAAGCGAAAGTATGTTAGCATAAATCGATCAATGGGAGGAAGCACTAGGAGGAGTCCCCAGGCATAAACCTATTTATAAACATGCTGTAAGACGAGACCACAAGGAGCAGTCTAATAGCCCAGGCTGGGAGGCCCTTCTTGCCTTGGTTGCGTTTCCTTCTGTGCCCAATTCTGTGAAGTGACTGCCAGGTGACATACGGCACAAGCGCAATGGCGCTGCATGACTTCTTGCACAGATGAGGCAAGGAGGAGCAGCAGCTAGAGGGGGCTGGGGCAACATAACAATAAATACCGCTAGGCAACCGTAAATTCCTGAGCATGAATCGATTTAACGAACCCCGTGGGAGCGCATAGGAACCCAATTGCAAGTCGACTCGAGCGTCTAGTCAGACTCAGAATCAGATTCAGGCAGGTACAGATTTTTTTCCTCCAGGCCTCAGAAACAAAGTGTGCCAGTTAAAGCCAATCGAATTGTATATAGAAGCCATATCCCCACCCCCATATTCCATTGCTCTAGTTGGAGTTCCCCCAATTCTCTATTCTCAATAAAGTCAAAGTTCTTCGAGCGAACATTTATTTAAATTTCTTACGCAATCTTTGCTGCACACAGAGCATCGTTCATCATGTTGCCCAATCTGAAGGCACGTCGCATCACCGGCATGCAGCTGGCAAGCAAGCACCTGGGTCCCGTGGCCAAGTGCCCGCCCCGCTACTCCGAGGAGGACTGGGACTACAACAACAAGATCAAGTTTAGGATCACCTGCGATCAGGAGAAGCTGGCCGAGCGCATTGTCGAGTGAGTATCGGTGGTGGAGGGGAATGGGCTGTCATTTCCACAATTTCTCCCAACCCAGGGAATCGCGTCGCGTGGTGGACGAGACGAAGGACACCACCAAGAACTGGCAGCGCGAGGTAGAGCACCACATGCGCGAGCGCACCAGCGAGATTCGCTTCCTGGTGGACGAACTGAATCGCCAGAAGAAGACGGCCATGCTGGAGGACGAGGCCCTGAACACCTATCGCAATCGGGTGCTGAATGCCATCGAGTTCCTCAAGGATAAGTCACTGGCCATTTGCAAGCAGTGCCTCATCCTGCGCGAGGGCCGCATCGGGGTGGATCTCTGCGATGACGAGGTGGATCGCTCGCTGCGCCGCGAGCTGAAGGTGATCAAGGGTTGTCAGGGACTGGCCGATGCTGCTCTGAAGGAAGCCGAGGAGCAGATTCGCAAGCTGCGTGCAGCCATCTATCTGCTGGACCAAGATCTGGCCGCCAAGGACAAATCGCTGGCCATCGACGAGAAGAATCTCAAGCTGAAGGAGTTCCAACATGACCTCGGCAAGGGTCAGGACTTGTCCAAGTCGCACTGGTAGGTGGTCGGTGGTACTGGAACGTGGGTAGTTTGTCTATATTCCCTTTTGATTCATTCCCCAGCCAATTCTCTTTGACCGAGTGGCAGGCGCAGACCTACGAGAATCTGGAGGCCAATGCCAAGGCCCTGGTCTCGGCCGGCCAGCTGCGTGCCTATATCGATCTGCTGCTGAAGCAGGTCTGCGAGGACATGCAGAACCAGACGGACCGCACTAATGAGGCCTTCGATCGGCGCATTGCCGAGACGAAGCACGTGAAGCAGTGCCTGGAGAACAAGCACAAGGACACCATGGACCACATTCACCAGGTGCAGCGCAACATGACGGATCTCGAGAAGGAGATGATGGACAAGCAGCGTGCCATTACCCTCTGCCAGACGCGACTGAGTAATCGCGCCCATCGCCCGGGACTGGAGCTGACCTGCGACATGGTCCAGGATGCGCTCTACAACGAGCTGCAGGCTCTGAAGGCTTCCGTCTGCAAGCTGAACCAGAAGCTGAACGAGAACAAAGCATCGATGCGTTACTTGATGCACGTTCAGGTCATGCAGGAGGAGGAGATAAATATAAAGACGAATACTTGCAAGATCGACGAGGTCGATTGCATGACTTTGCGTCAGGCACTTAAATACCAGTCCTTCTAGGCAACCATCTTCCACAAGTAGTCCAGCCACATATACACAAACAACTATTAATCAAATTAGGCGCATACGTGCATTTCGTGTTCAATTCAAAATTAATTAATAAATTGAAGTTCACTTTCGATATCAAGTTCCAATCAACAAAATTGAATATTTCGCCCAAACTTATATCGGTTGAGCATGGTGCCGTTTCTAAGTATGGCCGGGAATATTCTAAGCAAGCAAGTTGCAAAGCCAGCAGAAGTTGTCAGCTTAGAGCAGTTACAATGCCCACATTGAAAACTCGCATGACAATAGTATCGATAGTCACAACCAGTAGTGAAATACGTAAAATTCCATTTCCACCACGTAACATTTTCCGATTTGTTTGTTGTTGACCTTTTTAGCTTGAACTGTATGGGGTTGTTTTGTAAACAAGCAAATTCATCAATCGGAAAAAAGTTATAGTTTTTGTGCCGAGAGTCCCAACTAGCTGTTAAAATAAATCAGAATTTCAAAAACCATGAAAACTGATCCAATATAAACGGTATATTTTGAAAATGACCAGGTATATTATGGTCTATTCTTGAGGGTCGTGCGGCTTATCGATAAATCCGCGGTCACACTGGTCTGTTTCCCAAAAATAAAGAATTAACCAAAAGAATTTAGTAAAACTAAATAAACTAAAATCTGGTACGCAAATCAAGTGCGTATTTAATTATCTGTAAACCACGCGCTAAGAGCGACAACCATGGTAGTGTCGGAGACGGAGAAGGTAAGCGCAAATAGGAAAAAATAGCCGCATGGTTTTAGACCTCAGCCGTGGCACACACAGGCTAAACAGGGTTGTTGCACAAGAGGGGGACGGCGCGAAAGCAGAAACAGTCGAGCAAAAGCGTGCAGCTGGCGTTGGCGTGGCATCATCGCAGAGGACGACTCTTCTCATTCACCAAATCCAATCAGTAAAGCACCCGCAATTTTGCACGCAATTAGCAAAACTCACTGTTAATTGTTATTTGCACGTTTGCTGTTGTCAACGTCATAACTCTCTCGCTCTCGCTCGCTCTCTCGCGTTTACGCTCACCATTTGCATACCACACTTTTTTTTCGCTGCTCCGTCGCTGGAATTTGTCAAGACAATCGCACACACATCGCTATCGGTTGTACTTGTATGTGTTCGTGTGTGTGTGCATGTGTATATACAACATAAATAGGTAAAGCAGAGAAGCAAAAAAAGTAAATTACTGCAATAAGCAACTGAAAAGCAGCGGCAGCGAACAACAGTTAAATCATTTCTGGCATGGCGACGGCCGCCGACCACGACTTTCATTGCAGTCGTCGGAGCATCGCCTGAACCGTTGCTTTTCGTTTCTCTCGTATTCTCTTCAGTTTTTTGGTAATCCGCGTTGCCACCAGTCAAAACTTAGCTAGAAACTCTTTGTTCTGATCGAATCCGACAGAATTTTCAGTGAAAACCCTTTTACTCAACAATACCTACAACTTTTTCCAACAGGCAATCTGTGTTTTTGTGTCAAATACGTGCGTGCGTGTGAGTGTAGAAGTGCTGTGGGGCAACTTCACTTTCGTATCGGGAGTAGCTGGATTCAGTTCAAAGTAGAAACATATTATTTTCCCAGGGATTACCAAGGAAATACAGTTTTTTTATTAAAATTTATTTTTTTCGAATTGAACAAAGAAAAGCGTCTCGAAAAATTCGGGTCACCGGACAACGCGAGCACCGACGTATCGTATCGTACCGTACCGTACTTCCATTTACAACAAGTTTAACAAGTTTTTCAAATATTTTTGTTTTTTTTTTGCCAAATTGAAAGACAAGTGAAAAGCGAGAAGTCAGTCGATCTCCAGGCAGTTTAAACCCTGTGCAGTGCAGTCAGATATCAAAAAATTCAGCAAGTAATTCCACCCGGCCGCCATATACACACACAAGAGTAACGAAAAACGAGAAACGAAAGAAACCGAAACAGAAAAAGCTTCGCTCGCTCGCAGCACACACACTCCCAGAGACACACAGACACAGACAAACGATAGCGACAAGTGAATCAGCGACTGATCGTCTCTCCTCCGGGCAGAAGCAGCGTGAAGAATCAAGAATCTAATCGAAATCAAATCAAATCGCCACAGAATCATCCACACACGGCCACCGACATGCAGAGCGACTTTCAGAGAATGAAGAACTTTGCCAATCCCAAGTCTATGTTCAAAGTAAACATCCCAACCCGAACTCGGTTCCGCTGAGCGTTTGCACGCAGCAGTTTGCTAATCTCTTTTCCACTCTCTTTGTGTATTTTGCTCTCTCCCCACAGACCAGTGCTCCCACCGCCGAGCAGGGTGGCAACTCGGCTGCCAACACAGTTGCCCCTGGACGTCCGGAGCCCACTCCACCTGTCGCTGTGGCTGCCCCAGCCGCCGCTCCGGCCCCAGCTGCAGCTCCGGCTCAGCCCAAGGATGAGGCTAAGCCTACCGAGGGCGGTGACGATGTTCGCACAGAGCATCTGTTCAAGCACCCCCTACAGAACACATGGACCCTCTGGTACTTGGAGAACGATCGTTCAAAGTCGTGGGAGGACATGCAGAATGAGATCACAAGCTTCGATGCCGTCGAAGACTTCTGGAGTCTATACAACCATATCAAGCCCCCATCTGAGATCAAACTGGGCAGTGATTACTCGCTCTTCAAGAAGGGAATACGGTGAGTGGCAAAAGGGTGTGGTGTGTCAAGATCTCCATAGCTATTGATTATCGCAATTTTCAGCCCTATGTGGGAGGATGCTGCCAACAAGCAGGGCGGTCGCTGGGTGATCACCCTCAACAAGAGCTCAAAGACCGATTTGGATAATTTGTGGCTCGATGTGGTAAGCGGGAAAGCTGTCGTATATCATGTGACACCTATTAAATTCTATATTAACTTATCCATCAGTTGCTGTGCCTGATTGGCGAGGCCTTTGATCATTCGGATCAGATTTGCGGTGCTGTCGTGAACATTCGTGGCAAGAGTAACAAAATCTGTAAGTAAATCAATGTCCACTCAACGAAAGCATTGGCTAACCACTCGTCCATTAGCCATTTGGACAGCCGATGGAAACAACGAGGAAGCTGCCCTGGAGATTGGCCACAAGCTGCGCGATGCCTTGCGTCTGGGACGACAGAACTCGCTGCAGTATCAACTTCACAAGGATACCATGGTCAAGCAGGGATCGAACGTGAAATCTATCTACACATTGTAAGTCGTCAGTCGTTACTCAAGACGACTTATTTTTATTGCGCTTTATTAACGATTAAATCCTACAGAAATTAATCGTAACACAAGTCCAAGAACCCCGAAGTGAAACTGAAACCGAAACCGATACACTACATCGCCTGAACATCGTTGAATTAATAGGCCAACACCCGTTTTCTGTAGAGATCATTATTGGAATATACGAAAAATAAACACGAGTACACTACAACAGGAGCATAAAGTCGATTCAATTGCATTCTCCTGAAGAACAAAAAGTTGTAATATCTCCTAATTTGGAAATGTGATGGAACAAAAACAGAAATGTGGCCATTTTGTATGGCTATTATTATTATCAAAATCAAGGTGTTGCACAAATATTCCGATAGACCATTTTTTTCTTCAATAAATTGTATAAATAGAGGTGGTTAAGTTCGATCCCACGCTCATGATTTTTCGGTATATAATCTGGTATATTTCATAAATGTCTTTGGTATATTTCAAGGGTATTTTTTTTAGCTGAAACTTACAACGCAAAAATGAGAAATAAACATGGAAGATCAATCAAATAAAAGAAAGTCATGAAAACTATGTAATCTTGTAGAGAATTTATTGATGAAGTGGATAAAATAATAATTTCAACGCTGCGAATCCTTACTAGATAGTACTATTAAATAGAACAACACAAAACGACGAATGTCGGTATACTTAAGGTATATTTGTAATATGAAAAAGTCGATTTCGGTATAGTTCTGAGGGTCGTGCGGTATTTATTATTGATAAATCCGCGGTCACACTGCATACTCAATTCGCCGCGGACGTAAACAACACTGAATTTAGATAATTCCAAAATCCAAATCCTAGTTAAATCAGGATGCCCTTTGTGTTTAATTCGTAGTTGACAGTGAGAAAAATATATACAATTTGTGAAAGCAATCAGATAATGGGTCTGTAAGCATTGTGACACAGCCCCAACAAAGGGGAAAATATCAATACCAGCGAAGAAAATAAACCATTCTTTGTGCAGCAGCAAAAGTATATAATAATAGACGCACCAACACAAACACGGTGCCCAGAGCCAAAGAGCGTTGCGTTGAGCCTCAAAAGAACATAAAAGTGCTGTATATTGTGTCCGTTTGGCAAAAATCGAAATAAACCAACCCAGAGAGCCAGTGAAATTGGGAAAATATCAAGCTGCGTTTGCTATAAATAAAGCAGCAACAGCAGCAGCAGCCAGAGGACGACAGCATCTGTTTATCATTGAAAATAAACAAAGGCCCAGCCAGCCAGCGCGCATCAAAGACAAAGACGAGAGAACTGAACCCTAGGGGTCGCAGCCCCAAAGAGAAACAGCCCTAAGTCTGCACGACTATGCGATACCCTGCAGCGATCTCCGACATCTAAAGAGAGGAGTACGCGTCCCCCATCCATTATCCTAGGACCGGACGAGCAATGCCTTGCGAGAACGCCAAAACGTCTTCAGACATCGAGCATGTGGATTGGAACTCCGGCCAGCACTATGCCAATGTCAGGTGAGTGTCTTGCCCACCATCCAATCTTTTTTCAATCCCTGCCCGAGTCGTGCCCTTGACATGGCCAAAGTGTCGCATAGTTTGGCGTGCAGCGACAAAACATATTCATTACGACTAGCAGCCAGCAAAATAACCCTATAAATTATTCTGGGGCCCACATTCAAGTACAACTGAAAACGGAAATAAGTGCATGCACGCAATTGAATGGGTCTTGTGGGTGATGGGTTATTCTCTTCTTGGCACTCGGATTGGATCGGTTCGGACCGCGGCCATCAGCCATCAGCCATCGTCATTGTCCATTGTTTATTTATAGCTGGGAGAGAGAGACGACCACGAATCGTTCGGGGAGTCGAAATAATTGTGTTTTCTCAACTGATTTCGCTGATAATTGAGTTTCATTTCGGATTCTATTGAAAGCAATGGAGTCAGGTCTTTTTTGACTCTGGATTATTCCCCCAAATATAAATTTCTTAATAAATTAAAGCACTCATCCAGCTGTGACAATCAAAACATTATAGTTATGACATATAGTAGATAAGAATGAGACCCCTTTATGATTTTCCCAAAAAAAGATTATTCATAAGCGGATGTAGTCGTTTCCATTTGCTCCATTTCAAATAAAATGTATAAATCCATTTAATTGCGGTTTATAAACTAACATTTATCGCCTTCTAATGACAACCATTAAGTGAACACTTAATAATATTCGTTGTGGGAGCGAGAGATTAAGCAATCGGGCTCCGATCTCCCCACAGATCGGCTCCAATTGAAATGCAAAGTACTTGGATTTATTAAGTTGTTTAAGTGTCAAGGGGCTGGGAACCTGGCGCATGCCGCTTGCTATCTGGTTGACTAATTGCTAATTATTTGCGATTTATATAAAGCTTATTCATGCCTCTGCGGGTCAACACTTTCGCTCGGATTTGCATGCCTTAGCAAATGTTTGCGAGCCTCGGAAGCGAATAGAACTGGGTAGACGCGTACTCGTATATTTGCCAGTCATAATTATTGCACTCAGATAGCCGCTGTGGGAGCTGTGACGTTTTAATCTAGGCGGACACGAACCCGTCAACACTCTCTCTGTGCAAACGGTGCTTATCACCCAGGCACGGCACTGCACAGCCACACATCACAAATCTAATCTGTCGTTGAGCTGTGGAAATGTGTCTGTTTCTCGCTCTCGCTCTCGCGCTCTTGTTTCTGTTGAATAAATATTGGCAACTGTTGTGGCAGTTAAATGCATATACCTATGTATACATTATGCATATATATGAGTATGTACATATGTGCGAACATGTTGCACGGCCAGAGCTTTGGCTTGGGCAATTACGTCCAAATATTTACAGAGTATAATGAAAATGTAAAGTAGAGTGGAGCGGTGCGGTGCGCAGCGGGGGGCATACAGCTGATAAGGCTCCCGCAAACTATTGTTGTATGACACAGACAGAGAGAGAGAGAGAGAGAGAGAGAGAGAGAGGGTGCAGGTACAGTGGTACGCTGGAACATAGGGCACTATAAACTATAAAGTTCTCTATAGCAGCATGACCATTTACGATACTTATTTGTTATCACAAAAATGGAAACAATGGATAACAATTATCATTTTCATATAGATTTTTATGGTAAAGTTGCTACAATAAAAGCACCAGAAACAGTGTGACAGTGTCTTCGTTAGGGAAGTTCCACTGTACAGTCAAATAGGTTGGCCAAACAAAGGAAACTCCATGTGCGCACATTATACTTGGCGCCCCCATCACGCTCTCTCCCTCTCGCTCACCCGCTCTCTTTATAACTTTTGCATTAATTGCCCGGCATTACCTCGAACTTAAACCAGTTGGAACTTAAAAATAAGTTTCCGAAACACAGGCACAGCACACAAAAAATAATGCGCAAAATATCAAAGCGCTGGAAAAAACCAAAACAAATCACAAAGACAGTTGGATCCGACTCTGGGACAGACTCCTCACCCCAAACAGTCTTTATAGCACGATTATTGGTCGGATCTGGTCGGTCTGGGCAGGGGCGTAACTGGAATGAAACTGAAAACAAAATGCGCTAATTTAGTTGCAATTAAATTTGAGTACTAAGTTAATCTCTGCCCGAAATTAGACAGCTTGATGGAGAAGCAGAGATTATAGAACAACTAACGAAGAGAAAGTGCCGATAAGGTAGATACAATGATGGAATGGTTATACCCACCGTTTGGTTTGCTCAACATCATCGTCATCGTACCTGAAGCATTTCGTAAATACAAAACGTATCAATAATCCGAACAACTCTGCTGATTATTTGCTGTTTTTATCCAGCGATAACAGTGGGAGATAGCACAAATATACACAATGTTGTGCGTTTACTAGGCTCGATTCTCCGTCTGTTGATTAACCAACAACCACGTATGATTGATAGAATAGAAGGATCATAAGCGCTACCTTTTGGTAGAGTTAAATCTGTCATTTGAGAGATCTAATCTATAATTTCTTACATTTCTTACATGGGTTGTTTTCCTATTTTTATTGATATGTGAAATGTATTTGTTTCTGATAGTGTGTTCCCAGAATTAAAGAATAGATTATGTGCTTTAAATAGAGGACTGATTTCCTTGGAAATGCGAAAAGCGACTGTGGGGCAAATGGGAAACCAAATCAACAGAAAGAAAAGTGCTTAACTGCATTTCGCAACGGAAACCCAAGACCCGTAGAGGCAAAACCGTTTCGTGTTGTATTATTTTTTCGACTTTTGTTGAAACCCTAGCTCCCCCACCTGCCTTGCCTGTCTCCTCTCGTGGCGTAATGCGATAGCATTGCAAATGTTTGTTTTGTCCGTACTTATAGATGCCCTTTGATAAAGTATAATATAAAAAGCTAAGTGTTATATGAAGTGCCCAAGGGGGCGAGTAGAGCGAAATTGCTTGAAAAGTAATGACCCGCGATCCATGATAAATTTTTCTGGGAAATACGACTGTTCTCTCACGTTCTGTATAATGCCGAGTGATCGAACGTGTTCATATGTATGAAAGTTTATTTATATTCATGCATTTGAATCGGCCTTTCCAATCTAATTGCGTTGAAAATTTGTGGAGTTTTTTGAATTGAGTTAAGGGCCTTTTCCACTTTTCGAGGAACAATATATGCTACTAAGTGCTCATGGACCAAGAGGTGAGAAGAAGAAACAGCTGCCAGCGACCGTCTGGAGCCACCCAAAAGCCTAATGAAAACGCATTGAAATGTTATTGTGGCGTCTTTGGCTGGCTGGCATCCATCGAAGCAGAAAGAAGGGCCCTAAAAGGGATAACTATCTAAGAGGCGGCAGACATATGTACGACCTACACTGAGGGAAATTGCTAGTTTAAAAAGGACAAATTGAAGACACAATGATGTCACTTCTATAAGCCACCGTATGGACAAATAAATGATGCAATTTTTTCGAAAGCTGCCCAACAAAATGCCTAGATTTCATATCTTCATTTGCCATAAAAGTACTGAGGTTTCTTCGAGTGTATATGTACTTTATTTGTGTACTTTATGAACTTAAGCTTGGAAGCTCCTTTGCGGTATAGGCCACAAATGCTATTCATCGATCCAAGGACAGTATATTGACTCGAAACACGAGCATTAGACAGAGGGAGACATGTCCGCACATCCAACTCTACTTTCATGTCCATGTCCATGACCATGTCGCTGCTGACAGCCACAACAAATGTGTTTAGTAGGAGCCTTTGCTTTTGCCTTTGCCTGGGCTTTGGCTCTTACCATTTGTCCATTTGTCCTGTCTGTCCTTCGACTCAATCACGCACTTGCGGGCTGAACTCTAAAATATAAGCAGACACAAGTGCCACCACATACACAAAGAGAGAGTGGAAGTCATGGGAGATGGAAGTAGATAAAAGCTAGAAAGTAAAAGTTCTCTACCAGCCACTGGCCCTTACTTAGATTAGATACTACAGTTCCGTACACACACACAGGTAGACTGGTTCACAGTTCACAGGTGGTGCTGTAGGTGGTGGTGGTGGGCGGGCGTTTGTTTCAGCCATAATGATAGGGCGGCCAACAAAGGCTAATTGCCTTTGTCCAGTGGAGAACTTGCCACGCAACCAAAGGGAAACCTCAACGAGGAACTTGCAAGAGTGAATGCTCACTGACGAAAGGCAAAAGGGGAAGACGATGGAGGCATGGGGCACTCATCTGAGGTTCATTCCCACACACATGCTAATCAGGCAGCCATCGAATCAAAGCCCCATCGCAAAGTTCAAGTAATGCTTTATAAATATGCATTTGATTACATTTTGGTTTACATATTGTACATATGTATTATGTATGCATGTGATTGAATGTACACGGACTTCTGGTAGCATTTTTTAGAAGAGAGTTTTGAACAGAAATATATCTTCTTGAAATGCAAAAGCAATAAATAGGCAAAAAAACGTATTTCAAAGTATTTCCGTTTGCAAGATCATTTATTTCAAATAAATCAATGCCAAAAAACTAGTATACAACAATGCAACTTAAGCATCACTCTAGAGTCTAGGCTCTAGAGTCTAGAAGTTTTTCGTTGCTAAGTATTATCTTCAATCTGTACATTGTATTTGCATTTTTAGTAGGAAGTCATCCTAATGGTTCGTTGAACTTTCGCTCACTTGCTTCGATTTAGTCTTTGTACGTGAATGTATATGGATATGTAAACAGATTTCTCTTTATGGAATCTCTATATTTCGACTGAAATTCGACATACAGAACTAATGGCTAACTGAACGTGACTTCTATGCATGTTCTTTGGCTGGAAAAAGGAAAGAGTTGGCAGCTGCCAAATCTGATTCATTCGAAGCCACAAAAAGCTTTCAGTCATATTTCTTCCAACATTATTCAGACATATCAGGACTCCCCATCATTTATAATAATTTATGCTTTAAAAATGAAGGCAAAAAATGCGAATGAATTTGGTTTGGCTTATCAGGCGTAATGATTTTTTATGCGCATATTCTTCCAGGGTGTTGTGAGTTGTACAGTGGGTTTCACAGCCATAAGAACAGCTTCACCCCAGACTTGTGTTAATTCTGCGGAATTTATTTGTTCATTAAATAATCGCCATTTAATTTGTCATCAGTGTTGTATATTTAATGATTACGTTAATGGAAAAAACTGCATTTATTCGTTAATGGTCGCCATTCGATTAGTTAATTTATTCCATAGTTTATATTCCTTTACTCAATTTAATGAGTTTTCATAATTGAATTTTGCTAATGGCTGACTCAACCTCTGGAAAACGTGAATGTCTTATTCGAGCAGTGACTGAATTCGACGACAACAGATAGAAACATGATTATTAATATCTTTTTGATGACTTAACTAATCTCAAAATTCCACAACTCAATGTATTTCTGCAGAATTCATTTAGTTTGAATATTTGAGGCATATATTTTGCCTTGAATTATGACTTAAATACTGCTGAAACGCACTGTCCATTCGCTTTGCAATGTAATTGGCATAATGAGGTTAATATATGAGTGTAACAGAAGCTGAGCCATCACTCATTTTCAATTCCAATACAACGCTGAAAGGGCAACGGACACAAAGGCCTCCTTGACTCATGCACCCACTCCAAAGTTTGCCTTTTTGTGCTGCCAATCAAGGCAGATAAAGAGAGGAGATTTCTGTTGGAGAGCACCCCTTCTGGTATTGGGTGGAAAGAGGGTTCCAAATGTGGAATTCACTTCATACATTTCATAACATTACAAGCAAATTAGTAATTATATTCTAATTTATATTTCAGATTCGGTTCTGGCAGCAGCCAGGCCTCGCAAAACAGCGGTGACATCTGCCGCATCTGTCACTGCGAGAGTGATCCTTTGAACCCCTTGCTGACGCCCTGCTATTGCTCCGGCAGCCTCAAGTATGTGCACCAGGCATGCCTGCAGCAATGGCTTACCGCCTCCGAGACGAACTCCTGCGAGCTCTGCAAGTTCCCCTTCATCATGCACACCAAGATCAAACCCTTCAACGAGGTAAGTGCCCGGTTCCAGTTTCCATTTGAATCCGCATCTAATTTATTTCATTTCGTTTTGGCATTGTTCTGGCTTCGGCTGCATCGATTGGACTTGGACTCTCGGATATGATATGTGAATGTTGATTTCTGTGTGCCTGCGTCTCCCCATTGCGGTTGGGCTCGTCTCCATTGCAGTGGCGCAGCCTTGACATCTCCGGTATTGAGCGGCGTCGCCTCTGCTGCTCGGTGCTGTTCCATTGCGCGGCCGCCCTGTGCGTCATCTGGTCGCTGTGTGTGCTCATCGAGAGGGCTGCAGACGATGTGCAACGTGGTCTTATTGGTACGACTCGATTCGCAATTCTTTGCCGGAGCTCCAGCGTCAGGTTCACGCGGGTCAAATAAGTGCACAGAATATCTGTAATTGTGTAATTGTTTAGCTCTCCCGTGAACCGATCGCTGGACTGTCATTACTGAAAACTGCTTTTATGTAGCTTATAATTACCCGTTCTCTCTCTGTGCTCGTTGTAGATTGGCCCTTCTGGACAAAGCTGGCCGTAGTCACCGTGGGACTCACCGGGGGCATCGTCTTCATGTACATCCAGTGCAAGGCCTATCTGCATCTCTGCCATCGCTGGAAGGCACGCAACAGGTCAGCATCACGGATCCCTGTCTAAATGTCCACTAACGCAACTTCTTTTCTATGCTTCTACAGAATCCTGCTGATTCAGAATGCGCCGGAGAAGATCCATCCATTGGCACCGCCTTCACCAGTGGCCGCCCGTCATCATCAGCATTTCAGTGAGCCCCTTTCACATGTTGGGACATCCAGTGGAGCGGTGGAGATCAATGCCTCTGGCTTGGCTGTAGCCCACGCCCCGCACGATTCAAACTGTGCGGCATTGGAGAGCGGTGCTGGTGCGGGCGGTCTCAGCCAGCAACAGAAGCAGTTGCAACAGCGGCTGCTGAATGCCTCGCCACAACACATGCTGCAGTTGGCCGCAGAGCTAGAGGTGCCGCACAGCAGCAGCAGTGCTTGCACTCAAACCGAGGACCCGCTGGGACAGCGCCAGCTACTACCGGGCCAGCCACTGGGTCAGGTGGCGGTGGCCGCCAACATTGAGTGCTCGCAGTCGCAGCATAACTACGACCGTGACTGGGCGCTGGACGATGTGGTGTCACAGATCTCCTCGTTTCGGCCCTGTCCCCAAGGATCGGGCAGCATGACGCCGTTTCACGACTCTATACACAACGTGCTGGAGCACTCGGAGGGCTCGAGTCGCGGCTCGGCCACTGATTTGTGTGTCGGCTCGCGGCAGGATCTCAGTGCCAGCGGAATATCTACAGACACGGGCCGCGAGCACGCCCTCCAGCTCAGCAGCTTCAGTGGTGAGTGGATCGTCCTCTTTTCTATCAAAAACTCTTAATAATGTATATTGATCTCTGTTTGCAGGCAGCGGGGAACAGAAGGCGCCCTCGATCAGCTCGGGGGTGTCGCATGCCGTGGCCAACGGGCTGGGAGGATTCGTATACAAGCCGCACCAGACAAAGCGCTACTCTAACTCGTCCATCTTTCTGGAGAACCGTGATATGCTGAACGACCCGAGCGTGGGCCTGGACAACGCTGTGCAGCCGTACGACTACAGCACGCCGCCAAAGATAGACTACCGCCACTCGAGCATACTGGGCTCGGACCACCCCATCGGCTGCTGTGCCGCCGACTGTCTGGGCAAGGGCGATGGTAAGGAGGAGCTGCGCCGCTACTCTGACCCCAAGCTAAAGGCTAGTGCAGCAGACACCGTTCTGGACATTGACCTGCCCACGTCGCCACTGTCGCCGCCAGCCGCCTACGCTAGCCAGCATCCGCAGCCCACTCTTGTCATGCACCGCTCCTTCGACAGAGGTGTGAACGGTTCCTGCGCTGGACCGGACGGCAGATGCAAGGGACACAGTGCCGCCGATGCCCAAATGGATCGTTCGCGCCTCTTCTTCAAGTCGTTGCCAAATCTCAGCAGCAGCTGCGAGAGTCTCATCAAAAAGTGATTGAAGCCCCCCCTCTAAGAGCTCTCTATATACCCTCTATACCCTTCCCTTGCCGGAGCCCCTTTGTTCTCAAGTATTCATCGCTGGTCGAAGCCGACCAACGATCCACTATACAAGATATCCACAGCTAAAGATGGACATGTTTCTTTTTATACCGCACACGCCCTGCTTTAACGAATTTTGCCAAGCGGAGGATCCACTTAGTTATTCTTTTGGTTTTACATTCTATAGCAAACCCCATAAACAATTTGAGACTGCAAAGAAAACCACTTAAAGGAAGATAAATACTGTACGATACGATAAGAGCCGGTGTGGAAAGTGTTCTTCATTTGGACAGAATAAGAATGTGTGGAATATAACTAGTTTTAGTCGCTAATATGTCTCTGCACTCGTGATCCACAAACCCCAAAAGCACATCCAACATCCCACACATGTACGCCAGACATTTCACTTGAGTTCCACAGCCCGCTGTCCAAAGCCAAAAAAAAAGATCCACAAAAACCAACAAACGAAAGTTATATTTAGTACGAGATGGAAAGATGGAGAAAAGGAAGGAAGATCGAAGGATCGTCATGGTCTGATGATGTAAATTGTGTACTTTGTTTCTTAACTTCTAAGTCAAATGAAATTTTAAAAATTGATCTGTGATTAAGCGTCATTGAATATACATACATAAATGCAACGTACATCCGTACATACATACACACATAAATGCAAGCATACATATTGACAACAAGAACTACAACAAACTGCAGAAGTATCAACATTTTTACTTAACAATAAAAAAACAACAGCAACATGACAACCACTAAAAGCTTTTTCGCGGTTTAACATGCAAAGCCATGTGAGCCAGAGAGCCTGTCTACTGCACTTAGTCTCCTCTCTCCCCCGCTAAACACTCCCGCTGAAAGGTATGAATGAAAGCCGTTTTAAAAATATAGAGACATTACAGTATATACTTATGATCGCTACGAGTTGCGACGAGCATAGAAACCTACAAACAAAAAGGGACAACTAAATTTTTTATTATGTACTAAATATTTAAATAAATATGTGCAAATGATTACATTATTCAAATGGAGAATTGTGTTTTGGTGTTGGTGCTCCAGACAAGGAGAGCGAAGGAGGTGGAAATAAATAATACACTAGACAACTGGAAAGTATTCTCTTTATATTTTATTTGATTACTCACAAAAAAAAATGCAAAATTCTCTTCGAGTGTTGCTGCTGTTCTGTTACAAAAAAAGGTATAATATCAAAGCGAGAATCGTACTCTCCATTAATCATAGATACATATGTATATTCGTAGCCTAATTATAGCGACTAATACAAAGCGTTTATTACTTAATGGGATTTTAAAATCGCTTAACACTAAAATGTGATGACAAGTGTGCCTTTTATGTGTATTTGTGTGTTTGGGCGTGTAATATGATGTTTGTGTCTGTTCTGTTTGAGAAGGTCTAACGGCATCCTTTTAGTCTTGCACTCTCCGAGCAGCTCTACAACACTCCGCTTTCGCCAGCGAAACCTCTCCCCCGGTGCTTTTTATACGCCCTGTCTACTTTCCCGTCTCCATCTTTTCGCCAGCGCCATTTTCGGTCTTGCCATCGGCGGCGACTGCAGCTGCAGCCCCCTCAGGAGCCTTGACGCTCAAGTGCGCAGGACCGGTTTGCTGGATCTGAACGATGCGCTCTGGCTTGGGTTGCTCCTTGCTGGGCGGCGGGGGCGCCTTCAGGGTGAGCACGCCGTCCGAGGAGACAGTAGAAACGACCTCGTTGGGATCAAAGTCCTTTGGCAGAGTGTACTTGCGCACAAAGTGGCGCTGAATCATGCCGTGTCCGTCCTCGCGCTCCTCATGCTTTCCCTCGACCACGACCGTCTTGTCTACCACTTTCACGGTCAGCTCGTTGGGCTTGAACTGCGACACGTCCATGCAGACCTGGAAGCCATCTTTGCCAATGGCAGGCAGCAGCGAGTTCTGGCCTCCGCCAGACTGACGACGTGGCACTAACTGATGGGGATGTGAATGGTGGTGACTGCGCTCGTACGGTAGGAAGCGGCGGCGCCCTAAGGAGGAGCCGTGGTGAGGCAGCACCAGACGTGGACGCTGGAACAGATCGTGGGCATGGACCCCGAATCCAAAGTCATCCTCCAGAAAGTGATCCCACTCGTTGTAGGCGCCGCGGTAGTCATGTTCGAGCTCGCGGGCCAGGCTCAGTAGCGGAACAAGCGACATTTTATTTATATTTCTTTTAAAAAAAAAAACTCTTTGTCTGGGCTAAAACAAACTCTCACGTTGAGGCTTTTAACATGAACTTCTCGAATGCAACTGTTAACGGTCGCCCTTTACGTCGGCCTTTTATACCGACGCTCTGCTCACGCACACTCGTGCAAGCAACAAGCTGTTTTCTTGTTCTCTCTCGCACTCTCTCGACGCTTCGCGCTCTTTCTGGCACAGCCGGCACCACCACAATGCCGGCAGTTGTCTGTGTGTGCGTGAGAAAGTTCTTGAAATTTCTGAGAGTTTCTATACACAAGTATGTGAGGAAACGCAAACACGTTTATTTAAAGCATTTTCTTTTCTTATCGGAGTTGTTGCAAATTCAATTGTTTAAATGTTTATGGCACGTTTGTGCTGCTGTGTGCGGTGCAGCCCAGTGCAGTGATATTTTCTGGAAGGTTCATTGAACCGGCGCAGTCTTTTTTGTACATATGTACTTATGTATGTATGTACATACATCCGTGTTCTCGCATCGGTGGGATTCTTTTTTTGTTCGTGCAAACATGTTTGCAGCTACGGCTGCTGCTGCTGAGCGAAGTGAAGCAGAATTTAAAAAATATGTGCAGTCAGTTGCAGTGGCAGCTGCAATGGATGTATGGATGCATTTCAACTTGAATAACCCACATACACACACACACACACCCACTCCATATTCACACATCGAAAGTAACAGCAGCTGATGTACATTGGAAGGCAAAAGACTGAGTAAGTATATATATACATATGTACATACTTATGCATACATAAATATGTATAGAGACATTCAGAGAAAAGGGCTTTATATTGGGAAATGTGTTTTTCAACATCTTTAAGTCATTTACATGCATAAAGGCAGCGGCGGTAGCATCAGCTGATTGTGTGGTTTAGAGAGGGACGACGAAAGCAAGAAATGCACAGTCTCGTCCAAAATATTGGAACATGAAATCGGATGTAGTGCACACCCACATCCGATGATATGGGCCCTACTACTCATTCAACCCAGAAATAAAAAATGATGAATGTTTATTTTAGGTGTTTATTTATATATTTGGTAGTCTTAGGAAACCAACGCAAATTACAGTATTTTTTTTTAAATGCAGGTTACTGCAGGACACTCCTTATAACTAGTGCGAGTGTCCAGGGATAGCTACAGCATATAAAACAGATTATGGTCTTTGAATATGAGATTAAATCTAAAATGGTGGGAGCTGCTCCACTTATTTTTCGGTGCCGTTGTCCTGCTCCAGCTGCTCGTTCTGCTTGATGTTGAGGTGGGCGGGACCCACCTGCTGGATCTGCACAACCCGCTCGGCTCCCTTGTCTTCAATAGCCGGTGGTTTGGGAATGCTCACGGTTAGAACGCCGTCCGATGATAGGGTGGAGGCCACCTTCTCTGCATCGTATCCTTCGGGCAGAGCATAGCGCCGGATGAAGTGGCGTGTGATGTAGCCGTGATCGTCCTCGCGTTCCTCATGCTTGCCCTCCACCAAGACAGAGCTATCCTGCACCTTGACACTCAGCTCACTGGGCTTGAAGTGGGCCACGTCCATGGACACCTGGAACCCGTCCTTGCCCACTTTCGGCACAACTCCCGAGGAAACTCCTGCACCCAATTGTTTCTCCAGTTGGCGCAGCTGTTGCTCCATAGGTCCGGCCAGCGACAGGTAGGGATTGCCGCGGCGACGCTGGCAGTAGTAGGGCTCGTAGAAGGGCACCATGGACATGCGGCCCAGGTCGTCGGCGAGGCTCAATAGTATCGGTAGGCTTGCCATTGTTCCTTATTAACGGTTCTTTTCGGTAGTAGTGTTTAGATAAGACTTTTTTTTCTGGCTAACGTTTTAACGGTTAGACGGTTTGAATTCAACTGATGCCGGTCGAACGAAAGCGCCGGCTATTTATACTCTCACGACAGCACAGCACAGCTGGGTGGTGGCAGCTCCACAGCGGCCGCAGTGTGCGTGTGTGTTGTGTCTGTGTGCGACCTGTCAACGTCTAGAAACTGCACGAAGCTTCTATCTCGCTCTGGCAGCACAAAATGTTCTCGAAATCGCAAAAATTACCCATTATCTGCCCCATGAAAGCGAGAGTGTCGCAGGGAAAATGATAAGGGACGATGAGTGTGGCATCATGGGCCAAGTGGAATGGAATGATAAGTCCCATCATCAGAGGCCCAGCTAAATATTATGTACAACGCATATAGGATGTAAGGGCAAAGGCCGCGAAGGATAAAGGTTCTGGATTATTCTGGAAGCTTTCGGTGCAATTTAATACATTTTTTATGTCCCAGCGCTTCAGCAATTAACTTTAGTTAATGACTAAGAAAAGATAAATTAATTTTGGCAGACTATTACTTTGATTTTGACCGTAAAACCCTGAACCATGTCAAAGGAAATATCCAGAAATTTCTCGATGGGTATCTATTACATACATACATGCATATGCCAAGAGAGAGTTGTAGAACATTGGGATAGAGTGGAAGATAAGAAAAAACGTAAAAATATACATATTTATGTATGTACATATGTATGTATGTACATATGTATGTATATGAAATACACTTGGATGCAGAAATTTGCACAGATGCATACATACATATGTACATATTTACATTCATGTTATTATTTGCATCGTTTATTTATTCTTGGTTTATAATTGTAAAAACTTGTAGAAATCGAAAATTCCAGAAGTTTCTGGTAAGGACTATTAATTTAACACAGCGAATATTTGAGAATTTGTAAAAATTTTAATTCCTAATTGCATAGTTTACATACATACATATGTACATCGTGCCACAAGAAGCAACGTACAGTCCAATCCAAATACATATGTACAACTCTTTCCTCCGATATTATATCATCAGTGACATTGTTCTTTTCGCTGAGACAGTACAGTAAAAGGAAAATGTCTATTCCTGAAGGTAACTTTGTTTGTTCTCGGATACACTGTTTCCCTGCAGTACATATGGGGCAAGTAAATAAATACATATATATGTATGTACATATGTTCATTTGTACATATGTATATATGGATATATAGCAATCTCTTATTGCTATTCTACGGATACACACAACGTGAACTCCCCTCGGCTCCTGGATGTGCTCGCATTTAATTGTTGCCAGCCATTCAAGACTCGACTCTGTACTGTGGAGTCTGTCTGGCTCTTGTCTGGGCAGAGTGTGAGTGTGTATGTGTGTGTGCAACCGGTTACCCACACCCACAGGCTTACATATGTTTGTACATATTTATGTGGAGATGATGCATAAGAGGCACACACAGTTGCAAACTCCTATGTAATCGTACGTATATACTCCACTCCAGACGTCGTGAGTGCGCATGATTACGCGACGCCGCCCCACTCCGCCACCCTGCCCTACCCCACCGCACCACACACAATCCACACACAGACACTCGACTGCCTTCCAGCAGAGCGAAAACCAGCTGTTGTTGTAGTTGCTCCATTCGCCGGCTTCCCAGCCCGGCACGAGACTTTTTTTTGTGAACCCTCTCAGCTGTTCGTTCGCCCGGCATCGGAAATGGAATTCAGCTGCAGCACTACATATGTACATGAGTATGTGTGTCTACTTATGCACACACATATGCATGTGGATATTTGCATTACATATAGAGATGATATCTCCTGGGGTAAAGAGACCGTCCCCCTGTCTCAATGGAGAGCCGGTTTACCCTGCTTCTGCCGGTCCAAGGCTGGTTTTTTTCGGCTGGAATACTTTCTTTGTTCTCTTTAGTCTGCGGAAAAATATCTGAAAGAGGCATTCGGGCATCGAATTTCTATCTGGTGGGACGACGACGACTAATGTTCAGTTCCGCCCTGAAAACTGAGCACTGCACATAAAGAGGGGAAGGGCAATCCCAGTTTGTCCCCCTCTTGGGAGGGTTTCTATCTTTTTGCATGGGTCACAGATAGATAGACAGAGACGACCACAGCGGCGGCGGTGGACTTCCAGGCCAGACCTTTCCTTCCAGACTTGACTGTTTTCCATTCAGCGCTGCACAGCCGCTTAAAAGCGCCGGCATTCAGCCATAAGCCCTCAAACGTAATCCAGTTAGAGGCGAGAACGGATCGCGCGAGTGCAGCTCCCAGTCAGGCCCGATTCCAACTTAAAGTCCAAATCCAAATCAAAACCTAACTGCCAGAGCAGAACAGATTAAATCCCAGATACGGAATCGGTTTCGTTGCGGAAAATGTCGCTAATACCGTTCATACTTGATCTGGCCGAGGAGCTGCACGACTTTAATCGCAGCCTGGCCATGGACATCGATGACCTAGGCTTCGGTATGTATCCACTGGAGCACCAAGTCCAGGCACAGACGCAGACGCACTCCCACCCCTACGCCCCACAGCTGAGCCGCCCCGCCCTACGCCTGGGCCTGGGATCCAGCCCCACGACATCCTCTTCGGTGCTGTGGGTGCCCATCAAGGGGCAACATGCGGCGTCACCAGCAACGCAGCATCGCCATCATCCCTACAACCGGGTGGCGGGTGCAAAGACTGTCTGCTGCAATAAGTCGCTGCTGGAGTTGGAAAAGGAGTTGGGGGAGAAGGGTAGTGGATCAGGTGCGGCTACAGGAGCTGGAGGCACCACCGCGACCTCTCCGGCCACGTCCAGCAAGTCGGCCTATTCCGTGGTGAACCGCAACGGCTTCCAGGTGAGCATGAACGTGAAGCAGTTCTCCGCCCGGGAGCTCACGGTGCGCACTATCGACAATTGCATCGTGGTCGAGGGCCAGCACGACGAGAAGGAGGACGGTCACGGGGTCATCTCGCGCCACTTCATCCGGAAATACATGTTGCCCAAGGGCTTCGACCCGGCCGAGGTCCACTCGACGCTCTCTTCAGACGGCATTCTCACCGTCAAGGCGCCACCGCCCCCTCCACCCGCCAACAAGGCGGGTGTGGAGCGGCTTGAGCGCATCGTTGACATCCAACAGCTTTTGCAGTCGCAGTTGCAGCCGAAGGATGCGCAGACGCCAAAACCGGTTCCGACAGAGGCACACGCACAGACTGAGGCAGAACCGAGGAGTGTCGCCGCCCCAACACCAACAGCAGGAGCAGCAGCCACCCCGGAGAGCAACGGTAATGGCCAGGCAGAGGCTGTAGCTGCTGCTGTTGTCGCTGCTGCCGTTGACGTCGATGCCGACATTGCAGTTCCAGCTGAGGCTGCAGCAAAAGCAGTGGAAACTACTTCCACCACTTGCACTTCCACTACAACTTCCAATTCCAGTGCCAATAATGGCGTGAAGCTAGAGTCCGAGCCCATGGAGGTGGCAACTAATGCAGAGGCTTCCACTCCCAAGGAAGACTCTACTCCCAATCCGACTGCAGCTGTGGTGAGCAGCTCCGAGGAGGAGTCCAAGACCGAGCCCAATGCCAACGACGTAGCCGTGAGCTCTAACAATGGAAGCAGCGGCAACGGCAATACCGATACTGATGTGGCGCCCGTTGTCGGCGAAGATGAAGACATACCCATGGCCACGGCCAAATCGGTGGGGGAAGAGAAGCAGCATGAGAAGGAGCCCGAGAAGGCCGCGAAGTCTAGCAAGGGGGCTGAGGAGCTGGCTGCCGTCGATGCTGCCATACTTCTGGCCAAAAATCAGCCCGCTGCAGAGGTTGGGGAGAACGGGGCAGCCGCAGTAGGTGGAGAGAATGGTGCCTCTGCCGGGGGGGAGAATGGAGCAGCTGCGGCAAAAGCCGAAGAGGTGGCCGCAAAGTGAAGACTGAAAGAAAAAGAAAAGAGAAAGAGAAACATATTATTTTTCTCTGCGTGTATGCGTGAGTTTTATTCGTAAATGTTTCCTGTGTTCTCTTTTGGCAATTCGCTATAAACAGACAGAGAGAGTGGAAGGGAAAGAGGGAGATGATGTCGACTCAATTACTATGCGAGCGAGATAGCAGTATGATTTCCTAACAAATATGTGACAACAACTACAAGTATTCCAGTAAAACTTAAAGAAAAAAAACCACTAATGTACTTACAATAAAAACAAAAGAAGAGAATTCACAGTGAGCGGCGTTGTGTTGCGTTGCATTTTGTTTGCCGGTAACTCTTTCTCTCTCGCACACGAACAACGGGGGAAAAATGTTTGCTCTCTCACACACACACATTCACATCCAACAAGCTTATTTGCTCTCCTCGCTTTTGCTCTCTATCCATTTCTGACTCACACACACACTCCCAGCAATTGCCAGACGCTTCTAGAAGAAGCGCGAGATGGAGGGCATGGCTATAAAAGCTTCGTCGACAGATCAAAGCAGACAAAACAACCGTTGGCTTCCACCGAGTAACATTGCAAGAGATTTTTTCTTTAAAGTTTCAACATAACCTAAAAGTCGATTCAGTTAATTTTATACCACAAAATGGCGCTTTCTACACTGCTTTCCCTGGTTGATGAGCTGCAGGAGCCCCGCAGCCCCATGTACGAGTTTGGCCTGGGCATGCATCCGCATGCACGCCTCATCGCGCCCCAGCGCCATACCATAAACGGCTGCCCGTGCGCCTCGCCGATGTGTGTGTCCTCACCGGCGGGCCAAGTGCTGGCCACTCGTCGCCAGATGGCCAAGAACAACGACATCCACTGGCCCGAGACTCATGTGGGCAAGGAGGGATTCCAGGTGTGCATGGATGTGGCCCATTTCAAGCCGAGCGAGCTCAGCGTGAAGGTTGTGGACAAGTCCATCGTGGTCGAGGGCAAGCATGAGGAGCGGCAGGATGATCACGGCCACATTATGCGTCACTTTGTGCGCCGTTACCAGGTGCCGCAGGGCTACGAGCCGGAGAAGGTCGTTTCCCAGCTGTCCTCCGACGGCGTGCTCACTGTGAGCATTCCCAAGCCGATACCCATCGCAGACAAGTCCAAGGAGCGACTCATCCAGATCCATCAGGTGGGACCAGCCCATCTGAATGTCAAACAGAATGCCGTCGACGATAAAGGCAAGGAGAACGGCTCTGCTACCAGCAATTCCAAATAGAAAAGGCATCCATGCTATGAAGTTCCTGCATTCGTCAATCAACCTATCATTCCCCCACATATCTGTAACCTATTTATTCAAAATGCATTTGTAACGAGCTAAAGACTTGAGAAATAATTTATTAAATATCAATCACCTGGTGTGAAAAATAAATTTAATGTGTTCAACGATGTAAAGTTACCGTAAACCCAACAAAAATATCCTCTTGATTGGCTGTGATATACATATATCGTATTTATTGCGCATTTTATATTACCCACGAGTACAAGTTGTATTTATGTATTTGAATCCAATTGAAAATTCGGCTGCACTTGCCTCTGCCTGCTATTCCAAAAATAGTTCACCTTGAGTTTGGCGCGTTTTTTGATGGTATGTCTGTCCCTTGCCTCGACTGGGATAGGTTTAGAATTGGATAGAGGAAATCTAATTTGGTGCCATCTACTTCCAGGGCACGGCCAGCTTGCCCGTCTCGTGGACACGGATCATGCGCTCGGTCGGGCTGTAGTACTTGGAGGGAGGCGGAGGCGGTGCCTTGATGGTGAGGATTCCATCCGTGGATATGTCCGAGATCACCTCGTTGGCGTTGTAGCCGCGTGGCAGGAGATATTTCCGCACAAAGTGCCGCTCCACCAGGCCGTTGGAGCCTTCGCTCCTTCTGTTATGGTTGCCATGGACGATGACATAGTCGTCGTTGGTCTTGACCACGATCTCGTGCGGATGGAACTGCCGCACATCGATATCCACGCGGAACCCCTTCTCGTCCACATGCACCCGCTCGCCTGAGTAGTAGTTGTCCCACCGCATGGGATAGGCCCAGTCGTAGGGATTGGATTGTATCAGCTGGTTCCTCACACGGCGGGTCACCAGCTCGTCCATGGGCGTCAGCAGGTCGCTTCTGCTACTGTGGTGAGCGGGCCACCAGACTCTCGGATCGTCCCAGAGATACGGGTACATCTGGAAGTCGTAAGGAGCCTGGTACAGCGGACGGGGTCTGTCCAGTTCACGCGACAAATCACGGTATGTGGTCGGCACCAGAGTCATTTCTTTGCGAGATTTGGTAACGATTCGTTCGCTTTCGCGTTCACAATTCTTATAAAATTCGTATTGGCCGTCGTTAGTTCTTTTATAGATGACCGGGTTGGCCTCGCCCAATGTCGGATGCGGATGGGGATGACTCATCCCAGCCGATGCACCTCGGCCAAGTGCAGCGAGCGCCGCGAGAAGGCCGACAAGACACACACGAGCGTGGCCAATTGGATTCGCGTCAAGTGGCGTCTACGTCACCTATGAACGTGACGGGGAAAGGGCCCGGACTGGGGGCGGTATAAAAGAAAGTGTTTTGCTTGATCTACGGCGAATACATGTACCCGCCCCTATAATGAAACAAATCGACAGTTCCTTGGTTCATCGTAATATATTTCCGTAGTTAAACTAAGCTGGAGTACTCGTGGGGCTAACTTATGGAATAGGTTAAAGGTTAAAAGGTTTCACTAGCTTTTCATTCACTTCAGTCAAAATTCATCTCCTTGCATAGAGCATTTTCTCCACCCTACTGCTTACTGGTTTCAGTGCTTCCCTCCTCCACCTGGCCAGCATTTTTCTTGGCCGGAGCTCCAGTTTGTTCAATGGGGACCACACGCTCTTTGAGTGCCTCCTGGACAGCTGGAGGATTGGGAACATTGATGGTTAGGACACCATCGCTGCTCAGGCTGGAGGTGACCTTGTCGGCCTCGTATCCCTGCGGCAGAACAAAACGTCGCATGAAATGCCGCGAGCTGTAGCCTCCGGCGTCGCCCTCCTCCTGCTGCTCAGCCTTGCCCTCGACCAGGACAACACTCTCATCCAGCACCTTGACCTTCAGCTCGTTGTAGTCCTTCACGTCCAGAGTCAGCTGGTAGCCCTCCTTGGTGACAGTGGCTGGAGGGGCAAACTCGCGCTCCTGCCAGCGGGCGATCTGCTGCCAGTTGCGAGGCAAAGCCACGCTCCACACGGGCGGCTCGTGAAAGAAAGCCTGGAATGGCGACACGCGTGGCATCCTGGCCATCTCCTCGGCCATGCGTAGGAACATCGGTAGGGATCTCATTCTGATGTAAGTTTCACTTTATCTGTTGAAATTTGTCTCTCTCTGTATACGAGGTGCTTTCTGTTGACTTGATTTTGTTGAATTGCGAGCCGGCCCTCTGTGTCGGCTATTTATATGTGCCGCCGCCAGTGTCTAGAATCATCCGGAACTTTCTTTGCGGCGCTGCTTCCTACGTCTGATGCAATTTTGAATGGGGTGGTGTGGTGAGTGGCTTCTAGCAACAGGGAGATTCTCTAGAAGGTTTGTATGTACTCCATAATCAGTTTACGGTTTATTAGCATTTATCTCACGCTCTCTCAGTTTTGGTTGCTTCTTGAGGCAGGTCAGTGCTTTCGGCAGAGAGAGCAAATGAAGCGAGTGTTAGTGGAAGCGGGACAACTATCGTTGCTGGCCACAGTGTATATATGTGTGTGTGCTGCTGTGCTTGTATGTATTTGCTAAGCTTGGTGGTGGTAGAAAAAGCTCCAATTTATTTCGACTTTCTTATTTTGATTATATTATGTATCTACGTTGTGTACATTCATTTGAAATCTAACTAATGGATTTAGATACCCTCCTTTTCGGCCCACTCCAGCCAGGAGCCCCGGTAAATCACCACACTGCAAGAGAATTCAATTTATGTATTAAAGCAAATGAGTGACGGCGTCCTGTCTAATTACTTTGAATAACCCTGGGCCTTGGCAATTTTCTCAGCCTCCAGCACCCGTTTTCCAGAGCGGCAGGAGAATATGATCTTGGAATCCTTGGCAGGCTTGTCTCGTCCGTAGCTGGTGTTGAACTCCTTACTATCCAGACACAAGGCTTTGTCCAGCTCGGGCACTGAAAAGTTCAAAGATTTTCTACTGAAACTTTCTACAGACCACGTTCTTACAGGGTATGTTGAGGCTGGCTGGAATGCTGCCCGTCTGCCGCAGTTCTTCCTTCTCTCGGACATCGATCAGATAGGTCTCCGGGTGATTGGTCACGTTCTTGACCTGCTCATAGGTGGCCATGTTCCACAGTGGGCGGATGCGTTCAGCTTGGATGCCAGTCTACAGGGAACTGACTTTCTCGCCGGCACTGAAAGATACATTTTCAGTCTAAAACGTGATTTGTTTGCTTACGTCTGGCTTATCAGTGTGTTGTTTGTGTGCCGTTGTGGTTGACGCCGGTGGGGCCTCTAATTGCCATAGTCTTGTGGTCGCGGTGTTCGAGTTACACACATACAAACGACCAATTTCAAATTCGATATGGATCTGTCGTCCAGACATTGCTGGCTATATACAGAGACTCCATCAAATATCATGGAGAAGTTCCAATACGAATGCTGCCGTCTCCACAAGCCCGCACCAGAATATTCCTCTGTCTGCTGCGACTCCAGAAAAAGCTTTGCAGAACGAGCTTTATTTTCCCTGGCTGGCACTCTCTGGTGCTTATAAAGAGGAGTCGCAAACCCAGGACACTCCACATTTGAGTCGGAAAATTCACGGAAAATTGTTTGCGAAACTGCAGTGTAAACCAACCCTCCACAGTCCCAGGAAAAACAGGTCGTCGGTTCAGTGAACTTCCGCCAGATACAGAATCGAAATTTAGAAAAACTTAGAGAAAATGACAGATATTCCTTTTATCTTGAACCTGGACTCACCAGACTCCATGTACTATGGCCACGACATGTTTCCCAATCGCATGTACCGCCGCGCGCACTCTCGACAGCACCACGAGCTGGATCTTCACACGCTGGGACTGATTGCCCGGATGGGTGCACATGCTCATCATCTGGTGGCCAAGAAGCGCAGCGGAGAGCTGGCCGCTCTGGGCGGCATTCGTTCTGGGGACAAGAAGGGCAACTTTGAGGTGAATCTGGATGTGGGTCTCTTCCAGCCCGGTGAGCTGACCGTCAAGCTGGTCAACGACTGCATCGTGGTGGAGGGCAAGCATGAGGAGCGCGAGGATGATCACGGACATGTGTCACGCCACTTTGTGAGGCGCTATCCGCTGCCCAAGGAGTACAACGCGGATGCAGTGGCCTCCACTTTAACTGAGGACGGCGTCCTCACCATAACTGTGCCGCCTCTGGTGTCCCAGGATGAACCAAAGGAGCGTGTCATAACCATCAAGCACGTGGGCCCGTCCGATCTCTTCCAGAATGGAAATGGCCACAAGGAGCAATCAGCTTCGCCTCCCTCCGAGGCCAAGTAAACAGCTCAGCCTAAAATAAACAGCCGCGCCATCAGCCGCCAAGTGATTTCCCAAGACTCCCTTCTTTTTGTCGTTGCACTAAAAAGACGCAAATTTATGCACCAATCGTACTCATTATTAATTACAAACTACATTTTAAAGCCCAATTTTACCCAATTTTGAGACTAATTAAAATTCAGTATTATTAATAAAGAAATATATAAATGTCGCTCCTTGTTCTTTGACTGTTTCTTGTTCCGTATCCCATTCGTTCCATCAGTGCATCCATATGGCTTTTCAAAAGAAATGCGCAGAAAATGTATAATCAAATGCAAAGTATATCCACAGTTTGTTTACCCATGAAAGCTTAGCCCAACCATTTCCCCAAACGAGCCGAAAGCCTTTTTCGTACATTTTTAATTTGAACTGAAAGGGCGCCAAATCTAGTCACCGATATATATCGAGCTTTCAGTGATGGGAAGTGACTATGGTTCACAAACTAATGTTTCACATGCTTTCAAATCGGTGAAATTAATATTGTGCATTATATTATCCAGTATTCCTCTTCTATCAGCACACGTTGGCAACATAATTTGTATGGACCAGCAACATGCTACGAAAAGTGAGCAGCACTGTTCTCCAACATTTGGCACGGAATAAGCAACATGTAGTTGGAGGGAATTCTCCAATTCGAGGATATCCTGGAATTGAAGAAATGTTGTAAATCTCTGCCTCCAATCAATGATGTTGGTAAGCCATCTCAACAAAATTATGCAGATACCCAAAATATATGTAGTTCGATTTACACATGTATATACATAAAAGGCATATTAAAAACATGTCAGTCTAATATGAAGTCATTATTAATGTTTGAGAGAAGCCATAAAAGTATATTTTAATATTAATGGCAATAGGGCATACAAACGAACTTACTATACCATACATACCGGTTGACAATCAACAAACACTGACGGAACGTTTTATGCTTTTTTTGTTGGTTGACCTTTTTAGTTTTAAACTGAATTTGGAATCATTCCAAGAAAAGGATGTCGTGAAAAATAGCAAATCTTGTGGATAATTGATTGATAAATCGGATAAAATTATTGTTTTAGCGCGGAGACTCCTAACTAGCTTGTAATATCAAATCGAACGTCAAAATCAAGGAAAATAATTAAAGATTTACGGTATATTTACAGTATACTTTGAAAATGCAAGGGTATATCGATAATTCCGCGGTCACACGGTAACCTTAAAAATGTTTTGTTTACTTTTGCGGCAGTCGGGGAATTCCTGCAAATTAGTCGTAAAACAGATTGTCAGATCCTCCCGCCTCACACACATCAAGGCTCTGCACACCACATCATGTAAGTTTGTCGAAATTGCCCATCCGGAGCGAGTTCATTGTAAATGTAATCAGTGTCTGAGATTATGAAATGGTTATGTGTCTCTCCACCCATGCAGGGCTGCGGCATGGCGAGTACGAGTGGCAAGATCCCAAGTCTCCAGATGAAATGTGAGTACGGCTAACGTCCTTAATAAATCTTGAATTGATGTAGAGTTCCCTGCATCGCAGAGTAAACATCACGTACGTTGACAAGGATGGAAAGCGCACCAAAGTGCAGGGAAAAGTCGGAGACAATGTGCTCTACCTGGCCCATCGTCACGGCATCGAGATGGAGGGCGCCTGCGAAGCATCGTTAGCCTGCACCACCTGCCACGTTTACGTGAATTACAATTTTCTCGAAAAACTAAAGGATGCCGAGGAAAAAGAGGACGACCTGCTGGACATGGCTCCCTTTCTGCGTGAGAACTCGCGCCTCGGCTGCCAAATCCTGCTCGACAAGAGCATGGACGGCATTGAACTCGAATTGCCCAAGGCGACGCGAAACTTCTACGTCGACGGGCACAAGCCGAAGCCCCACTAGTCCCGCTCTGGTCGCTGTTGATAGTTTTAAATGTTGAATAAACACGCGTGTTGAAAGTACATATATATCATTCCCAACTTGTATATTTCTTAAAGTGTATACAATGCTTTCGCTTTGTGTCATTCCATCGTGAATTAAACTAAAGTAGAATTCGTTAAGTGGAGCCTATAAAATTACATTTTCTATGATGACAATTGTAGGGAAAGCAGTGGACAGAAACAGGTGAAACATTCGCGTTTTCTGCGTTTTGAGGATTGGGATGAGCGACATAAAAGTGTATATAAAACAATCTGATAAAACTATATTACAATTAAAGCAAAGTACAAAAATATTAGCTTTAATAGCAAAAAAACTAAAAGATCGGTGCAACAAATCCTACAACCATGCATTTGTGAGGATTGAATTGTTACACACTGGTCTGGGTGGAGAATAGGGCGCCACTCTCAGTTCGAAGAGGGACTGGCTCTGCTGGAGCCTGAGGCGGAGCGCGAACGCACACTTGCGCGATCCTCCTGCTCGCTACGATCTTCCTCACGGTCGCAACTCTTCTCGTCCTTGTCCAGGTCGGCGGGCTCGGATGTCTTGATTTGTTTCTCTGGTGCTGCCGCAATAATTTCCTCTTTTGGCGACAGATTCTCCCGCTTGATGGCTTCCCTCTCTGCCTTCATGGCTCCGCTGGCCGCCTTTTTGCTGCTCTTTTTCAAAGTGGCCAAGTCCTTGAGGAGACTGGAAATTTTACGATTCAAGTTATCCACCTTCATGTCATGCAGGCGCTCGACCTCCTTCAGCCTGTTGCGCATGTCATTTTCCTTCTCAAAGTTCTTGCCCTTCAGTTCGGTCAACTAAAAGGTAGTCACCATGAACAGATATTAGCAGATTTTTAGTAATAAAAACTCATGCGCTTTACTAACTTGTTTATCCTTTTCCAACAGTTCTTTGTCTTTTTGATTGAGGCGCTTCTCCAGGCTGGCGATGCGTTCCTTAAGGTATGTAATGGCCACCACATGATCGGACGAATTAGTGTCGACAGTGATGGCAGCCGGGGCTGCGATTGTGCCGTTGCCGCTGTTTCCGCGCGATATCTTGTCCGGATGATCCAATCCGGCTCCGCTCACCGCCGTAACGCCGCCAGCATTGTTGCTGCCGCCGCTCTTGCCGAGCTCATTGCGCGATGGCTTCTTTGCCGAGGCGCTGTCTCTGTGCGAGGAAGAAGACTTTTCATGCGGCCGCTTCTTGGACATGGGTATTCGGCCCTCCTGCTGCGCCTTAAGCACAGCGCGTTTGTAGGCGCAGGTACACAGCCAGCATAGGAGTTTTCCATTGACCTGAAGGTGAAACGAAACATGTGATTGATTAAGGGTGGTTACAAGGCTTAAGCCCTAATCTTATAATAGATTTGGTCTCTTATGAACGCAAATACATGATTCTAGACTCGTGCATATCGACGAGGTGGCGAGCAGCAGTACAGTTTACCCCGCTCGATATTTCTAAATTTATTAGTCTTAAATTTATGGTTTTAACATTAAGGGCTGCTTCCGAAGGGCGCTCCTTGGCCGGGTGCAGTGCGAGTGAGTGAGGGACGCTGACCTTTTTGTTCTCGTCGCGCCTGTCAAAGGCTGATCGCAGCTTGCATTCGTCGCAGTGGACTGGTGGTCCATATTTTGCCTCGTAGCTGGCGCATCTATTTTGCATGGTTTTGTGTGATTTTGAGATTGTTACATTTTTTCGTTTCACACGTGGCAGCAGAAAAAGAGAAGAAGAAAAATGTTTTGCGTTCATAAGAGACGTTGTATTGTTTGGTTTTGACTGATTTTTTGGTTCAATAGTTAGAAAATCAAGAAGAATCTACTACTGAAAGAGTTACAAAGTCATGTCATGAACATTGAAGGCACAATTAGTTGGGTATCTAGGCTATGGGGTTTCATAAACAACAATTTAAAGTTAATGCTCTGCTTGGGAAAGAGATTCAAAAGAGATTCCAACTTTGCTCCTACATTGTGCATTCAAGTTACACGGTCACACGTTGCTCAGAGTAGAACCAAACTACTTTTACCAAAGGATTTACTTGAGTGTTGTGTTTCAGTTTACAAAAACTAAGAGAAACCAAGAAGTGAACGGAACATACCTCATGCACTTGGACCCCGCGAAGGCAGCCACAATCTTGCAGCACTCGCACGGACTGGGCTTACCGTATTTTCCAAGATAGTGTTCGCATTTTTTACAGGCACTCTGTGATTTGCTGTGAAGTAGATGTAGGGAAGAACTCAATAGAGAGTGTCATTATCAGGCCTGGAGATCCATTCAACTTACGTGGCGGGTTGAAACTCCGAGCGGCAGTAAGTACATTTAACAACTGAGGTAGAACCACGGCAGCCCTGCGAAAATGAATTTTAATGTAGGTTTAGTAAATGCTGCAGATGCTGCCTGCTGTGCTGAGCTGTTTGAGTTGTTTATTAGTCACAGCAGACACCGACAAACAAACTGACGCTGTGGCCGCGACAGACGCTGCTTCTTCTTGCCGTCCATTTTCACTTAAATGCGCAGCAAAATTTTCGCAACAAAGCGACGCGTCATTGCTGTAGCTTGTCAAGATAAAACACACACAAACATCAAACGTTTTGTTTACTGCATTTTGTTAGGGCCACAGTCATTATATTTTTTTCTTTCTTTTAATTGTGTCCGCAATTCGCTTTTCACCTTGCAAAGCTGCTGTCCCGAGGATAATTCTTCGTATGGATGACGCGAGAAACACTTGGAGCAAGCGAATAAAACTTTTGCACTCATGTTAAACGTTATGATTTTGTGTGCAATTGAATTTTGTGCTAGAGTTAAAAAACTTTTCCTGTTCCTTAAATAATTTTGCCAGTGTGACCTAGTGTTGTCAAATAAATATCAAAATATCAATATATCGATATTTTTCGAAATAAAAATATATTTACATGGTTTTTTTTTTTAAATATCAATATATTGATACGTTTTAGCGATATTTTTTGATATTTCAAGTTCGGGAACTAACCACAGGATCTAAATAAATATATATTTTTATATTTGTTCAAAAAAGTGGATGTATGTAACGCACAGAAGGAAATGTTTTCGACCCCATAAAGAATATATAACTGTTGTTAGTAGTATTGATCTGCATCAATATCCGAGTCGATACAGCCATGTCTGTCTATCCGTCTGGCAGTCTGGCTCAGGGACTATATGAGCCACCGATAGAAATATGATCTGGAGGATTTTCGTTCTGTGAAAAAGTCTGTGGGTGTTTTGAACCAAATAACCATAAACACTTACTCAAAAGAATTATGTATGTGAAACGAAGAATAGTTGAAAAGTCAAATTAAAAACACAAAAGTGGAATGAGGAACAAAGATGTTACAAACATACGTAAGGTTTCTGTTTTATTTATGGGAACTATTTATACCGATGCGAACGGAATTGAATTTAGCAAATATATACAAGCAAAACAATATCCAAACTATCAATATCGATATTTTTGCAGTGATATATATAATATTATTTTGATATTTTTTCCAAGTAAAATATATTACCAATATGATATTTTTAAACTCTAAACTCCAAACTTAGAATTTTACTGAAACAATTATCTAAAATTTAAACAATGAAAATTATTTCTGTATGCGAGCGTGCAAGAAAGAACAAAATAAATAATTTGTGCACACAATAACCCATAAATATACCCAAAAGAATACACGATCAAACTTGCAAATATACCGTAAATCTTAATTAATTTTCCTCAATTTTGATGTTCTATTAAATATTACAAGCTAGTTAGGCTTTGTAGCGCTAAGACTATAATTTTATCCGAGTCATCAATCAATTTCCCACAAGATTCGCTAATTTTCATGACTTTCTTTTATTGGATTGTTTGCAAAATAAGGTTACTATTAAAAAGGTTAACAAAAAATAGCAAACAACTCGATATTCCCCGAAAGCAACTCCACTATCGGTATCCATCAAAACAGCCCTGAAAAACAGTTCAGTTAGAGAAACAAAGCAAATTGGATAAAGATGCCTACAAAAGGGAATCGCCGATAGTGTCAATTCAAACAACAACGTTCGTTTCCAGGCTGTACGTGAAAATTAATTTGCTGAAGAACTAAATGGTTTCAAATTGTTGATTTATGAAAACGAATGCGAACAGATAACACATCATAATGCCGGTGGAGCACACAAATATAAAAGTGGCGGTTCGCGTCAGACCATATAATTCGAAGGAATTGGAACATCAGCAGCGCAGTATTATCAAGGTTATGGATAGATCGGCGCTGCTATTCGATCCTGACGAAGAAGACGATGAGTTCTTCTTCCACGGCACCAAACAGAATTACCGCGACATCACCAAGCGTATGAACAAAAAGCTGACTATGGAATTCGATCGCGTGTTCGACATAGACAACACAAATCAGGATCTCTTTGAGGAGTGTACGGCGCCGCTGGTCGACGCGGTGCTCAATGGGTAAGTTGCCTTTGTTTACAAGCATTTCATGTCTCTAATTGTGTATGTGTGTGTGTGTGTGTAAAGGTACAACTGCTCCGTGTTTGTGTATGGCGCGACAGGAGCTGGGAAGACATTTACCATGCTGGGCAGCGAAGCCACTCCCGGCATAACGTTTCTGACCATGCGCGACTTGTTCGAGAAGATCCAGGCACAAAGTGATTTGAGGAAATTTGATGTGGGCGTCTCATACCTGGAGGTATACAACGAACATGTGATGAATCTGCTCACAAAGTCGGGTCCACTAAAACTACGCGAGGACTCCAACGGTGTGGTTGTGAGCGGGCTGAGACTGACGCCCATCTACAGCGCCGAAGAACTGCTGAGGATGCTGGCCCTGGGAAACTCGCATCGAACCCAACACCCCACCGATGCCAACGCGGAGAGTTCGCGCTCCCACGCCATCTTCCAGGTGCACATACGCATCACGGATCGCAAAACTGACACAAAACGAACGGTCAAGCTGTCGATGATTGATTTGGCGGGCAGTGAACGAGCAGCCAGCACCAAGGGCATTGGTGTGCGCTTCAAGGAGGGTGCCAGTATCAACAAGAGTCTCCTGGCGCTGGGTAACTGCATCAACAAGTTGGCCGATGGCCTCAAGCACATACCCTACCGAGACTCGAACCTGACACGCATCCTTAAAGACTCTCTCGGCGGCAACTGCCGCACCCTGATGGTGGCCAACGTGTCGATGAGCTCCCTTACATACGAGGACACCTACAACACATTGAAGTACGCGAGTCGTGCGAAGAAGATCCGAACCACATTGAAGCAGAACGTGCTCAAGTCGAAAATGCCCACAGAGTTCTATGTGAAGAAGATCGACGAGGTAACGGCCGAGAACGAGCGATTGAAGGAGCGCAACAAGGCGTTGGAGGCAAAGGTAGCCCAGCTGGAGCGCGGTGGCAGCAATGGTTACGATCCCCAGGAGCTGAAGTCATGGTACAGCAAGATAGATGCTGTATATGCCACTGCAAAGACGATCCAGGAGTGCGGTATTGGCATAAAGAGTAAGATTAAGATTATAAATTACCGTCAGACGCTGAAAAAGGATTTTGAAGAATTTAGGAAGATGTTGTCACAGGACCAACGGACGTGTCAAGAGGTAAGTGAACAAATGATAATTGTAATTTATTTGTTTTGCTTTTAAATCAACGATCCCCGGCTCGAACACATCAATCAGTCTTAGTTGTCGCCCAGCAGTTCCTTCTGCTTGCTGGCCAGCAGCTTGTCCGCTTCGGCAATGTACTTATCCGCGATTGCCGTGACCTGGGTCTGGGCAGCAAAGGCATCGTCTTTGGCAACTTCCGGCTTGTTCTTCAGCTTGCGAATGTGCTCATTCTGAACGCTGCGTATGGCATCGCGGTACTTGACAAACAAAGATTTGGCGTTCTTGGACAGATTCTCGCGGTGCTCCTTGGTCACCTTTGGTATGGGTATGAACAGCGTTGTGCCGTCCTGCTGGGGATTCAGGTTCATGCCGCTCTTCTCGATGGCCCTCAGCACATCGGGAATGGTTTGTGGAAAGGCAATCATGTTGACAATAATCGTCTTGGGATTCTTTCGTGATATCTGTGCCAGCTCCTGCAGCTCGTGCTCATCGCCGTTCACTTTGATGCGCAGCGTGTCAATGGATCCGCTGGTGGAGCGTAGCGACAGGTGCTTGATAAAGTCTTCCTTCATCTGCTGAACCGACTTTTCCATCTGTGTATTGAGACTGTCCAAGTTAATAATCTCTCGCAGCTGCTGCTCGTTGATTTCCACTTTTCCCGCCTTGCCTTTGCCGCCTTTCTCCTTCTTTTTGTCTTTTCCTTTTGCATAACTGCGTGCCAGCAGCCAGCCGATCTGCATTGGCTGCGTCTGCTTCTCTACCGGCAGTATTCTGGTGGGGCAGGTGAGCAGTGACCACCGCATTAGAGCATGTCGCCCACCCAGGGCCATTAAATGCAACGAATTCCTGAGCATTTGCTTGAAATTATTTTTGTAAATTTGTTTGATTAAATGCGGCAGAGCTGAACAGCTGTTATTGGGGATGCCAACTCGTAAAATTTTGAACCACGCAACGTAACGTCACGTAACCTAGAAAACGATGATAATCGTTTGAATTTTAAATCGTATTTTGGCAATATGAATAGAATGATTTCATCCAATTTTGTAGGACTACCGCCGCTTTAATAACTATATAAGTACACTGGCCAATCAAAACGATAAATACACAGAGGAGCTGCCGAGCTGGCAAGCCAAAGTGCAGCACGCCCACCGGGAAGTTGAGAGTTTAAAGCGTGAAGTCAATCAATCGAAGCTTCAGCAAGTCCTTGGCCTGTATATAAAGAGCAAGGATCTCGAACTGCAGATGGCAAAGCAGAATATATCCAAAAATCACCTATACGCGATCAACCGCGAGCTGGTGGAGAACTCGGACCTTATACGCAAATCCTTTACCACGGCCTGTGATGTGCTGAGCCAGTTGTACGACCGTCTGGAGGCTTCGGAGAAGCTGACGCCAGAGGTTCAGGCATTGTACGATCGCCTGCAGCGAAAAATGCGATTCGCTGAATCTGAGGTCAACACTTTGGAGCTCGAGACTGACGAGACTGAAAAAATTGGGAACAAGCGTTTTCTGGGCAGCGAAGAGGACGAAGAACAGGCAGATACACTCACAGCCAGCGCGATGAAGCGACAGTTTGTGCGGAAAGCACAAATTGATGATGATCTCCATTTGAGTGTGGACAGTTCGGACAGCCTGGAAACAGACTCAGACTCTGACGAAGCGCACAAGACATTCAAGAAGCCGCGTACTCTCGACCAGACGCAAATCCTGGGCACCACCTTCAATGCTCTGACATCGACGGTCACTAAACAGCGAAAAGTCCATCAGCGCATTGTGACGGACTTGCTGTCCGAACAAAATGTGCGCGGTGGCAACGACAAGATCAAGCAAGGTACTATTTATGAACGAGCTCTTACAGACAGTCCATCACGTAATTAATACTTTTCGCTTTCAGTTTTGCTTAAATCTAACAACTTTACCACCCAAGGACTACAGCGAACCCTGGCCGCTGCCTCAATAGCCAAGGAAAATGTAAAATTCAACGGAAATTATGTGCGCAAGAGCCCGCGCGCCCTTGTGGCAAAGGGTATGTACCCGAAAAGGCTCCATCTATACGCTATTTCATTCCTTTCATCCACTCACAGCATTAGGGGGAAGTTCAACGTTAACGCGCAAACCACTGGGAACGGGCACTAAGGATCCGCCGCTTGTTAAGTTCAATCGGGCCGCATCGTTTCGCTTGAAAAAATGAAGTGAGGAGAGGAGGGACGAAACGGGACGGGGCACTGTAAACATTAGTTTTAGTTTTTGTTCGCTTTTATTATTTAACGATTTGTTCTGTTGTGGGATTCGAAACCAATTCAATACCCACGGAACATCCGAACACTAACTCATCCAAATTCAGAAGCAAAAACCATTTTCGATTTGAGTTCTTTATTCAAACTGAAACACTGAATACCTTAAATATATTTATGTACGTTTATTTATATGTAAGTTGTGTGAAAACTGCGTAACGCGCTTTATCTAAAAATATATGGCCGATTCCTTGCCATCACCCAAATTGTGTCTGTCTCTGCGGTAAATGTCGTCCGCAGTCGCGTGTCGGTTATTCCGCGGCGGGGCCAGACCCAGCAGACCGAGGAGCATGTAGAGAAGCGCACCGAGATTCACGCCCATCAGCAGGAGGCCGGGTGCCAGCAAAGGACCGAGAAGGCCCAGCATGGCATTGGGAGCAGAAGGAGCTGGCCAGTTGGCAGTGTAAACACTATCGTATACGTATTCTCCGCGTCGCCAGGGTTTCTGTGTCGGATGTCCATTCTCGTTAATGGGCGGTCTCTGCCGATCGCCGTCTGGACTCAGGTCCAGATCCTTGTTCTTACTTTCAGCCGTCAGAGTGTAACGCGGCACAAAAGTTGGCTCAGCGACCGTCTTGCCATCGTTCCCGGACCCGCTGGCAACCACGAGACAGGCAATAAAGATTACCGGTAGCCACATATCTTCCATTTGCTTTTTAAAGCTTGTTTACCAGTCGCCTGTCGACGTTCACTTTTATAGCCACATGCTGCTGCCAAAGCCAAGGGCCATGAGCCATGACTGAGATTGTAGCAGGTGACAGTCTTGTGGTTCTTTAGTGCTGTCAAGGTGCCAGTGTGGAGGTGTACAATAGGCATATATTTAATTAAGGTAATCGTTGATCTGTGTACATATGTGTATAAAGTAATATAATATAATGTGATTAATGTAATTGCTGTTCATCTTAAGGTATCAAAAGGTTATTGTCTGGTTGCCCTCGTTGCGTGGCCAATTTTGTGGTCTAGTTAAGGCGCTGCGCTTTGAGAAGCACCTGAGGCTTTTCGATCTCCGCCTTGCTCTGCACCAACTTCAGTTCGCGCTCGCAGGCCTTGACTGGTCCGTCCCGACGAGGAAGGGCAGCGACAGTGCACTTGATCACTGCCTGCAGACTGGCAATGGTCTTCTCGAAGACCTCGCCCACATCTTCACAGGTATGGCTATGGGCAAGGAAAAGCGAGGCGAAGAGATCGCCAGTGCCGGTGAACACAAGATCCTTGCCGCCCTGCTTGGGTATGTCGATAGCCAGCCTGGGGCCGTTCAGCTGGCTGAGGAATGCGCGCAGGACTCCCGGTTGGCCGAGATCACTGCTGGAGATGACCACCGTCTTGATCTGGCGCTTATGGAACCAATCCATTGCATCCCACACGGCCGCCTCGCTGCGCACCTCCTTGCCCGTGAGCAACTCCACCTCGTATTGATTCGGAGTTATGATGTCGGCCAGCGGAATGATTTCGTCACGATAGATGGGCAACAGCTCCTTCGGCACATACAGCTGACCGTTGTCGCCCATAACAGGATCACATACATAAACCAGCTTCGGGTTAGCCTTACGCAGCTTCTGCACAATGATTCCTATTTCGCGTAGGAACAGTGGATTGCCGATGTAGCCGGTCAACAAGTGAGAGTATTGGCCCAGCAGCTCGTTCTCCTCAAGACCTTCGATGATCGTGACTGCAAGTTAATGGGGTTAGTCATAATTGCAGCATCAATGCTGTGGATGCTCACTTTACCCAGTTCTTTTTCATTGGAAACGGGCCCCTTAAAGGTCTGATAGCCCGTGTGATTTGAGAATTGCACGGAGTTCAATGGATCCACATCGAAGCCCAGCAGCTACACCAAAGGTTATTACTTTACGTGAAAAGTGTTGGCGTGTTGGAGATAACGAACCTGAAGAGGATAGGTGGCCACCTTATTGCCCACATAGCCATGCACTACATGACTCTGGATGGAGAGAACCCGTTTAGTTGCCGCTGCTGCTGCCATTTTCAGTGTGGGGTAGGGATAGAGACTGCCGGTCAATGGAGTCTCGAGTGCATAAGCGCTGTTATCTGCGTCTGGCTGTGAAACAAAAGTACCGATAAGAGAGCCAAAACAACAGATTCGAGGTTCCAATTACAAAAGTTGACCACCCAACCCACCCATTAGTGAAGCGGTCATACTGAACCTCAGAAATATACCAAAACATTTATTCCCATGTTCAAAAAATACCGCAAGCATACCAATGTGAATCATATTCCACGATGTTGACTCTAAGCACTGAGACTATAATTTTATCCGGTTAGTTCATCAATCAAATGTCCACAATATACACTGTATTTGAGGACTCCTTTTATTGGAATGTTTTTAAAAACAACTATAAATAATAATCTTTACATGATATTTGATCTCAACAAAAAATCTGTACATATGAACATACGTACGTACATTCATGAAACACTAATTAAAAGCATTGCCTGGAACACCCCAAAGCTTTTCATTTGTTTTTTTTATAAAGCTTGAAAAGGTTGTCAAATTAATTCTGTTGTTGAAGTTCGTCCTGGATCTCTTTCCTGGTGCTGCACAATTCATCGCGATCACTTGTGTCAGCCGATCTTGTTTTTGCCTAAGGCGCCTTCTGTGTTAATATACTGAGGAGAGACAATGGAGAAATGGTAAGCTTCTGGCGGGTTATAAATATGCATATGCACATTAATGGGTAATCAACAAGTTCGTGACTCTTGCTCCGCAGGCTTGCCAGTGCCTTTAAAGGCCTTACCGTCGAGGAGGACTTTACCGACTGTTGTGTGATTGTCGAGTCGAATCGATTCAAGTGCCATAAGGTGATCCTGGGGCTCTGCTCGGAATTCTTCAAGCGGGGATTTCAGTCCGACTTTGCGGAAGCTGCCTCCGGAGAGCTATATCTGTCCGACACTACAGCCAAAACGTTCGAGAAGTTCAGACTATTTGCGTACACTTACGATAAGAAGGAGGTCACCACTTACGACAATGAAACGATCATGAAGCTGTTGGACTTCTCCTCCATTTATCTGGTGGCAGTATTATCAACCGTCTGCATGGATATTATCAAGGAAAGAATACCAAAAATGAAGTATCCCGATCTTCTGAAAGTCTTTGAGTATGCGCATCACATTACCAACGATGATTTAATTAAATTAACCTCAAAGTACATTATCACCTTTCGCGAGCCTGTGCCCTCTGAGGTTTATCAGCTCGGATCCGATGTCTTCAGGGAATTCATCAGGTTACTTTCCATGACGGAAAGTATTCGTTTTGATATTATTGAAAAATACGTTGCCATGTATGGCTTTGTATCCCTTTGCGAATTCAAATGGCAGTTCAAAGGCCTATCCTCGCAGTCAAAGGAAACAACGGAAGCCTATGCCAACGAGAATCCGTTTAAAATCGAGACGAGCGATAATGCAACAGAAAAAGGCGCACAAACTGCAGACTCAAAGCGGAACAAGTTGAATAATGAATATGTAAAAGATCTGTTGACTTATGTCAACTATGAAGCCATGAGTGTCCATGAATTTTACAGGGGCCCCGGCAAATCAAAGCTACTAACTCTCGAGTCAAAATATGAGCTGTTGTATAAAATAGCGGCGAAACCTAAAGTGCGCAACGGGTATTAATCGTTCAGTAAAAAACAAAATCCTGATACAGGGATTCACATTTGATTTTTGTTTGTTTTTTAATACACAATATGTCCAAACACTTAAATGGGATTTTCTTCATTAATGAGAAATAAAGTGCAGTTCCTCCGTATATATATATTAGACGGTTTGTATTTTTATTGTATCCGTAAATTTGTAGATATTTTCTTATTAATTTTTCATCGTTTTTATGTTTTTGCTTTGTTTGTATTTTAATGTTTTTAAATCGATATATGTAAAGGTATGTAGTTAGGTAATAATATTCATTCGCCTGTTTGTTTGTTACTTGTGTGGTTGGTTGGTTGTCACGTGGTTGTCCCCCTACTTTATCGCTTCTTGCACAATTCGGTCACATAGCTATAACATCTTAAACATCATAATCATAATCAATTATTACAATAATCAATCGTAAACACACATACTTATGTGTTTGTATATATATTATATTCATATAATTTTGTTTGTTTGCTGTTTTACTTTCGCTTTAAACTTAAATCTAAAATATTACTTAGAGAGTAGCGTCATCGAGCATATTGAATTCGTCAGATCTAGGGTGTTGTAAGGTAAGGGTGAGGGTAATTGGTAGCTTGGGGATCTCAAGTTTTGGAAAATGGTGCATGCCGTTGTACGGATGCTCGATCAGGCATTGCGCTGGCCGTTCATCAAATATTCCATTTATCAATTTACACAACTTTTCGTTCGCGTTCGGGTTTTGGTATTTTGTTTGGATTCTTTTTTTTCTAGGTTTCTAGGTTGTTAGATTGGCAAATTCAATATACAAGATGGAGATACTTTTTGTTTTGCTTCTAAATCTTTACGCGTGCGCTCCGTTTTGTTTCGTTCCCTTCGCTCTGCTTGCTTGAGCTTTACTGAGTTTCAGTGTCCGTCTGTCCGCCGGCTCTTGCTGCTCCTACTATTGGCCCTTGTTTGGCTTATGCTTCTGAATGCGCACGCATCAGAGCACCTCGGACACATATTTCGGCCTTTTGGCCACGGTGGCATCGGCAGTAGTGACGCACTCCTCCTCGCTGGCCTCGATGTGGCCACTGTAGTCGGTTGGCAACTCCTCGTAGATAATCTCTTGATGCTGCTGCTGCTGCTGTTGTTGCTGCTGCACCGCCGCCTGCTGCTGATGGTGAAGCGTGGCAGTGGTCGGGTGTTGTCCGCCGGCCGTCACATGATTTCGCTTTAGTGCAATCAAAGCTCCGACACCTCCTGCACCCACACCAACGTCTGTATGCGACTGCTGCACGGCTACGCCGGAATTTTGATTGGATACATAGTACGGACTGCCGCTGCTACAAGAAGGAACAATTAATATATTTTTCAACAGTGCTCATGACTTTTCCGTGGCCACTTACCTGTACTGATTGGAATTATTGGACAGCGTTTGCTGCTGTTGATGCTGCTGCTGCTGTTGTTGCTGCTGTTGCTGATGTGCATTCTGAGAATTATAGATGATTTCTGGAATAGAAATGAAAATAATACCGAAAATCATTTAACACCAAGTAAAATCAATAGTATTTAAAGCTAGTCAGATGGACAATCTCTTAATTAATAGTCAACAAAGTGTTCACCCTCTTACCGGCATCAGCAGCGCGCTGTTCCATCGACATGCCTGGCGATCCAGGTGCTGATTGCAGCACAATATCCTGAAGAGGCGAGCTCTCGCGTGAGTTATCTGCAAGGTCCAAATAAAAGGGGTTAGCGCTATGATAGCAATTCACGCACTCCATATCCATGTGATTTACCCATGTGGCTTGGGGAAACGGGCGCCGAACGTGGCATGCCATAGGGTGGACGAAAACCCTGGCTGCTGCGCTGGCGACGCTTCTTGTAGCTGTGATCAATAAGCTTGGCCCCGCTGTCCGGGTCGATGCGCCAGAAGGAGCCCTTGCCTGGCTCGTCTTGGGAGCGAGCCACCTTGATAAAATACCTGCAATGGAATGGGGAATAAGGATTTAGCTTTACTTCGTCTAATTTGTGGTGTGATGGGGGGATTCACCTATTCAAACTGAGATTATGACGAATGGAATTCTGCCAGCCCTTGTTCGTTTCCTTACGGTAGTAAGGATAGTGCTTGACAATGAATGAATAAATGCCCGATAGCGTCAGCTGTTTGTCTGGTGCGGCGGATATTGCTTGGACAATCAGCTGAGCGTAGCTGTACGGCGGCTTCTCGTTGTGGTTATAGCTGGCTGTGGAGGGAGTCTGAAACAGATCCTGCTGTAAAACAAAACGGTGAAATATAAGTGAATATATTTTACACGTTAATTCCTCATGTATAGTTACCGTGTTATTGTTGCTGTAGTTGTTATAATTGTTGGGCTGATTCTGATGGAAACCCTGACGAGGACTAGCCGGACAGCTGTTGGCGGCGCTAATTGTACCTACAAAGAAGAGACACATGTACCATTAAAAGACAAAATCAGTATCGAATGAACAGCCTAACAGCTAACATTTCTTCTCCCTACTAATTAAACCTATTCAGAAGCCTTCGTTTTGGGTTCGCTTTGGCTGGAAGTTATGGCGCCATTCTCCGTCTTTCGTTCGGATTGGGAAGCAGCTGCCTCGGCGGCCCGCTTTTCGTGCCCCCTTCGCAAGCGTTGGGTAAAGACAATCGCATACATTACGGCTGTCAAAGACATGGCTACTATCGAGGTTTATTGTGGAAATGTTCATACGAAATGATTTTGACAGTCTACCAAAACATGTTTTGTTTAAACAGTTGACAAGAAATCGGATGATTGAAGTATGTATGTACATAAGTATGTATGTATCTTTGGTTATTCCAAAGTGACGAATACTTTAAATGTACGGAACCCAACTGGAAAGTGATTTCCAATTGGACAATTTGTTGTGCGATAAAGTAAAATTAAACTTGCCAGTTGGTGATAGATAGGGACTCTTCTGTTCCTTCTTGGGTATGGATATCTTGAGCGGTGCGTAGATGCCTGGACTGTCAACTGCGCTGATCAGATTGGTCGGCACTGCCTGTGGCACCACAACCACATTTCCGCCCCTCTGCTGCTGCTGAAGGACTGAATGGTGAAGCGGGTGAGATAGGAGAGGTGCATGAGGGAGTGGGGGGAGCGAAGGCAGCTGCTGGTGTTGCTGTTGCTGCTGCTGCTGTAGCAGGTGATGCGCTGGCTGATGCTGTTGCTGCTGATGTTGTGTGTGATGGTGCTGCTGCTGTTGCAGATCGTCTCTTGGCGGCGGTGTGATGATGACATTGGCACCAGTGCTGCCGATGGCATTGAGGTTGTTTCCCGCATGGCTAACTGGCACCGTGGCCAGGGCTGGGGAGGAGGCAGCGTCGGGAACAACGTTCGCCAGGGCGGCCACGTAGCTCTCAAACTCTATCCGAATCTCCGTGCTGGGGAAGCGAAAGAAGCATCTGGAAGACTCGATAGCGTAACAGATTATCCTGATACCAGTTATTCCATCGCTTAACTTACCGCTGCGGCAGCCTCAGAGGATCCACGTTGCGGCGCTGCAGAAAATCGTCGACGAAAATCCCGTTCTTGCTGAGGCACTGCACAAAAAAGGCGCGCACCTCCAAGTCGTAGAGCACCTGGAAGTGCTTCCGCGAGACAAGGTTGTTCTCGGCCACATTAAAATGCACCAGCGACGTAGAGGAGTTACGCCCGATCACGGTAATGGTATCGGTGATGGGCAGAACTTCCTGATTGAAGCGCAGCTCTCCATACGGCGGTGTCGTTGCCGAGCCCGCTGCGGATGCGGATACGGAGGAGGATATGGTGGCAGGTGGGTGGTTTGCTGAGTTGTTGTTGTTGTTGCTGCTGGCGACCGTCAGTTCCGAGCTGTTTATGCTGCTGCTGTTGTTATTGTTGTTGTTCAGCACTGCTGCAGCCCCATGATGCAGCTGCAACATGTCCTTGGCGATGGCAACAGTGGCGGCGTCAGCCGCGCCGGCTGCTGCGGCAGCGGCTGCAATGCTGGTGGGAGTGTTCAGAACGGTGTGTACCGTTACAATGTGATTGTTGCTGCTGTTGTGATTATTGTTGTTGTTGGTGATGCTGCTATTGCCGGTGGTTGTTGTTGCTAGCGTTGTGGTTGTGGTAGTGGCGGCCATTTAATCCCACTTTTACTATGCTTAGTTACTGTATTTGTCGGGGCCTAAAATGATTAAATAAAACGATTGATTTTCGCTAAAAGTAAATGAAAGAAAAATACTCCTACACACACACGCCTACGAAGAACTTTGTTATTGTTTGATTCCGTGCTTTCGGGAACCATAAACTTAGTTAATTTTGTTATTCTCACAGTTTTTCACGCGGCATTCGCACATTTTTCGCTTGTCCCAAGGTTCTGAAATATTTTCCAAATATATACACACAGATACGAAAGCGCACACACACCCGCTGCCGCTCTCCCTGCTGACTGGCAGTTTGTGTCCCCCACTTTGTGTCGCTGTCTTCCACTTCGTCTTTCACTTCGTTTCTGTTTCGGTTTTTGCTTTACTCTGTTTTGCTACCGCAGCCGCCGCACAAGAACTCATATAATCGTAGTCACACATACATATGCATGCAAGTATGTATCTATGTGTTTTGCTCGGCAACAAGAAGAAGAGAATGGAAAACAACAACAATAAAAATAATAATAACACTACTACTACGCCACACTACGTGAGTAAACACAGTCGCAGAGCACCGAAAATGAGAGCGGGTTCACGCGTGCGCTCTCTGCTTTTCCCGGGCATTCATTGGCGTAATATGTGGAGTGTGGTGCCGGCGAGAACAACAGCAGGCCCCACCACCCTTTATGGAGACAACGTAAACGGAGCTTGTAGCGTATTATACTACGGGTTTTATGCCTGCTATTAAAAGAGTATCGGGGGTATATTGGATTAATAAGAATACATGTGTTATTACCGAGTCAGTATCATGTACAAATAAGTAGTGTCGCGGAAGTTGTAGCGACTCACGTGCAGACATTTTTTAATCTGTTTCCATTCTGTTCCTTTGACAACAGGATCTTGCTCTCTTTGGGGACCTCTTTCTTGGGAAAGGGATTATGTTACAGCATTTAAACTAATTTATATTGCTGTAACATGGCAGTAAAACAAAATCATAATTTCAAAACTATCTTTACACATGCACTCGTATGTCTGTAGGACAGCTGAAAATAATGTTTTTTGTAAACGAACAGGTGTTGCTCAAAGTAGGAGTTTCAACCAGTCGTGGATCTTTATTTTGAGCCACTGTATTCGGTTAGCAGTTAGCAGTTAGCAGACGCAGCGTTCTTAATACCGTTTCCACTGTTCCCAGCAACGAACAACTTCGGCTCTTTACTTTTGTCGTTTCGTGAGCTCACACACACAAACGAAGCAGATTCTCGCACTGCCTTTACTCCACCCTACCACATGGCTCACAGAACCTATCAATCGATCGAGCTTGCATGCATAAACATGCAAAACGAAACCAAAATAAAATTAACGAGAACAACAAAAGGCAAACATACGCCAATACATACATACATATAAATAAACTCGCACACAGTTATATACTCTTTTCTACATACATACGTCGTTAGGTCACACTCAACAGCAGCGAAAGAAGAACACAATAAATAAATAAAAACATCAAAATACACACACACAGCGCACACACATAGATAACGTATTGGAAATGCGTAAAAAATGCCGCTCGTTGATTTTTCAACTAGCAACCGACTCCACCTGCGCATACATACACACATATACTCGGATGTGCATGTTTGTTGAGACAAAAAGCACACTTTTCACAACGCTCTTGCTTTTCGCTCGGCGATTGCGTAAACTTGCCGCCCGCTTTTTTCCCACCTAACATCAAAATATGTACACATACTTGAGCCTACAAAACACACACACCACACTTATGCGCTGGCAAGTGTGCGTGTGCACAACACTTGAGTATGTTCCAAAATTTATATATTTTACTCCGTAGTTCTTATTCTCTCGTCTCGTCTCCCTCTCTTCTATTTGTTCTATTATTACTGCTGATTTCCTCTCTCTCTCTTTCGCCTGTTTATATTTTTGCACACAACACGTTTTTCACTGCGTGTTTGTGTGTATATTATTTTTCGTTCGCCTTGTTTATTTTCCTTTTTTTCGTACCTTTTTCCAGCCGTTCTGCTTTCAAAATCCGGAAACTTTTCTATGATATACGTAACACTATATTTGAACAATATTTTAAAGCCAATTTGCGCACTTTTTCAGCGAGTTTAATGCGGTTTTTCCTATTCTTATTGCAGCGCGGTCGCAGCACGACGATGAAAAGGAGAAGAAGAAGAACGGTCGTTTGTTACGATAGGGTGGCGGGGAGGGAGGAAGGAAGGAGGCAGTGTGACCGCGGAGTTATCGATCAAGTATACCGTCTGACCCTCTGAAATATACTGAAGCACCTTTCCATTTCCGTTAGTATGCCGAGGAAAATCATGTTTCCCGATTTTTGATATTCTTTTTAATATTACCAGCAAACTAAGACTCCCAGCTCTGATATAATAGTTTTCTCCGATAGCTGAATTAATTTTCTGTATGCTAGAGTCTTTGCTAGTTAGTTATTTAAAAAAGAAAATTCAATATCGCGGAATTTGATATCCGATGTCGATGTTGCATTGTGCTATAACTTGTTGAGTATCTTCTTGTCTTCCAGTATTTTTCTTAACGCGTGAGGTATTGGCATTTAACCATCACATCAAATATTAATTCGTGATCAGCATCAAAATCGAAAATGTCTCCCAAAAACGTTTGAATGGCACGCAAATGGAATGTGTACTGTGCCTGTTGGGGTCTGTAACAGATGTTCAGTTCGAGGAGTCCGAGGAGGAAAGCGAGAGATGCGCTTTGATGACAGAGAATGTGAGTATACAAGCGGTACACATTTATGGGTATTCTGATGTGTGTTTCTTACTCCACAGTTAGCCAATGAAGATGCTGTCCATGTCTAAGCCAACACCAATTTGTATTGCCGTTGGCCACGCTTTCTTTGACTTCAACTTTGTCTGCTCCCAAATTGGGCGATTCGAAGCAGGCACTGGGCTTGCGTGAGAGGCTGCAGAGATGAAACTCGCCTAGATGGTTGAGAGAGGATTCGTCAATCGTCGCAATGAGAAGGTCAGGTGTATATTTACACTTCCAGCAGCTCTCCCTTTACCTGTTCTCAATTTGTGTTTTCAGGCAATCGAAACCGTTTTCGTTTTCATAGAGCTGAATGATGAGGATTGAAAGCTTCCGCTGCACCACTCCAATACACAGATGGCCGATAGGGCCAGGTACTGCAATCTGAAACATTCCAACGCAGATGATCGATGAAGCCTGGCGGGTCGTTCTTTTGGGCAAACCAGACTATAGTTTGTATGACATGAGCAACTCCTACCTACTATCAGGCTAACATACTCCTCAACGAAAGGGACTATTTCCAATCTAAGAATGAGAGCACATCCGATTAGGTTAAGATTAGCATAACAAATATTTCCACAAATTTTGTAAACAGGTAATGAACCAAGTTTTGTAAAAAAAAACGTGTAGCATACTTTCAGGCCGCTCAGGTAAAGCTATCACATTATTGAAGTATCTTTTGGGGGTGGATTTGATTCGTAAAAGCATGGCATACTTTCAGGCTGAAACGATCCTTATTACAAAAATACGTAACACAGATATATCCTGCAGTCTTCGATATCCTTGATGGGCTCAAAGGATAGAGGAGACACTCCCGCTCCCAAAGAGGCATTACCTGCCCTGATCCGACAGGACATGGCCGAGTTTTAGCGGTGCATAGATTCTAGCTAAAAAGGTATCCTTGTGATGCCATTATCCTTAATGTCCTTGCACCCGAAGTGATTGCAGGAGATTCCCGATCACGAGGAGGTGTGGCATGACCTGATCCGACAGGATAAAGCCAAACTATGGTGTTGTGGAGATTATATTTAAAAACATCCTTAATATGGCAATATCCTTAAGGTCCTGGCATCCAAAAGGATTAAAGCCGATACAGGACATTCTCCTGATCACGAGGGTGTGACATGTCCTGATCGAATGAAGGATCTTTTGAAATTGCTTCGCTCAAATGGCCGAAAACTGGAAAATTCCAGACCAAGCACCAGGCGAACAGAAATCAGCAGAAGGTAACTGCCTTCCATGTTTTTCACTGTGTCAAAAGCTGGCTGCTATGTAATTCGAATTTGCACAGTGGCGCCCCCAGAGATCACGACGGCGACTCATGGAACTAAATAGTGTAGTTCGATAATTGTTCGTACAGTTACCGGGGCGCCACTGTACCAACGATGATTTTAGTTCCATAAATGGCCGTCATGATAGCGAGGGCGCCACTGTGCAAAGCTAATCGTGATGGAACACTGTCCCGATTACATTACATTACATTAAATAGACCCCCACATTAAGGATAATGCCATTTTAAGGATGTTATCTATTTATTCCATTAAAAGTCCTTGTCTTAAAAATGCAACATAATAAAACTAAATAATAATTAACCTCATTTTTGTTTGCCTAACTACAGTTTCTATGGAATAGATTCTATAGATATATTCTATTCTCTATTAACTTATCGATAGTGGCTGGTCGGCGCGTGTGGTTTCAATCGCGTAATCTGGCAGCAACTCGATCAGCTGTGCACTTGTTTTGTAACAGGTCAATTCCGAATTTTCTGTGAAAATGCAAAGCCTGACGCGCCTGCTGAACTCCGCCCTTACGCTGCAGCCGCCTCAGCGGGCCGTCTCGGCAGCACTGGCGCTTCAACAGATGCGTACCAAAACCAAAGTCGTTGAGAAACCACGGCCCGGAGCCGGCCAGCAGTTCCGTCGGATTGTGCACTTCCCCGAGGAGTACACGGTGGCGCCGCTAAAGATTACACACTTAGCAGGACGCGATCCGGTCAGCGGTCGGATGGTGGCCAAGGGAATCGGAGGTGGCATCAAACAACAGTATCGCTGGGTCAAGTGGGTGCGTGATGGACCAGGCGAGGGAGCGCCGCAGGAGGAGCTCGTCGTGGAGATACTGCGCGACGGTTGCCGTACAGCCAAGGTAGCTCTGGTAGCGGTGGGCGACGAGCTTAAATACATCCTGGCCACGGAAAACATGAAGGCGGGCGACGTGCTAAAAACTTCTCGTCTCATTCCCCGTATTCCCGGTAAGTGGTTTCGCTTGCGTGTCCATTAGATGTTCATATTTCCCCTCACGCAGTGCGACCCAATGAGGGCGATGCCTACCCGCTGGGTGCCCTGCCCGTGGGCACTCGCATCCACTGCCTCGAGAAGAATCCTGGCCAGCAGTGCCATCTTATCCACGCCGCCGGCACCTTCGGGACGATTTTGCGAAAGTTCGATGACAAGGTCGTAGTGCAGTTGCCCTCTAAGCGGGAGTTCGCTTTCGACCGCATCTGCATGGCCACTGTGGGACGACTCTCGAATCCCGAGCACAACAAGGAGCACGTGGGCAGTGCCCAGCGTATGCGCGAGATGGGCAACCGCCCACGGTCGGGTCTGTGGAAGCGTAAAGAGGGCAAGCACGGACGCAAGATACGCCGCCTGCCACCCATGACCACAATAGCCCCGCCGCCAACCGCCAAGCAGGAAGCCATCCAGTTGACGCTAAACCTTTGAAGCATTTTATGTCTATAGAGTCATGTCCCAGGTCCATGCCGAGGGGAACATTATACAACTAGAGCTAAGAGTTATAAGCTACTTTCGTGTTTTCTTCATGGAGAAGCCCGTGCCGTGGAAGCTGTCTGCATCCATTCCAGCCTCTGAGCCACCGGCCTCATCGTTTCCACGGTCGCTGATGGGTTTGATATTGCGATCGAAGCGGATATGCCCGAATTTGAATTCGTAGTCCGGAACGCCGCGAGGCAGAACCTTTTTGAGTACTGGTGTCTCCAGCTGGCTCTCCTTTTTTTTCTTGCCGTCCAGGCGCACCCCAGAGCCCTGAAATGTCTCCACCACCTCCTCAAGGGCGGCCCCAGGGGCACTGGCATTGTTGCCCCCAGTTCCCTGTGCGCCCTGCTGGCCCGATCCTGAGGGCTGGGGCTCGTGCTCCTTGTAGCCGACTGGTGCCTCGAACTCCACGTTCATGTCGCACTCGATGATGCTGACGGCGTTGCCGGGCCGAGTCTCCAGGACGCACAACTCATAGATCTTCTTGTTGTATTTAATGGCGATTACGTCGCCCTTGGTGAGGCATGCAAAGTTGCGCAGCGCATTCTCCAGCACGGCCTTGGGATTGGTGATGTCCAGAAAGTCGGTGCTGTGCGGCTGGAACTTGGAGAACGTAGCCACTGGCAGCGAAACGCTCTCGATGCTCAGTATGTTGCCCTCCTCCAGCAGCAGGTTGTGCATCATCCAGTAGGGCAGGTAGCACTTGCCCTCATCGGCGACGAACTCCAGGACGCCAGCGTGCGAGGAGCGCGTCTTCTTGTTGTTGGAAAGCTTGAAGAGCATCGGGTACTCGACATTCAGGCGAGTGAGCGTGTCCAGAGCCGAGGGCGGCATGATGACTGTAACGAAAGTGTATGTATGGTATCAGAGTGGGAGAATTCTTTCAACACATGATCTTGCCTGTACTTACTCTTTCCGCCCTTCTCCACATCGGTGCGCTCATTGCCAGGAAGCATCGACACCGAGTAGCACTTGTATGTGGCATGGAAGCTTCGTCCCTCCGGGAACATCATGTTGAAGCCGCTGAAGTGGAACATGGCGACCGCTGTGTCTGTTCTGTGACTGTCACTATTGATTTTTTCTGCTGCGAAATTTAATGTTTCTTTCAATTTGTCAATTCATTTGTTTTTGTTGTTGTTTCAATAGCATTGGACAGTGGATTTATCGATCAAATATACCGCATGACCCTCAAAAATATACCTTCTCATTTTAAAAATATACCGTAGATATAATCAATTTTCCTCGATTTTTATATTCTAATTAATATTACCAGCTAGTTAGGAGTAGTTAGCACCAAAACTACAAATTTATTCGATGTATCAATCAATTATACACAAGATTGGCTAGTTTTATGACTTCCTCTCTTTTGTTTGATAGTTTTTAAATAGGTTGAAAAGGTAAATAGCTAGGGTTGTCAAAGATTTAAAAAATATCATTTCACTTATATATATATATTTTTTTTTAAATATTAATATTATTTCAATATCAATATCAATATGATTTTTTCCGATGGCTTTCGTTGTAATTGGGACCAAACCACTAACCATACAGTCAACGGACCAACACACACATGCGGTGGCCGTGTTAAGTAGAGAAAACCCATCACGATATAAATATAGTCTTATTTAAAAAAAAAATATCGATGTATTGATCTTTTTGACAACCCTACTAAAAACAACGTACCGAATTTCGCATCTGATTTTTTTTGTAATTAATATTAAATAAAAATGGTTAAAGCTGTCTGTGTAATTAACGGAGATGCCAAGGGCACCGTTTTCTTCGAGCAGGAGGTGAGTTTCCTCAACTGTAGCGTAAAGTTTCGCAAAATGTTATAGAAAAATGGCAGCCAGAGCAACAACAACAGTAAGCGAAGCCACTGGAATTGATGAATATTGCTAGACAGAATTAAATGCTGTGTCATTTAACAAATGCAAATTATATAAGTCCAATAACAGTGCGCAGCTCTGCATATCTGTGCATGTATGCGGCATGGGGCCAGTATGTACATGGCACGATTATACACACACTTTTCGCTTATCAGGCAAAGCCGACCACTATCATACCCTCAGAGATAATCAAGTTGTTCAACATCAATTTTCTCTATACGATAGACTAGCGAGGCTCCCGTGAAAGTCACCGGGGAGGTGCTGGGCCTTGCCAAGGGCCTGCACGGATTCCATGTTCACGAGTTCGGGGACAACACCAACGGTTGCATGTCGTCCGGGCCCCACTTCAATCCACGCAACAAGGAGCACGGTGCCCCAACCGACGAGAATCGCCACTTGGGCGACTTGGGCAACATCCAGGCTGCCGGAGACAGCCCCACGGCCGTTAGCATCACCGACTCCAAGATCACGCTGTTCGGTGCCGACAGCATCATTGGACGCACCGTGGTCGTCCACGCCGATGCTGATGACTTGGGCAAGGGTGGCCACGATTTGAGCAAGACCACTGGAAATGCCGGCGCCCGTATTGGCTGCGGTGTCATTGGCATTGCCAAGATCTAAGCGAGCGAATGGAGATGGAAGCTGGATGGAACATATATAATATGGTAACGATTATGAAGAAAATTCGGGTTACCTACTTTCCCCTTCGCACTATCAATTGGAAAATAACATACATATACGATATACTTTGGCCTGTGGGTATGTTAGGTTAAGTGTATCCACAACCTTTGAGGTTCAATAAAATGGTGTTTTTAAATAGGTCAAAAATCAACTACAGTCGCACGTCTTTCAATCTAAACAAGAGGATAATGGCAAAGGAAATGGAAGTAAGCTTTCAATTTTCCTCTTTGGTTTCTTCTTTGGGATAATCAAACTTTATGGAACTGATCACTTACAGCATAATTGTTATAACTTTTACTTAACTCAAGCACACGAGAATCGACTTTTGGTTAAAAGTCTTTATTACAAACTTAATGAACAATCGATGAAGTAGTATTATATACAATACACAGTGTAAACCAAAATGTTTTCAGTGTAAATTGATTTCACTTGACTGGACATTAAAACAATATCAACGCGTAAGGGCTACGAATGGACTACGATGAAACATAAAGTGACTAACTAGGATTAGCATGCTGGGTGACTGGTGGCTGGGTGTAGAGAACTCCAGCGTAAGTATGTGCAATTAGAAATGGGGTGGGGCATCAGGTCTTGTTGAAGTACGACTGATAGACGATGCCCAGTGAGGACGTCGCAAAGAGAGTGAAGTAGCTCCACCACGTGGCGAAGCCCAGAAATCCCTTGTACACCTCCGTTGAGAAAACCTGCAATATACGCAATACAAGTTAAAACTGGCACTGGCATTCGAGTCATTTGGGGGTTCATACATTTTTAAGGCTACTGAACGATGCCTGCAGCGACTGCGCCGATTCCATAATATTGAACTCTCCCTCTTCAATGGCTGTCTCAGTACCGCCAGATACAGCCGTCTCCACGTCATCGGCAGCGCACTCGTGCTGCAGCACGACAGCCTCGCTGAAGACGCCTGCCCAGCTGAAGCCGCCCAAGCTTTTGTACATCAGCGTCAGGTAGAGGCACAGAATGAGCGGAGCAGCAAATTGCAGGGTCACAACGCAGAGATAGTAGAAAATAGAGGATATCTGGGGAGAGGGAAGCAGGGAAGGTTAGATAATTCACAGTGAAATTCCAGCAGCTTATTCACACCTTTTGCTTGAACTCCACATTGGTGATGCGGCCGGCCTCCTTGCGCAGATCCAGTATCTTATCATAGGCCAGGTTTAGGTACGATTGCAGATACACGGGCATCAGGGCGAAGCGCATGACCACCACAAAGATGACCAGCAGCAGGCGCAGAGTTTCAAAGGCATGCGGCGTTAGTCTGGAAGAAGAAATTATCCATAATGATTAAGAAGAGGTTCAAGAGGATAATGAATGATTTACAAGCTTACAGAGGCTGTTGCATGCCCTGGAAGACCCGCACCGTCAGATAGTCGCGGCTGATGGGTCTGATCCACAAAATTACCAAAATAAATGGCAGCACGAAGCTCAGATTCAGCAGGACTTGCATTACACGATTGCCGCGGCAGTATTTCAGCGAGTCCCAGTGCATCTTGGCCATGCGCAGACCGGGGAAGGTGAACAGCGAACCGAGCACGCCGCAACTCAGAGCGAGAAAGAATTTGACCACAATTTTTGAGGCCGGGCCACTGGAAATACAAGGGCGCATTAGCAGATGGTCAGGTTAGAGTTGGTCTCTACTCACGATGAGGGTAGACCCTGCTCCGTGAGAAACTTTGAGGCGCTGACATTGAAACTGGTGTAGGCGTCCTCTAGTCCTGTTTCGAGAATGCGTTCATCGATAATCAGCACGATCATGGCGATCAGAAGATAGACCAGACAGGCCACAATAACCATGGACCGCTCGCCAATAGACTCCTCGCTTTGGAAGTATAGCACGGTGAGGGAGGACAGAAGCTTGAGGGCAAAGAAGATGACCAGCAGGCACCAGACCATGCTCAGGTTGATCTCCTGCTTCAGCGGAAAGTAGAAATGGAAGAGCTGATCGAAATAGAGCGGGAGCATGGTTTAAATGGGTCAATGTCAAGCTTTAAGCGATCTCAAACCTACCTCGGAGACCACGTATACAATGCCAGCGTAAATACTAAAGTCCAGCAGCCATTGGTATTCGGTGAAGTATCGCAGATGCACCACATCCTGCTCCAGCACCGGCAACGTTTCCAGGTCCAGCTCAATACTGCGCGGTATGTGGAACTGCCCGGAGACTCCATTCTGCTGCTTGTGCTTGCCCTTGGCCGGTTTCTCCTTGGGTACACCGCCCTTGGTGCGCAGCTCGTCGTCCGTTGGGTGTAGATAGCGATAGAGGCCGGTGCGGCAGAGTATCCACTTGGCGAAGGAGTAGTGGGGACTCAGTTTCTGTATCACGCTGACCATGACCAGCGTGATCACCAGTTGGGCACCAAGCACAGCCTGCAATTGCAATGGACAGTAAAGTGAAGGACGTCGAGTCTAATTAGAAACGTGCGCAGCTATTTTTGGGTTTGGTTTCCATTCTATTTTTGGTCAATTATTACGACCAGCACTTCATTTTTCCGGGCAAGCCGGGCGAGTTTTCCTTCATTTCCAGCTATCTTCTCAGCTTACCATCGCTTTCCGTTGATGTATTTTCCCTGTTAAACTTTCTGAAGTCGTGTTTGGTGTTAATTTACTGCCCTTAATTCATGTTTTTTAATTAAAAACGGAAATCTCGCACAGTTCTAATTAATTCATCCAGTGTGACCGCGGAATTACCGATACCGACGGAACCTCGGAAATATACCGAAGTATACCCTTTGTTTTTCAAAATATTCTGTAAATATACCGTAGTCTTAAATCATATTCCTCGACTTTGATATTCTATTTAATATTACGAACTGGTTAGGACGCCCAGATTTAAAACTGTAATTTTACTCGGATCATAATTCAATTCTCCACAAGATTGTTGTCTGATTTTCATCACTTATATTTATTGAATTGCTTTCAAAATAAGGTTAAAACTGAAAAGGTCAACCAAAAAAAGTATTAGATGCTATAATTAACATTAAAATTCCCTTTTACCATTCTTAGTTTCTATAATCTGCAAAATTTCGTTGAGTAATATCGAGCACGCTCAATTCAAAGAGCAAAAGACCTCTCTCTGGGAGCTTTGGCTTGAAATTATAATATACTAGTTAAAACGAAGAGGGTAAATTTCATCAATCTAGCATTCACTCATTCATTCAGCATATCTAAATTTAAGTAAATGTACAAATATATCTAGAGCTAAAATATATAAAAATCTGTTGAAAATGGCGGAGCAAAACCAACCAAAGGTGTGGGACCTCGGGAAATGGGACTCGCAGGCAATCGGAAAATACAATAGCATACCGCGCATACAACAGGAGCTGCGCCGTGGCAACTGGACCTACATTTGCGAACATCCAGAGGTACACAAAAGTTTGCTGATGACTTTTCCACTGATTTCCTATTTACTAGATTCGCGCCATCATTCGGGTCATTCTGCAGAAGGCGATCAACGCGAAACCCCATCCTGAGAACATACGCAAGTTTGTGGCCGAGTTCTTTAATTGTTGTCGCACTCCGCTGCTGGTGCCAATGGTGGGTTGTCTGAGAAGCAAGCCCTAAACTGGTTACCACATCCTCCCGCTCCCAACTCAGGTGAATACACAATTGAAGTACGTCAAGGAACAGCTGGCGCGTGGTCGCTGGAGTGCTTTCGATGCGGAGTTGCTGTTCATGGAGACCTGCTCCACGCACTCGCTTCTGTCAACTGCCTCCGTGAATAGCAATGTTCACCCCATTCTAACCTACGCGCTCGTCTTTAAGAAACCCGATGAGTGCTGTATTGACAAGCCACCGTTCTAGGACTCGCAGCAGCTTTTCACTATTTACACGTATATATCTAAAACACAAGAACTTCCTGATCAAGGATCATTTTGCAATTGGATCAGAACCTGTAGGATGACAGGCTTAAGCGCACTCCCAAAACTCACCCCAAACCGATCTCACTATCACTCCAGAGTCTCCTGTTCCTCCTCTTAGTGGCTTTTATTTGTGCTAACTGTTGGTTGGCTGTATCTGTGATTGGATCAAGTAGGATTATTTATAGGTCGGTTGGGCGTGATCTATAATAATTATTATAGGAACCCAGTTAAATCCTAATTTCCATTGTTTTCTGCCATTGATGTATCAAATGGTTTTTGAAAGTCATTCAATGGAAAGTTTTTGATAAAATGTTTCTTCATAATATTTACATATACCCACCCACATTTGTAGACATGTCTGAAGCTCGTCCATTTTCTATTTATAAATGTATTCACTGACAGAAAGCAGTAGGGCTAATTTGAGCTGAATGTACGAGTACTGTGCAGGGTAAACGCTCTGTCTAACACTGTCTGAGCCAACAATAGAAATCGTGTCAATATTTGGATTCACGAAAACAGAATTTCTAAATAAACAAGGCGCTAATAAAGAATTCAAATTACATTCAAGAGAGCTAACTTTCCATTCTTCTGACGATGACAGTCGAAAAACTCTGGTGGAAGCCACAAGAAGCGATGTGATGGAGCAGGGATAAATCATCAAACGAATTAATAAATATAAATATTAATGAAGGTGCAAATTTATCTTCAGTAATCATTCCCAATCCGATCGATGAATGTAGAATGTATTATTGGTTATTTTTTATGTCCTTTAAGCAAGGTCTAATCATGAAAATTCTACGCATTTATGTAACTTTTTTATTTCTGATTGAGTAGCACTAATTGAGGATTTTATGCTCTCTTGTGGGGTTCAAACTTCACTTTTTTATAGCTTTGCTCACAGGTCAACACTCAGCGTTCGGCAGAAAAGGACTCTGATCTGCCGTGACAAATAAATAAACACTTATTAAACGTTTAGTCACTTGCTGATTTTATTAGTGAATATTGTATGTATGTATGTGTGGGCCTTTGGGGAACGGATTAGATTCGACGGAAGGTCCTGCGGACACGGACAACCTCACGACGACGGTGGACGCCAGTGCGGGAGTTTTCCCTCCTCCGGCGACGGATGCCGTCTCCACGGCGGACTACGATCCTCCTGATAATGACACGACGACGGCGATGCTTCTTGGTGGTGGCGGCAGTTGTTGTTGTTGTGGCATCTGTGGTTGTGGTTGCCGACGCAGCTGCTGTTGTTGTTGCTGCCACTGTTGTTGTTGGTACAACTGTTGTTGTTACTGTTCCGGTGGCCGAGACCTGGCTGCATAGGACAAGCGTGGTCAGGACGACCAGAGAAAGAGCGATTACGGAGCGCATTGTTAAAGGTTGTTGAAACTTTTTTGGATCAGTTGGAACTGTTGATGGCAATGGGGTAAAAGCGATTATTTATAGCGGCCATCTCGCCATCATCTAAACTCCAACTCCAAACACAGATGTGTCCCAAAGCACTGCCGTCTATCCAGTTCCAGTTCCATTGCAGACTTTACACTTACAGTATTTATCGTGGCCATTGTTTATATGTTTGCTCCCGATCAACGTTAGTGAAATTTTGGGAAAAACCGATTAACACGAGACAGGGGAACAGATTGTACAGATTAATTGGCATACTTTTTGGATAAGCTCTAGCTCTCTTATACTCACACCATACACGCCCCCTTCCAATGCTTTCCCATCGAAGAGTGTCTAAAATAGAAGAGTTCTTTAACAGTAAGTCTCTTCCTAACACAACAAACGATAAAGTTAAATGAGTTCAAGAGTTAGGCAGTAATAACGAGAAATAGGAGCATACCATTTTCAAATCAAATGGATATTCTTTTGGTAATTTAACTCGGAAATAAAGACTTCATTGAAAGCTACTAAAAAAACGAATAGCACCTAAGAAGTATGCTAGGAAATCCAAAAGCTACGACTTTTAAAATTATTTCGCTTATCAGCGCGAATCACGATCAGAATATTACTACAATTTCTATACACTAGCTGCCTTTGATAGTGTATTTCTTATAGACAAAAGGGAGGGAACTCCTTCATTAGCAGAATATCAAGCAGAATAGATACAATTTCTCTGGCTTGGCGGTTCCCAGAACACGATTTAATTCCGCTTTCGTTCTTTAATTTCAACTTATTTATATACCATTTGTGGTAGATGTTTTTGTGTGATAGCTCTGCAGTTTCGTCAACACACATGTTTTTGCAGCGGCAGAACAATGGGCCTTAGAGTAGAGAATATTTGTGCCTTTATAATAAGATAATGATGTGAAGGTGGGAAGATGTTTAGACTTAATGGAAATCCGATTATAATATAGTTATCTCTCTCGAAGTGCACACAGAATAATATAAGAAACATCTTAAATTTGTAAAATAGTCGAAAAAGGAAAAGGAAATATAGACAATGCAATGGCTAAGAAAGCGCGGAAAGACCCAGCAGAGCAGAGCACATAGCACATATTCTGCGGGAAGAAAATTGTTTCCATATTTCTTGTGGTATAAATAGCAAGGCCTGATTGATGGATTCAACAGAAAGACAAGCTTTAGCAGAAACGAGAGTTACCATGCGATACCTTTTTGTGCTTTCCCTGCCCATTCTGGCCACTCTCGTGTGTGTGTGCCCCTGACCACAGCGGCGTCCTCCACATCGAGCACCAGCAGCTCCGCGTCAATCAGCACGGAAACAGAATCCACCACTGAGACGGTGGCAGTGAGCACCACCACGACAGCAGGAGCAGCAGCCTCGACTACATCTGCATCAGCATCTGCTTCAACAAAACGGCCTTGTCGTCGTCCCGACGGTGATTGTGGATGTGGTGGCATAGGACGCGACGGAGGCGGTCGTGGAAGGGGCAGGAGGGGACGTGAAGACGGCGAACGGGGAGAAGGACGCAGCGGTGGAGGGGGACGCGGTGGAGGTGGTGGAGGTGGTGGAGGCGGACGCTCTCGTGGGCGCTCTAATGGACGCGGATCTAATGCATGGCTAAGTGATTCAGCAGTATATTCACCACGAATTCAATAAAAGTCAAAGAAAAATGCACTACGACTTTTTGCGATTTCGTATTCTTATGGGTTTTGAGGGTAGAAGAATCATAGCGGTGTATCGTGTGCTTTCATTCGTTTAACGATTACGAAACAGCATGCTTAGCACAGATTCTGGAAAAGTAGGCCTCTGGGGCTACCGACTGTCGATTGATAAACACAAAATTCAGTTAATATTCTTTATTTGGCAATTAGTATTCCGGTTGTTCAGCATTTAACCCTATGTGAGCCTTCGGCGAGTCACAATCACGTAGGTCCTGATGCACCTGCTCGGGTTCTTGCACTTCGTTACGGATGATTGCGTTGTAGTTGCTGAGGCTACCAACTGCATGGCCAACGCGAACAAAGTAACCAGGAAAAGGAGCTTCATGTTGAGTAATTGGATTTCTGTGTAGAGCACTTATCGACTTGATGGGAACAACGGGTTTTGTGATTGATTGATGTGGCATTCGACGTACTATTTATACTAGTAACGATTATTATTCGCACCAGCAACAGCACCAAGCCCAGCTGCGAGAAGTCCACAAAATGTAAGCCAAATATTTGCTCTGTTATGTAAGCTATAAAAATTCAGTTGGCAATTCCAAATATGAGCCCAAGAGATGTTTTTATGTATTATTCACATTTCCTTCTCAAAGTATCCAACTGGTGTGTGGTTACAGTTTTGCTCAAATTATACAATTGTTCAAACATATCCCCCATTGGCGAATGGCAAATATTTGGGTATTTGCTTCGTATTGATTCCTTCCTTTTACATTATGCTCTTCCATGTGGGGAGGGGAAGATAAGTATGTGGGGTAAACACCTCTCTCCTTTTTTGGCTTCGACCGTGAGTAACCTAGGGATATTTATTAGGTTCAGCGTGAGAATCATTAGTGTGTTGAGCCAGTAGAGAGTGGTCATGGTTTAGGTCGAGGTTTGAATTAGGTTATACTTCAAGGAGACGCAACAGCGGGAAAAACGAGACCAGTAAGTCAACCGAGACCGTGTTCGAAGTGGACGTTGTTCGGAGGCAGCAACAACCGTTGCATCTGCAGCTACAACAACGACGACAGCAGCATCAGTGACCACTGCAACTACCAAGAAAACAACAAGGAGATGCTGGAGGGGAAACAATTGGTGCAACACCCGCAAGCAAGTGAAGTGCAAGAACCCCAAGAAGTGCATCAAGACTATTGTGGTAGTGCGTCGCAGAAGGAACTAAAAATCTACATATTCCAAAATAACAAACAATAAATTTTACGACTGCTCTGAAATCATACAAGTTTTATATTTACATCCGGCCAATAGGGGTTCTTTTCTTACACGAGAAGTAAGGCATTTAACTTGTCCGGCTCCTGGACATCTAGAATATAGACAGTCAGAGGATTCATTAATTTGTCTGTTCTTTAATATAATGCCAAATACCCAAGCTATCCAATAACAGCCAGTTGTAGCACATTTACATATGTATGTACATACATCATACTATATACAAATGTATTTATTTGAAATTGATCCACCAATCGCCTACGTAATTCGAAGTTCAAGGGAAGTGCAACGAACGCAAAGGTCGAAATATCTTACATAGTTTATTTAAAAGTGTCTTTGCAAGTGCATTCGCATAAATGGGGCAAGTGGACCATGAGTACCTACCGATAATGCTAGCTGCCTGTAAGCCATTCTCCAAAGTTATTTGATGAGCAAGAACAGTCGTGTGAAAATGCTTCTCAATACTTATGAGCAGCAGTAAGATCTTATTGTTTCATGCCACTAGAGGAGACAGGTACCCTCGAGAAGATTCAGAGAAACAGTAAAACCCAACTTCAACTACGAAGTGAACGACTATTGTGGCATATAGTGGACATCGAATCTATCGGTCTGAATGATTCTGAGTAATCTTTCCTTCCAAAACCTTAATACCATTAAATTCTTTTCAATTGATTTCTGATTTATTTTGTTGTACTTCTTAGATGCCATTTAATTCCTCCTGCGACGCACCACCACAATGGTCTTGATGCACTTCTTGGGGTTCTTGCACTTCACTTGCTTGCGGGTGTTGCACCAATTGTTTCCCCTCCAGCATCTCCTTGTTGTTTTCTTGGTAGTTGCAGTGGTCACTGATGCTGCTGTCGTCGTTGTTGTAGCTGCAGATGCAACGGTTGTTGCTGCCTCCGAACAACGTCCACTTCGAACACGGTCTCGGTTGACTTACTGGTCTCGTTTTTCCCGCTGTTGCGTCTCCTTGAAGTATAACCTAATTCAAACCTCGACCTAAACCATGACCACTCTCTACTGGCTCAACACACTAATGATTCTCACGCTGAACCTAATAAATATCCCTAGGTTACTCACGGTCGAAGCCAAAAAAGGAGACCAGTGTTTACTATATGTATGGTACATATAACGTACGAGTACTTCTTATGTCTTATGGATTGTGTATCAATACGAAGCAAATAGCTAAATATTTGACATGCTTATGTGCTCCCTAAGATATTATGTTTGAACAATTGAATAATTTGAGCAAAACTGTAATCATATTAACCACACACCAGTAGGGTACATTGAGCAGGAAATACTCTCTGAGGTAGCTGCCAGCACATAAGAGTTACAATTATTGTATACACCCTTCGTTCACTCTTCTTCGTGTATGGGAAAACATGTCTCTTGGTGTGCTATCTGTATCTACTTACTGAATATTTAAAGCTTTACAGCTTGAACAAACATTTGCTGTTGCCTTTCCTGTTGGCTTACATTTTTGTCTGTTTACCGTTACTAAGAGGTAATCAAAGCTTTGCAAAACATTCCAAAAGGGAAGTGTGCGGAATTCAGAAGTCGGAACAGAAGCAAAACCCCTTTAAAGACTCAATATCTCCCGTCAGTTAATCATAACACTCAGTCACATCAGGCCGATAGGAGCTGCACAAATTTCCAGAAAATTCACAGAAGTATTCAGGCGAATCGAAAATGAAATTCCTGTTCGTAGCCGCCCTCATTGCTCTAGCCATCCAGTTGACTCTGGCGCAGACTTCACCTGCAACAACGGAGGCAGCAACAGCTACAACGACCGTTTCATCAGTGACCGCTGCAACTACTAAGAAAACCACAAGGCGATGCTGGAGGGGAAACAATTGGTGCAACACCCGCCAGCAGGTGAAGTGCAAGAACCCCAAGAAGTGCATCAAGACCATTGTGGTGGTGCGTCGCAGGAGGAACTGATTGATCTGAAATGAACATTATAATTTTAATATTGATAAAAAAATAAAGAAAGAAAGAAATAATAATGGCAAAACTTGCGTTCTTATTGCATCTGGAGCAACTCGGGATTGTTGTAGATTTCGGATTCATTTTTGTAGGCTTTCGAAATAGTTTTCTGCATCCAATAATATTTCGACTTCTCTTACATACGTATTTGTATCGTTTATTATACGAGAACTACTGTGATGAAGCGTTGAATCATTTGTAAAGTTTTCTTCCGTGGTCTGACCCAATTGTTATTTATTTTTCTGCTATGAAAACTCATATTGTATAAATAGTAATATGTACAAAAAATTCGTTAAAAAAACTTCGCATAATGCAGAGGGACAGGAGAAGAAGAAAGAGTATAAAAGAGAGAGAAGTAGATAACTTTTACAATGGAAAGACAATGTGGCAGCCGAATCGACATTCGGTTATTAATTTCTTTCTTGCCATATAATCGTAGTGAGAAATTGTTTTGTGTTTTGCTATTTCAGTCCAATCAGTGGTCTCAAAATCAACCAAAAATTTAATTCGATTTCTATACGTTTTTCTCTATACCAAATGCACCATCGAAAGGAATTTTTAGTGTTGCTGCTGTGGTATTTGTTGATTTTGTTGATGCTCTTTCTGTTGCTGCTGTACCGGAAGCTGTTGACTTTGCACAGATGGCGGCTGTTGATTATTCAATTGCTGGGCTTGGGGCTGTTGTTGTTGCACGGGTTGCTGTTGCTGTACATGTTGCTGGCTTCCGGGTTGTTGTTGCTGTTGAATGGGTTGCTGCTGTACTGGCTGCTGCTGTTGTTGAACAGGTTTCTGTTGCTGCTGTTGCACTGGCTGCTGCTGATATTGCACGGGCTGCTGCTGTTGCACAGGTTGCTGCTGCTGTTGCTGATGCTGCACGGGCTGCGGCTGCTGCTGTTGTTGCTGCTGCACGGGCTGTGGCTGCTGATAGACTGGCTGTGGCTGCTGTTGTGGTATCTGTCCGGCATGCTGATATACCTGATTGGGATGCAATTGCACGGGTTGTCCATTGCCGTATTGCTGTTGCTGGTACTGCTGCGCGTATTGCTGTTGCTGCTGAGCATATTGTTGCTGCTGCTGTGCGTGCTGCTGTTCTGCCTGCTGGTAGTGGAGCTGAGCTCCAGGCGGCGCTTCATGGTAGGCCACACCGCCGGGTGGCGGCGCTGAGTAGTAGCCTTGAGGCATATTTGGGTGGGGCGGCAGTTGTCCCTGGGCAATCATTCTTTGCACTTCCTCCTGGCGGCGGCGCTCGTACTCCAGATACTCATCGTGAGTGTATTGCGGCTGTTTGTCGATGGTCTCCCATTCGGGATCCTTCTGGAACTCGTCCTTCGTAGTTTGCATCATGAACTCCTCGATGCTGATCAATCCATCGTGATTGGTGTCCGTCTCCTGGAAGTAATGCTCACGCATGCGCTCCATTTCCTCAGCCCTTTCGCGCATATCGTCCTCGGGCAGATCACTTTGATAGACCTTGTCCAGTTCCTTGACAAACAGGGCCTTCACTTCGGCCTCGTCCCAGTAGCCGTTGCTGTCCACGTCGTGGATGGAGAAGAAGGTCTTCGGCTCAAAGTCATTCTTGTCCATATGGTCCTGCTTCTCCCATACCTCTTCCAGTTGAGCCTTGTTGCCAGGATGGTGTAGTTTGCCGTGCTCCTTGTGCTTCTCCTCCTTTTGTTTGAGCTCCGCTTCGAACTTCTTACGCGACGCCTCGTCCATTTCCTTCTTCTGGGCCTCGCGCTCGAACTCCTTTTGCATTTCGTATTCCTTGAAATCCCCACGACGCTTGCGATCCGCCTCGGCCAGATCATCAGACGTTTTCTGAATCAACTTCTTCAAATCCTCTATCTCGAAAGTGTGCGCATTGTCATGATCCAAATGCAGAGGCACCTTCAGATGCTTCCGATCGATGTCGTTCCTTAGCTCATAGGCCTGATTGGCCAGCTCGCGCAGTCGCTCCAACTCTCGTCGCTTTATTTCGTCAAGCTTTGTTCTCACATGATGATTCACATAGTCAAGCTCTTGAGCTATTTTGCCACTCTGCAAAAAAACAGAAGACCTTGGTTATCGCTACAACATATGGGAAATCCCCTGCACACTTACACGTATGTCTGCCTCGGGGGCCTTGTCCAGCTTTTGTCGAAACTCGGGATCAGCTTCCAGTGCCTCGACCACTTCCCTCAGATAACGCTCATACTCCAGAGCCGTCTCCACGTCAGCTGTGGCGGGGGTGCTGCTGGATTCAGCCTCCTTGGCGTCCGCTTTTTTGTTTTGAGTCACGGGCAAAGCTGTCACCGTCGAAATCGCAATGAAAATAATCAAAGCCAGGCCCAGCAAGGACAGATTATGTGCTTGCTTGCACTTCATGGTTGCGAGTGGTGTGTTCTGAGCGCGTGCCTGAGGTTTTGATTCGACAACTGTGCAAATATTTAAATAAAAGAATTAAATATTCTGACGTGTCGCGACTGCGGATTTGTCGACAAAAGTCTAACCCTCATAAATATACCAAAATATTGGCTCAGATATGCCATTATATACTATACGATAGTTTCAGCTGGAACAAGAACCTTGAACTCGTAACTTAACAATTATTATCAATATTTAATAATTTCGATCTGCTAATCAGCGGTTTAAATGTTAATAGGGTATTCATACTTCGATTTTTTTAAATTGCCTCTTTCGCCTGGAGAGCAGCCAATTAAAAAAATGTTCACCGTCTAAAATGTCACACAAAAATACCAACCATAAAAATACTGTGATGTTTTACAGTGAAGCCCCGATTTAAAGATAAATTCACAATTCACATTCATTACGTATATTCGTTTTGGCTGCGTTTGGAATGCTCACGGTACTTACTTAAACTACTTGTTATTGTACATAGAGGCAATAGCCGGATCCTCCGTCTCATAGATGATCAGCACGTCGCGGAACTTGTCGAGCAACTGCAGCAGCTGGGAACGCCGCAGGTTCTCAAAGTACATGATCTCCTCGAGATGATGCTCGCTCTTGAAGTAGCCCATCTGATAGAGCTTGACCAGCAGCGCCAGGTCGTCGACGTTGAGCGAGGCAGGTATACGGCGGATGGCGGCCCGATCTGCATCGTTGAAGACCTGCAACAGCTCCTTCAGCTTCTGCTCATCCTCCATCGAATCGATGCTGTCGCAATTGTCCGTGCTCAGCGAGGCGGTCATACTGAAGTTCGACTTGTGGCTGGATGAGGGCTGCACGGCAATGTTGTCTGAGGCCAGCGAGGAGTGGTCCTCGGAGACGTCTCGCCGATGACTGATAGATGGCACGGGGACGGGCAACGGCTGGCTGGACATGCTCAGCATGGAGCCATCGTGCAGCTCGTCTTGATCGGGATCCTGGTCCCCCTCATCGTCGCTGGCTCCACGCAGCTGATGCCCACAGGAAGCCGAGTCGCCAAAGTCGTCCTCGCTGGGCATGAACTGAACGTAGGTGTGAAGCTGCATGAGCAGGTGGTGCTGCAGCATCCACAACACCATCTGAGCGAGGATGCCCTGCCGTGCCGGCTGCTGTAGGGGAGTGGTCAAATGCCCAATCGATGTGGGCAGTGAGAAGTCGGAGATGACCTCGAACAGGGACATGCCAGCAAAACGAGTCGAGAACTTCTCCACCAGGTGCGACTTTGTGTGCAGCGGGGCGTCTGGCGCAATCACATACACATTCGTCTCGCACAACGGATAAATGATGGTGGCCTTGGCCCAGTAGACCAGGTGCGAGACAAGCTTGTAGACATGCTCGATGCTTAGGTCCGCGTTGGAGGCCATACTCTGGAGGCTGATCAGCGGATTGTAGGCGTCCACCAGCTGCCACAACATCCTGGCCCCCGTAGGTGGGACACAGTCGAGCAGCTCCGCAAAGTCCACCAACAGGAGCATACCATGGTACGGCTTGAGTGCCCGCAGACAGCGATCTATCGTCTCGGGGTCCACCATGCTGCCCTTCTTGTGCAGCTGATGAGCCTTGGCCGGCAGGCAGAAGCAGAGCGTCAGATTCTGATTTAGTGAGGTGCTGAGTAGGCCGGTGGTACACAGATCATGGAATATAGACTTGAGGGCTTGCGCCAGGCTGCACCTCTCCGCAATCAGCTCGAGGGTTCTCTCCAACGGCTGCTGTTGCTGCTCGTCGTGTGTGCGAGCCATGTGGGCCGTCTGCTCCGTAAGATAGCCGCTGCGTTGTTCCTCAAACTTGAGTGCCAGTCCCAGGCGTTTGCTTAGCTCGTGATAGCACTTCACAATCGAGTAGCTGGCCTGGGCATGCAGCGCAAAGACAATGTTGATGAGCATCTGTTGCTTTTTGACAGACCCGACGGTGGCTGAAGCGGTTGGCACGGGATTGGCAGTGGCCCCACCGACTGAAGGCAGCGATATGCTGCTGCTGGCATTGCTGGGCCTTTGCTCCTTATGGGGAATCAGCGTGGGATGGCTCACAAACCTAACATCGTTCAGCTTCAGCTCGAACTTTTGGTTGCACAGCTGCGGCTTGACGGCAAAGAGAGCGGACAGGACCTCATCGGCAAAGCCCTGCAGCTGACCCTGGCTGATATGTGTGGGCGTCTGGAGTAGATCGTCAGTGTTGGCGACGGCATAGGGATTTCGTTTTCTGTAGGAGCAAAAGGCATTGAAGTGGAGTTCAGATGTCGGCAGCAGTGGCCTCCTGACCTGGACTTGCGCTGCTCCTCCGTGGGCACCTCGGTTTGCCCCAAAGTCTGATACGGATACCGATACAGCAGGCGATCTCCCTTGCTATCAAAGTAGACCAGGATCACCGCCAAAGGATTCACATTCGCCTCCATCTCACCAGTATGACCACGAAATTATCGATAAAATATACCGTCAGACCCTCGGAAATATTCCCATTCTAAAATTGTACCATAAATATACCTTAAATCTTAAATCATTTACCTCGACTTTGATTTTCTGTTAAATATTAATAGCTAGTTGGGATTCACAGCTCCATCAACGTAAGAGGGGATGTACAAAATGTATACATTTCCTACGTTGCATACCATACTTTTAGTTTTGACTTACAATGTAAACAATACAACAAAAGCGCTAAAACTAGCCAATCTTGTGGTAATTTTATATACAATGGATTACAATTATAACTACATGGCTGAGGGTCTAAGAGGGGCACTTAGGACACAACCGAATATAATAAAAATGTACGAATTGTAGTAATTTGTGGTAATATCTTCTTTTAAAATGACAAGAATACATTTAGAAAGCAGTATTATTTTCTATGGTTTACTCATGGGTTAAGTTCGTTTTTTTTCTCAGTATATTTACTTACTAATTTGAAAATGAGAAGGTATTTTCGGAATACGGTCAGGCGGTATATTTAATCGATAAATCCGCGGTCACACTCGTGCATTAATTAAACGCGTGGAAATTGTGCTTAAAACAACAAAATAAATTGAGGAAAATAGTTAAAAACATAGTATGCGATGGCGGCAATCGCATCACTATGAAATTTAACTGTGAAACGTGTTAGTTGGGCTCTTAAATGCAGTTTTAGAAAACGATTTCTTATTAGCGTGTATGAGAAGAGGAAAACAGATACAATGTGAGAAGCAAAATACGCGCTGAGCTTAAGAGCAAGCGAGATGTCGCTAAACGTGTACTGGCAGCGGTCTATATATACATATGCACATGAATATAGTATTTGTGCCAGTGTAGGAGGAGTATAGGGAATTGTACAAAAAATATAGTTTGTTTGCTTGTGGTTTACGTTTTTAAATTACTTTCATAGTTTATATTGCTAATAGATGGACAAAAAGGTTGCATTTCCATACAGAGTATTGCACCGTTATGGTGTATTAACTGTTTTGTCACTCAGAAAATGTTGGTTTTTTTTTTTGGCCGTGTGGGTAATGTGAAAAGTTAATAATAGCTAGTTAGTTAATTTCACTTAACTACTTTTCTTTTGTGTATATGTGGTCTAATATCCGTATGTCGTGTGTATAGATTTTACACATACCGAAATATGTGCGTGCGTGTGTGAGTGTCGACGAAGAGACGGAAAGGCGAAATCGAAATGTACGTACAGCATTTCGGAATGGCCAGGCACAGTAATAATAGGCTAAAGAAAAGAAGCAGTGCAACACAGAAACGAAGAAGAAGCAGGGCAGCTAGCGAACAAAATAAAATAGCCGATAATAGGCAGTTGGCAAGACTCTGTCACACGTCAGAACAGGCACGCTAGCTGTAGTCATCGATGTATGTTTAGCTATCCCGCTCAGACGCACACAATTTGTGTCATCCGTGTATGTGTTTTCCTCATTCTTTTTATCATCTTCTTATGCCATACGGTATTAATAATAATAAAATTAATTAATCGAAGTAGAAACATTTTGTTTTGTGCAGGTACTAAACGTTCCAAACAGCGCCGCGAAATCTTTTGAGTGGTACGCATCGAAAATGTTCAAAAGAACTACAAACAAGTGCCCAAGTGTATGCAAATTGTATTTGTTTTGTAAAAAGCAAACGTGAAAAGAGTTTTGTGCGCCAAATACGCAAAAGTTTGAAATCAAAGCTTGCCGTCGAATTAAACAGAGTTGTGAAAAATGAAGTGAGCCTCCAATGAACAAAATAAACGGTGAGTAAAGCGTTAATAACCAAGTGTAAGAAATGCGCGCCTTAACCGGAAAAAGTGCTGTTATTAGGAGAGAACCGTCCGTGGGCATTGCCAAACAGTATATTCTTGCAATGAATCATAACCTGCACTTGTTATACAGCTCGTTGGTTAAATGCAAATTTGAGCGGGTTAAATATTTGTTGATGCATTTCTATTCACTTTTCGCATACCGTGTCGCCATTTTTGATTTTGTGTTTCTCCCCACGGCAGTGCATATGTCGTGCTCTCTCGCACTCATGGGTGCCTTCATTTGTTTTGCTTTCGATTCTGCTTTGTGCAGCGTGAAGCTGGATGTGCCCAAAATAGAGCTCCACAGAGTTGGCAGCCCCGCGCATATGGTTAAAAACATTGAAATTTTCGTCATTATAAAGTTGTTTGATTCATATTAAGTGCAAGTGCGACTAGGCCCTTAACACAAATGTTAAGCAGTCACACCTTCAATGCATTTGCCACACAATATGTATTCCTATTTGTGTATTTCTTGTTTTCGTCGCTTTGACATGCGCATCAGATCGCATGCCCATTTAAACTTGAAATATATTAAAAAACTAAAAGAAGTTCAATAATATAAATAATTGCAAGTCTGTATTGCACCACAGCCGCCATGTTGAAAGTGACGTGATCCAATATCCATAATGTTAGAACGCGACGTTAGTCGCTTAGATCTCATTTCCCTTTTCTTTCATATTATTTTCGTCAAACGTTTTATTGCGTGTTCTCACAGTTTTCCCGCTCGTACGTCCTGAAGTTAGCCGCAGTCGCATACGAGTGTGTGCGTGTACTAGGGGCTAGGTAGTATGTTTGTCCCGCTTCTGCGCACTGGCTGTTACTGTGTTTCTCTTTACGCATACGTGATTTTTGCAATTGTTATTTATGTCTTGCTCTCTGTACGCGCGAATTTTCGCCACAAAATGAAAGCAAAAGTTGATAGACGAGTTTTTATGGTGCGCTTATTTTTCCCCTGCGCAGCACAGAACTAATGTACAATTGCGAATGTGAGGAAACGGAATAGGAAGGCATTCAATAATTCCAAGGGCTGTCACATACCCAGGTTACCCAAGACCGCCACCCAACTCCCGCCAGTTTGTGCCGTTTCGTGGGAGGTCGCCTCTCTTTTTGACCAATTGGTATTTCATTGATGTATTGGAGCATGTTCCGTTGCATTGTCAGGCCAGCCCACATTGCTCAACACTGTCCACATGCAGGCGCAATGTTGTTGGCGCCTGAATAATTCAATCCCATGAAATTGATCGATGTTTGCAAATACAGGGAAGTGGCAATAAATTAACTAAGACGCAAATAGTTGAGAGTACAATTAGCCAGCAGCACCCCCTGAGCAGAGCGGATAGGTGTTTTGTGTGGGTTGGGTGGTCGGTTGTCAATGAAAGTACAGCATGGCAATGCCAATACGTTTGTAATGCGCTAGTGCTGGTATTAGTGCAGTCACGTAGGCCAATCAGATAGAGGTGTTTGACTATTCCGGCGGTGATATAGAGACCGCTGCCTATCCCAATTATGTACTATATGTATGTACCCATTCGCTTTTCCAGAATAAGCTTTCGTATCTCCTCTTTGTGTTTGTTTTATTTCATCTGGTCGCTGCAGCAGAACCATGGCAACGACAACGCGATGAAAGCACCGCAGCGGTCAGTACATGCATACATGTGTATACATTTGATTTGGTGTGCGTGTGCTATAAGTTTTCAGCGTGCATTTCATGCACGATTTTACAAGCCGGCTCTCTCGCTCACTCTCACGGTCGGTAAGTTATTTGTAGGTGTGTGTGGGTGTCCGTGTAATTTGTTTATGGCGCGTCTTTCAGTTGATGGCTGTTGTTGCTGGGGTTGGGGTAGGGTTAGCTTTTGCGTATGAACAAGATATGTATGTATGTACGCACACTCATATGTCTATGTGCACAGCTCTGTGGTTGATTTTACCTTCTTCCCAATGATTATTCTGCTGTTAGAATGTGTAAAATTTGTTTCGTTGCTTCTTCACATTTCATTCTCTGGTTCATGTGTGTGTGAGAGAGCTTGTGTATTTTTAAATAGAGACGTTGTATGATACACACACACAAACAAATTTGTCTAAAGATTTTTGTTTGCATGTGTGTAACCCAAATCAAAATGTACTGAAGCTACTGATTCCCCCCAGTTCCTTTCTTTGAGATGAAATTATGCTTTCTTAGTTCGGGCATACATTATTGCTTGCTCGTAGTTATTATGTTAATCGTAACCCAAAATTAAACGGAAATAGAGGGAGGAGGGCAACTGCAATACATATGACTTCGTTGGAGATCTATCCTAGCTATAAACCATAGAGATTATATAATCCTCTTTCAAGCTTCGACTAGTACTTTCGTTCCGGGAATTTACATAGTTGTATAGTAAGTATAAGTATGTATAGTATGTACAGTATAGTATGTACAGTATAGTATGTAGTATGTATGTACAAATGTAGGAAATAAACTGAAAGGTTACATAAGCTCATTGACAGTACTTTCTGATTTCTCTTTTCGTTGATTGTTCTTGCTTCGTTTCGCGTAGCCAATTCGATTGGGGAACAAAATGCGCCTGCCTGGCTCTATATCAATTAGAAATTATATCTAATGCCAGACAATAGGCGCAAATTGGCACCGAACACACGCACACACAAACACACATTTGCGGGTTTTAATACGAGTCTGCATGTGTGTGGGTAGAGACAAGTGCAAGCAGAGAGAAACAACTTGTAATAGATACAAAAGAAAAAAACTAGCAGTGAATGCCGCGCCGCGCCGGATGCCAAGGCAAAATTAGTGCATTCACTTTTTGCTTTGCTTTGGCATGCGAATGGCGAGGCGAAAGGAGAGCTGGCAAAAAATATTAAATTGGAGGAATGGATAGAAAAAACATTCCAATGGTATGTGTGTGTATTTGTGCATGGGAGGGGACCCAAAAGAATTGACAAAGAATAGTTTGAAGGGAAAGAAATCGGATTTTAAAATCGATTTCAAAGTTCTTGTTTGTTATTGCGCGAGTGTTGTGTACTTGATGATCTTCATCGTACTGCTACGCTAGATTTAGCAAAACGCGTATCGCATGAAAATTTGTTAGTGCCTGCAACAAAAAGATAAAAACGGGTTTTGTTCAAGCTATATGAACAAGTGCTAAATGTTGTTGGTTTTTGCATTGCACTGACGACGTCCCTTACTCTTTACTTTGGCGCTCCTTTCGACATTAGTTCTGCTGCTGCCGCATTCAAGTTTAAAGCAAGTGCAGCAAAGGCGAGGTAGCAGCAGCATAGGCAACCACGAATCGCGTTCCAAAGGGGAACACGAAAAATCTCGCACAATAGCACGCGCGTGTATTGCTGTTTTCAATGCGCAATGCGCATGCGTATTTTTGGCGCCCGTTGGCAGCACTATGCATCTGACTTGTTATGTTACATAACGCGATTTCGGATTGCATTTGGCAATGCCGCGCCTAAATCTTAGAGATGGGTGTACATATTATCGATAAGTACTGGAGCTTTCAATTGTTTACAAATGTTTTTTCCTTTTCTTTTTTTTCAGCAACAACGAAAGAACGTTTATGTAAAATACATTATACCAAACGGATAAGAAGTCGAAACATACAACGACGGAAAACGAGATTAACTGGAGATAATAGTGGGGGCAAAGCAGCAACGGAAGAGGCAGAAACGACGACGCTGAAGAATATCAAATCGCGCACAGTTATGGTTGTAATGGCTGACAATGTAATGTGGCACAGTGTTGGACACCGTCTATGCAATTCGAACGCGCACCACCAACCATTACCGTTAGGAGCCAGTCAGCAGCAGGCCAGCAGTGCCATTGCCAGTACCAGTAGCAGAGCCGGGGACGAAGAAAGCATTTCTGGTTATGCATTAAGCCCCCAATACTTTGGGGGCACACCGAACCAGCTACAGCTACAGCTCCAGCACCAGCAGCAGCATGACTGCCTTGTCAGTGAAGTAGTGTTGTGAAACGACAAAACGCGAATCGAACTCCACTAAGCGAGTAATCTGAACTTAAAGAAGTCCCTCTCTACACAAAAATAAATATAATTTTAGCTAAAAAGCGATCTAAACGCAACCCAGAACCCAAAAGAATCATGCCCACGCACGACACAGTATTCGTGGAGCCAGCCGTTAGCAGCAGCAGCGGCGGCAGTGGAAGTGTCAGCAGCACGAGCAGTAGCAGCAGTAGCATCAGCCGGGTCGGGGGTGGGCCTCCGCACATTGTCATCGATGGCAGTAGCCTGTCTACGCAGGCGCAGCTGCAGCGCATCATGCACCGTCGAATGTCGATTAGCACACGCCAGATACTCAGTGCCAGCCAAAGTCTGCCCCAGCCTCCACCCTCCTCTCAGAAATACGCCGTGCGTACCACAGCCGCGGGGGCCGCAACGGGAGCAGGCGGTTCTACGCAGGAGCTGATCAATCCCCAGATCTATAAGATTGTGACCACTGACGGTAGCACCAGCAACGTCATTATCGATGCCGGAGCTGCTGCCCCGCCACACAATTCTAAGCTGCTTCTCAGCAATCTCACGGTCCTGTCCAAGCAGGCGCCTGGGACGCCTGGCACCCAGCAGCAGCACCAGCTCAATTATATGGGCGCCAAGAATTTGCCGTATGTCACGGCCTCGCCCGCAAAGGGACTGCAACAGCAGCAACAGCAGCCCCAGAAATTCGGGAGCATCAGTGCGTTCAAGGCGCAACAGCAGCAGCAGCAGAACCAGCAGCAGGCCACCTTGCAGAAGGTAACGCTGGGATCCCGGGTGGCCACCCGCCTGCAGTCGTATGTCCCAGTTAGCCAGCACTCGGCGAATCCGCCTCAGATAATTGTTCAGCCGGCGCAGCCCAAGTATGTGAGTGCCACGGCGACGACTGTGGCGAATGCAGCGCTCCTGAAAAAGGCCAATCAGAAGATCACGGTCAAGAGCATGGGCAACATGCTGCAGCAACAGCAACAACAGCAGCAGCAACAGCAACAACAAATGCAGGCACAACAGCTGAAGAACTTCATTTCTCTCCACCAGCAGCAGCAGCAACAACAGCAGCAGCAGCAGTCCTACAAGGCAGGAACCAAGACAAAGTTTGTGAAACAGTCAACGTCCCTGTCTATAGCTGCCCTACCGCAGCAGCAGCCGCAGCACCAAACGAGCTATGCCAAACAGGGAATGTCACTGTCGACGCCAACGAAGGTTACCAAACTGAACAGCAAGTATGTGCAGCAACAGATAAGTTTGCCGCAGGGTACGCAGCTTCAGCAAAAAACATCAGCGACGAATACCACGGCCGCCGGATATCTGTTGCAGCAGCAACAGCAGGGGCAGGGCCTGGGTACGGGACTAACGACCACTGCTGGCACCATAAAGTTTGTCAACTCCCATGGGACCGTCATCCAGCAGCATCCCCAGCAGCATCAATTGCAGGCGTTGCAGAAGCGAACCCACTACAACAGCAGTGGCAGCAGCGACAACGAGCAACACTTGGACAGGACTTCGTCCTCGCTGGTCACCGACGACGTGGTGATTGTCAATGGCACCCAGATGACCGACGAGCTCTCGGCTCGCATTCTACAGAGCATGGCCCAGAAGTCCTACAGCCAGCAGCAGCAGCGCTTTCATCAGACGCCTGGTAGTGGCAGTGGCAGCACCCAAATGCCGCCACCCACCCAAATATTATATAGCAGTAGCAGCAGCAACAACAGCAGTAGCAATGGAGGTGGGGTGACAGTGGCGAACAGTGCAGCATCCCCGTCGGGTGGAGCCAATCCTGCTGGAAATCTACTGCTGACGCACTTCCAGACATCTGCGAAGGTTACGTCTCCCTCGTTTCTAACTGTGGGGGCGAATCCTCCCGTCAGTCTAGCTAGCACACCTTCTGTTAGCATATCGTCGCATGGATTTGCAAGCGGCAGTGCTGCCATATCCTCGTACATGTCATCTGCAACGGCGGCGAGACGTCAGTCCGTGAGTGCGCCCAGCAGTCGGGCAGCTTCCCTGGAGCGAAAGCAGCAGCAGCACCACCAACAACAACAACACGATGCAGCGATAGGCAGTGCACGCAAAGCACCCACTGTAATCGAGTATTACAACAAGCATGGGTAACTTACTTTTTTTGTTTGTTAATTATAAAGATGTATTGACTTGGCATTTTTTGAGTATTGCAATTGGGAAGTTGATAGAAACTATCGCGATGTGGCGATAGATATTAATGTTTCTCGATTCACTCATCGATAACTGTCAAACTTCATTTGTCAGTGTCTAATAGTAAATATTTATATTCTACTTTGCAGCACCGGCAACAGCAGCATAATCACTAGCAGCAGTAGCAGCAATAACCAATTGGGAAGCAGTCAAATGGGAAGTACAATGGGCAAAGCTGGAAGCACAATAGGAATCTTTAATGGCAGCAATCGCACCAGCAATGGACCATCGACCATCACAGCACTGAATATTCCAGCGTCGCCTGTTCATGTACAGCCCGTTAGTGCCACAAGTGTCTCTGAAGAGGGGGCATCGTCCTCGCCTGCGGCAGCAATGAAGGCCACTCCTCCAAACATGCAACAGCCGCAGCATCAGCAACCGCAATTGGGTCCGAACCAGGATGAGGATCTGTTCATTGAGGAGGTGCGTCCAGTGCCCGTGCAGACCCAGGATCTGCGTTTGCAGCAGGTGCATGCCATCACTCAGGATCATACCTACGCCTCGCAACAGCAGCTGCCACAGCCACAGCAACAAACACAGGCGGCGGCAAATACAGTGGCAGCTTCAACTGGTTCGGGATCGGCACAACCGCAGCAATGGTCGCTGGGCGGCATTGGAGCTACAGTGGCCGGCGGGGCAGCCGCACCTACACCCACAGCCGGCGGTTATGGCACTTATGGCGCCTATGGTCAGCAGAGTGAGTAAAAGCTACAAAGATACTTTCGAAGAAGATTTTGTTTATACTCGAATCGTTTGCAGTTGCTCGCCATGTTCACGCCACGGACGATGATGCACACTCGGGTATCAGCAGCAGTTCTCGCTTGGGATTGGGATTGGCCGGCATCGATATGGATCCGGGCGAAGAGACGGAGACAGCGCCCGAGGCTGAGGCTGAGGATGATTCCGTCACGCGCTGCATTTGTGATTTGACCCTCGATGATGGCTACATGATCTGCTGCGACAAGTGCTCGTAAGTTGCATAAACTTCCGTTTCAGAAATCACATAACCACCTTAACCGATGTCTTCTAGGGTATGGCAACATGTGGACTGCATGGGCATCGACCGCTCGAACATTCCCGAGTTCTACAAGTGCGAGTTGTGTGAGCCACGTGCTGTGGATAAGGCCAGGGCCAGGGCATTGCAACGACAGAAGCGCCGAGAGCAGATGCTGTTGGTGGCAACGCAGGCGGCAAATGGAGCTGCCGCTATTGCAGCGGGTACTGCAGTGGCTGGGGGCATGACTGGAGGAGGAGGATTACTTTCCTCTGGAGCTGGAGCTGGTCTTGCCATTTCGGAGGACAACCAGCAGCAACATCGTCTGACATCGGGTCTGAATGGAGGATATGCCGCGGCCACTGGCATGTCGAAAAAGTCCAAAAAAACAAAAGATGTCACCACGGGATCAGCTTCGCTCAAGAAAAACAAAAAGAGTGGTGGAGGAGGCGCTGGGGGTGACAAAAACAGTAGCCTCAATCCCAGTGGCGGCGGCGGAAAGACCAGCAAGAAGAGCAGCAAACGCAAGTGCAAGTCAGGCGGCGATGGAGCTGGAGGAAGCGGCAGCAGTCCCGCTCTGACAGCGGCCGAGAAGCATGCCGCCAATCTGCGGTTGTGGATCGAGAACTACGAGTACGCGGTGACCAATCATTACTCTCCCGAGCTGCGGGCTCGCCTGCATGCCATACAGAAGCAGCCGAGCCTGCTGCAGAGCATCCAGAACACGGAGAACAAGGCCCTGCGACAAATCCAGATCTCGAGTGCCGCCAGCGAGCTGGAGCAGCGGGCCCAGCTCATACCCTATGCGGGGGCCAAGGTGCTTATCAGCAGCGTCGACATCTTCCCGCACGCGCCCATCCACGAGCTGCGCGGCAAGTACATGCTCACCACCCAGTTCCGAACCCAGAATCCCACCGTCAACATGAACACACCACCGCCCAGTAACTATCTGAACAGCTTCAAGGCCCACAAGACGCCTGGACAATTTGTGTTCTTCTATCAGCTACCCGGCGTGGAGGCTCCCATGCAGACGCTGCGCCCGGACGGAAGCTCACCGCATGAGCAGCAGCAACCGCCCGCCTATCTCAAGGGCCCGGAGGTGTGCGTGGATACGCGCACATACGGCAACGATGCTCGCTTCGTTCGAAGATCGTGCCGACCCAATGCGGAATTGCAGCACTATTTCGAAAAGGGAACGCTCCACCTGTACATTGTGGCACTGACGCACATCCGAGCTCAGACGGAGATCACGGTGCGTCACGAGCCGCACGATTTGGCTGCCGTGGAGCACAAGAAGTCCCATGCTGCTGTCATACAACCGACGAGCACGCGATGCGCCTGTGACTTGGGAACCGATTGCCTTTTTGCACTGCCACTGGCCGTGCAGCAGCAACTGCAAGCGCCGCCCACTCAGCCACGGAGCAGTCATCGCAACAAGGCCTCAGCTGCAGTGGCGGCCAACAGTGCAGCAGCCATTCAACTGATGATGGGCCTGGGAGTGAGCACTGGTGCAGGAGTTACAGGAGTTGCAGGGCCCAGTGCCAGAAACCGTTCCACCTCGTCCAGTGGGGAGAGTAGCCACATGGGGCTCAACAGTCCGCAGTTGAGCCAACTGAATATTGGCTTTAAGCCATCTCCTGCTTCCGGCTGCACCCAGAACACGCCGCCTGTTGCTGCCGTCCTGTGCAGCAACAGCGGAGGCAGCAACAGCAGCAACAACTCCTGCTCGGTGTCCATGTCCAGTGTGCTGCACGACTCGGGCATCTGCACCTCGTCTTCATCGCCATCGGTCTCCATTCCATCTCCGACGCCCATCCAGCTCCAGTCACCAACACTGCAGTCGCAGCATCAACAGTCACAGATACAGATTGGAGCACCGCCTGCACAACTGTCCCTGTTGCAACGAAGTCCAACACAGCAGCAGCAACAGATTCTTGCTTCGCTGCCCACACCTATGTTACTGTCGCCTCAGTTGCAGGTGGTTGCATCGCCCCAGCAGCAGCAGCAGCAGCAACTGCAGCAGGTTGTCCTACCACCAACACCACAGAAGTCATCGCTGTTGCAGCAGCCACAGCAGCATCTGCCACAGGAGCCTCTGGCTGTTATAGCAGCAGCTGCGGCTGCCCAGCGACCCATGGCCACCTATTTTGTTCAGCAGCAGCAAGAACAATCGCCGCAACGCCATGTAGTACAGAAACTTGTGTCACCGCAACATCAAATGCCGCAGCAGCAGCAACAGCAGCAAGTGCAACAAACGTTTCTTAAACAGCAACAGAGACAGCAGCAGCAACAACAGCAAATGGCTGATGAAGCTCGAATGGCAGTTAGTGCACTGCAAACATTGCATGCAGCACCCACTTCACATATTGTGACGCCAATTAAAGTGATAGCACCACAGCAGCAGCAGCAGCAACAACATCATCAAATGCAGCCACAGACTCTGTTACAACAGCAGCAGCTGAATCAGCATCAACAACAATTGCAACAGCAGCACCAACAACAGTCACAGCAGCAGCAGCAGCAGCAGCAGTCACCACAACAGCCACAACAACAGGTCATCTATTCGACTATTCAGGTGACTCCACCAACCAAAGTACTCACTGTAAAGAGCGTTCCGACGGCTGCCAACAACATAAGTATTTCAAATTCTTCGCCTGCTCCAGTAACTGGCACAAGGAAAACTCCCATAAGGCAGCAACAACAGCAAGTAGCAGCACCAGCTGCAGTCGCAGAAACATCGCCGAAAGTTGAATCGAAAGAAGACGACGGACCCAGTGACTCGCCGCCTCCACGCACTGCGGCCAAGGATGGCAAGAAGCCATCGCGTGAGGACCGAAAGCTGGCGGCCATCATACGAGCTATTGATAACATGGAAAAGCGGGAGGCACGGGGTAAAAAGGAGACTCGCCAAAGCGGTGGCAAGCGGCAGGCGAGCAACTCACCTGCCTCGCCATGTGGCAAGCGACGTAGGTCCATCTCCATCAGCGAAGATGCCGAGACTCCAACGGGCATCAATTTGGGTGTAACGCCGCAGCGCAGAAACCGACGGAAGCGTAATGTCAGTCGCAGCTACAACAACAACAACGGAGGACTGAACAACAAGCGCAGAAAGAGTGTCCTCTTGGAGTCCGATTGCGACTCGCATGCGCTGACCAACTCAGAGTCCGAGGATCACGTGCAGCAGCATCCACACCATCAGACAGTGGATCAGGCGGCTGGCCTACTTTTGTCTTTGGCACACAATACATCCGCGGCCAGCGATTCTTTCAAGTCGCCTACTTCACAGTCGCAGTCGCAAGCTCAGCAGGGCACTCCGGCATCCGTGAGCAGTGCTTGCCTGCTGATTGAGGCTGCCATGGGACCGTTGGAGCAGCCGCTGCAGTCGCCGGCAGCCATGTCGTCGCCCGCCTCCATGGGGGAGTTCAAGTACCCGCCAGGCGGTGCTAAAACCAAGAAGACACTTATGTCCAGCTGGTTCCAGCAGGCGGAACAGTGTGAATCGCAGCAGTCCGGGTTGGACAGCCTTGTCCAGGCGGCCATGTGTGAAATCAATGGCGAGAGAGAACAACTGCAGCAGCAGGTTCAATCTTCACCAGCGCCAGCTCTCCAAAAGGTGGAGCAGTTCATCCACCAGGCGGAATCGACTACGTCCGCAGCCATACAGGCGACACCTAGGGAGCACCTTCACCTCCCCCTGCAGAATAATTCATCGGTGAAGAAGCGCTGGCTGCGTCAGGCCATTAGCGAGGAGACAACCCCAGATCCAGAGGAGGGACTCCAGCAACAGCAATCGCCTGCTGCCGCCACGTCCGCACCCCAAATGCACGTGATCTCGCCGCTGTCTAATGGATTCAGTACGCCGCTTAAGAAGCGTCGTCTGGTGATCAGCAACGGAGCCACAGTCGCAGGCAATGTAGAGACAGATGAGCCGCATATCGATGTGATTGGTGATGCCAAGGATGTCGATGCAATGGAAGAGGTGGATGTTATTGTGCCGCTAAAAGTTGAGACGGAAACAGAGCTGCTGGATGTGCACAACCATAATCACAGACACAACCATCACCTGCATCACCAGGAGCAAGACGATGATGTGGACATATTGCGTTCGCCCAGTCCTGGTGCACAGCAAATCGTAGCCGAAGACAATCTGGTCAAGATCGAGCCTGAGGACACCAGTGCAGCGGCAGATGATGTTAAGATCGATGTGGAGCGTGAGGAGAGTCAGGCCTGTGACAAGTTCGAGGAGATGGTGAAGGTGAAGCGCGAGGAGGAGGAACGTGAGGAAAGGGAACTTCGCGAGACGCAGCTGCATCTGCAGGAACAGTCACAGCCACAGCTCCAGCAACAAGAAGAGCCAAAACTCGAGACTAAGGTTGAGGCTCCGAAAGTTGAGGCTCCGAAAGTTGAGGCACCACCAAAGGTGGTTAAGCCAGAGACGGAGGCACCCAAGTTGGAGCAACTAAAAGCTGAGCCCAAGCCGGGAGAGTCTCTACTGCGGAGTACAGCCATAACCACAGCAGTAGCACAAGCACCAGCTTCAGGAGGATCCATCAATTCCCGTCCGCTAACCCTTAAGGTGAAGGAGGATCAGCCAAAGAAACCAAAACAGGAGCCGCCTACACCACCTTCAACGTTACAGCCTCAGCAGCCCTCCTCAAAGCAAGCAGAAGTGGCCGTGACCACATTGCCTACCGTTGCATCAGCAGCAGCATCAGCGGTAGCAATTCCAACACCAATAGCTGCACCGGCAGTGCCAGCTGCAACTGCATCGAACAGCAGCACAAAAAGTCTCACCGAAATCGATATCCAGGAACGTTTGCTGTCCTTCCATGAGCAGAACATTTCCTATTTGCAGTCAAGGAATAAGAAGGCGGCAGCAGCTGCTGCAGCAGCGGCGGTGGCGGTGGCATCATCATCATCGACAACGTCCAGCAACAAGAGCAGCAGCGGCAGCGGGTCAGAGACCAAGAAGTCATCATCCAAGGAAAAGGATGAGAAGCGCGAGAAGGACAAACAGCCGAAGAAGTCCAAAAAGGAGAAGAAAAAGTCTAAGGATAAGGATAAGCAGAAGGCTGCAGCCACTCACCCGGGAGCGAATGTAGTTGTTGAACAAAAGAAGAAACAGCAGCCACAGGCATCCCCACGTCCGGATTCCAAAGCCTCCCCAGCTATTGCTCCAGTTTTTGCCCCAGTTACAGCAGCAGCAGCAGCTCCCAATCTTCCGGTGGCCACAGCCAATGGAAAGACAAAGCACATCCCACACACACCCAACAACAGTGTGGAGCAGCAGCAGCAGCAACAGCAACAGATGCGTCGTCGCACCATGTCCATGTGCGTGACACCAGTCACCCCGGCTCTGGCAGCGCTTCCCCCCTCATTGCTGACTCCGGCTCCGACCAAGAAACGCCAGACTAACTTTGAGCAGGAGCTGACCAAACCGAACAGCCAGATCCTGAGCAGCAGCATTCTGCTGAACAGCAGCAAGGCCCAGGGCACTCCCACGGCTACGGCCATAGCCACAGCCGCTCCGATGGTCGTGCAACAGCAGCAACACCGGAAGGAGAACAATCATCATGAGGCGAATCCCGGTGGTGGTCCAATGAGCCGGCCTGCGGCCGTCGCCAGTGGAAAGCTGCCCAATATCAGCCGCAGGCGGGAGTCCATGTGCGGGAGTCGTCAGCAGCAGGTGCTCTTCCAGGCAGCACTTTTGAGCAAGAAGGAAAAGAAGGAAAAGAAGTCGAAGAAGAAGGATCGAGAGAAGCGAAAGGCGGAGAAGCAAAAGAGCAAGGATAAGGAGCGCGAAAAGGAAAAGGAAGGCAAGCTAAAGGTCAACAATAACATTCAACAGAAGCCAGCCACTCCAACTGCAACTGCAACTCCAATTCCCATTCCCACTGTGGACTCACACGTTGCTCCAACTCCAACGCCAACGCCGACGCCAAAGGCTGCCCCCATTCCAGTATTGATTACGCAGCCCAATCCAGCGCCCAAATCACCACAGGGATTGGCTTCCAAAATGCAGCTGACCTATTACACCTCCATCTACGGCAAGGCCCATGAGCCGCCACCAGCCTGCAGTAACAGCAGTAGCATCATGCCCAGCCTGGCCGAGTACCTGGCCTCCACAAAATCAAAGTCGGCAACCACACCTACGGCCACGCCCTTGCCCATGCCTGCGCCAGGGTTTCCCAGTCTGGCTGTGGTGAAGCCTAGTCCAGGAGCAGCAGTCACGCCTGTCTTGTGCGCGAGTCCCGTCGTTACTTCGCTGGACATGCCGCCGCCAGCCACTTCTCACCTGAAGATATACACGCGCACCGCCAATTGTGATCCTCGCCTGAACCCCATGCTTACGCAGCCGGAGCCCGCTCCCATGCCCAAGCGTAAGCTCTCAATCAGCGAGTATCGCATGCGGCATCGTCCGTCGGTGGATACGCCCAGTCCCACCACTCCAACAACGCCCAGCTCCATTAATATTGGGTTTGCACAGCCGCAGACAATCAATAAGGGTGCGCTGCAGTCGCCGGATCGTTTCCAGGCAGCAATGCGCGAGCGCCGCAACTCGATTAGTGTACAGCAGCATCACCAAAACAACATCAGCAGCAGCCTTAACACTAACAACACCCCCAGCAAGGGAAGTTCCAGTGTGACTGGAACTGCGATTAATACTGGCAGCAGCAGCAGCAGCCTCAAGAATCTACAGCAAGTGCAAGGTGTTGGCATCTCTGGTGGAGGACCGATTAAGAAGCTACCGTCCGCTGACACTACTTTGAGCAATGTAAACATAATGCTGAGCACGGCTCAGAAGCTAAACCTGTTCGATGGCAAGCTCAAGATGGAACCGAGGGCGAATCCTGGCACTTCTACCAAATATCAGCTTATCCCTGGCGCAGGAGGACACTTCAATGCGGCACCCACGCTGCTCGAGCAGCAGCAGGAGAAGATTAGCGAACGCTCACGCTTCATGCAGCGAACCATTTCCTGCGACTCGCGGGTGACTGAGCGGAGGGGCGCCTCTGGTGGCCCGATTTCTGCGAAGGTCAATGAGAAGGTGACTGGCAGCGGGAGGTAGGCTGGATGGCATCTGAAACGACGGGTAAGTGTTGCTACTGAGATTTTCAAAAAGGAACGGGACTTTCAACTACATTTAATCCACAGAAAATCGTAAGAAACAATCGACCTAAAACGGAAATCAAGAAACTCCAACAAGAACAACGATCATGAGAAATTGCTGACGAAATCAAATAATTGTCCACGTTACAGACTCGCTTTTCTTACACAAAACCAACAATAAACAAAACTCACTTTTTTCAATTCAGAAAATCAAAGAACAAGATCCAATACAATCCAAACTCAATGTAAATAATGAATCGGAATAGCTTGCAAAGCAAACAAAAACAAAACAAGAAATGAAAAGAAACGTAACTAGAAGAAACACTTTTTGATACACTAATTAGTTAATTAATAGTCTCGTTTTTTGTCACAGCAAAGAAGCCAATTCTATTACTTATCGAGAAAGAAACCAACAACCTACTATATACGATATATATATAGCCCTATATAATGATACTGTATAAGAATTAACTTACTTAGAATATAGTGTAGATTAGGCGGCGAAAACTGAAGTTATTTGAGACGTTAGGGATACCCTTCTGGCATCGTTTCGTTATTAAATATGTATTTAAGGCCCTAAGTTGACTCAAGCCAAGAGACGAGTTTCAATAAACCCATAGAGGAAGCAGGAGAGCCTAAAGCTGTGAGCGAGCAAGTGGGGGGGAGATTCTCCCATTCTGTTTGATTTACTTTCATTTTACCCATGGAATTACGTTTAATTTTAATAATAAACAAAAACGAAATATCAGCTATTAAAATAGTTTAACATCATATTTACCCGATACCGATACCCGAACACACACTGAACAGAACATAACAAAGAAACACCCAGAAAAAGCCAATGTAAATAATACTTTTAAACAAACACTCAAACAGCAAAAACAGAGAGAATAAAAAATGCAAACCAATCTGTTATCGACACGATGCACATACAAACGTAAATAATGTTAAATATCTGTATATACCATAGAATATATGTACATCTTGATCATATTATAAGCGCGGATATGACGACGTGTACCGTGTATCGCACCGCATATTATAAACAAGTTATACAGTACAGCGTAAGTTCAACATTGAAAAAGAGTACAAAGCGAGGTTTGATTGAGCGACCGAACCGCGATTACAACGTGTATATACAGGCAACAGCTGATCAACAAATTTCCGAAGCCATTTAAATATTTTGAATTACTTTTTTTTTACATTTTAAAATTCTAACACCACCACCAGTAAAATTATTCCTAAAGGTTAAACGTTATTTGTTCTAACAAAAATATGTTTAGTTTTTATGAACAATTTTTAGCCAAAGTAAATTAGCAGAAAGTAATTTATGGTTGTGCGCCATAAGGAATCGAAATCAATTCTGATCTATGCTTACCAACGGATGTGTCTCATGATTTTCTTATATTTTCTAATCACTTAATAGTCTTTGATACATGCTTTGCTGTAGCATTATATTTGGATTTTCATTTACATGTATATTAATACTTTTTGGACTAAAAAAAAAACGCACACTACGAAAACTTTTAAATGGCAATGGCAAAAATTTTGGCTGTACAATGTACAATTCATTAACTTACTTATTTTGACCCTGTGAATACATTTTTTTGTTCATAAGAAGATATGTATAGATTTTGTAACCGTTTAAAGGCAAAATTCAAAAATTATTTTAAGAGCGCGAGGTTCTTTCTTACCAATCTGTTTTACGGACAAAGTGAAAAAAACTTACATACACATACCTTAAAAACTGTACATACGAATAAGAGGAGTGATCGTACACTTACCATTTAAGAGGATGGACAACTACAGTCTAATGTCGTTTTAACTTCTGTAAATATATAGATGATAGGTTTAGGATACATAACCGAAATGTGCTAAGCCGATTTTATAAAACGTATGTTGTTGATTTTTTAAGCGCTGTACCATAGAAAGAAACCATATAAAAAGGATGGTTGTAGATGTGGCCATCTACATATTGATAGGGGAAGAGTTCGTAATTAGTTTTCGTAATGAAATTTTTGATAGTTCTAGCATAAGAAACAAACAAAATTATTTATGACCTTTTTGAATGAAAACAAAAACATATTCGTAATCATTTTTACTTTACCTTTACATTCTTTGTAAGTGCGAATTTGAATTGTAAACATAAGCGATAAGCCTAGGGGTTTTAGCCATAAGTGAACTTGGTTTAACTGCTTGTAAATTAATACGTTAATTGTTTACTAAACACAACACAACACACACACAATCACGCAACAGAAGTCGGCAAACAGGCTTCGACTGTAAAATACATTACAAAAGAATTCGTAAGATTCTTTAACAATAAACAAACACAAAACCAGAAAAACACAAATAAAATGAAAATAAAATAAAAACATCCAAAATCTTTCTTTTTGAGGGGTTACTCGTCTTGTCCAATCGGTCGAGCACAAAAAACATGCCAGGCGCAGATCGGCCGCTCTTTTGGAATCGGCATTACTCAGCAGTATTATGATAACGAAAGATTCTTTAATGTTTAATAATTCGAACAAATTTCGGATGCTTTCAGTAATTTTTTTTTATTTCAAGGATTTCGTACAGTGCCTATCTAAGAATATTTTAATTTGTATATTACTAGTTTAGAAAATATTGGCTTTAACTAGGTGAAAAGTACTTAAAATACTAATAGCCAGCAAATATATAAATTTCTGTGAAACATTTTCGTATACTCTAGGGAAATATATATGTGTGTATATTTGTGTGACTTTCTACAGCTAGCTGGTTCCAGAACCTTCAAAAATATATCCTATTTATTTTATAGAACTCTTCTTCCTTACGCTAATTAAGGTAGATCATTTCTTACAATTTTATTTTCACAATTCATATACATATCGGTTGGTTATGCCCTCTCATCAAGAACTGAGTTACATATGTATATTTATGTGTATCAAAATAATCAAAAAATATTAAAATAGATAAAGATCATTCCAATCATTGCTAATTAAAGAAAATTATTTACAATTTATGTGGTCTGAAGTTCAAGAAGAGAAAATACATAGTACGATTACACTGCCGTATGCCTTTTATGTTCTCATAATTCAAATGGTGGTAAAAAAAAAGAATTGGCATTTGCCAAAGAAAACATGAACTTATGTATAAGATTTGTGTACTTACAAAACTGTTTCCGTGTGAGAAAGGGTGCGAAATGTAACCGATATGTAGCTAATAAAGCCCATCTTGCATGGCCCTCTGAGTTGACAAATTCAGTCGACTAGATTCCTATTGCTATGCTATACATATATCATAAGAAATTGGGCAGGGCCTGGGGCAGTTTCGGAAAGTTGCATCAGTCAGCATATATATTATTTCTGATGGGGCGGCTCACTCCCCTCACTTATAAACTTATGTAACAACTTGCAACTTGTAAATTCTTTTTAACATTACATGGTACTGATCACTCACTACACCCTGAAAACGGATACTTCATTGTTTCAGCACTACTACAACAACCAGAACACTTGTCGATGCTAGGACTTGTTGTTGTTGCAGCTATTGTTATTGTTGTTGTTGTACAAGTAAGGTATCAGATTGGGTTCGATTTCCAGCTGCTGTTTGAGAATCGAGCTCATCACGAACTCGGTGGAAACAATATGGCATTTGGGGTTTCCGTGCCTCGTCAGATCCGCACACAGATGCATGTCCGTGGGGCAGGTGACAATGATGTATGAGTCGGGCGCCTGAACATGGGATTCGACCACAGCAGCGCCGCTACGTCGCTTTGGCTCCACCTTGCCACCAGAGGACTCAATCATGCGAATAATTTCTTCGCGAGCCGGAAACACGTCTGGCGTCACATGGAAACATCTGCCCGCGAACAGCGTGGAACGCGTGGGAGCACACAGCACCGTATCAAGATTAAATTGTAGGTTCTCGTCGACTGGGATATGCTGTATTCGATACGGATCAGTTGGAACGAACCGGCCTGCCTTAGCACTCTCCACTATCCAGCTTGACTTGAGCACATAGTCCACGTGGCAGCAGGCCTGAATCAATTTGCAGGTTCGACTCTCTCGTGTCATCACCAGATGAGTGGCATCTGTGGGACTGTCCACAACAATTCCACCTAATATTCTGCAAATAAGAATGGTTTACCATATATCCTTTATAGTTAATTATTTTCAGTACTTACACCACAGCCTTTTTGAGTGCTTCAGCATCAGCAACCTGAGAGAATATGACCTTTGGGGGCTTTGTGGTTGTGGGGTACTCGAGGCAAACAATTTGTTCTGGCAGCTGCTCCTGCTGGAAAGAGTTCATCTTCTGGCGCTTCAGTTTCTGCTCGTTGCCATAGGGATCGGATAGATGACGCTTGACGCGCTCGTGAGCCTCCTGAGTCAGATTAATAGGTGCCTTCCAGGCAGCTATTGGGAAAATTAAAATCTAAATTTAGTACATGAATAAAGAAAGAAAATATTGTTTCAATTTACTTAGCAGATGGGCAACCAGGTTGCATTCGATGCGGAACGGAGCCACGAGATTATACTGCTGATACTTTGGATTTTCGTACTGCGAAAGGCCGCTCAAGTTGCCGATGCAGACATCGCTAAGCCACAGGGCATTGACCATGGGAATGTTCCACTCTTTGGCCGCATTGAACTTGTTGCCCTCAAGCTGCTTGCACACGACCACAGTGTTCACCTTGGAGAGGTACGAGGTGTAGATGGCCCCGCATTCCTCTGCCATCTGCTGCAGTCTTACCATCTCTTCGCCCTCGAATCCCTCTGAGGTGATGATATACCGCTCCAGCGGCTTGCGATAGCCAAACTGACTGGGGAAGGGCAAGTGGAGAGGCTGCCAGGGAGGCACCAGCTGCCGCTTCAGGCAAATGTCGCTCAGCCAGTAGGCGGTCACACAACGCTTGGCATCTCGCAAAGCCTGCATCACCACGCCGTGTCTCTGGGTACGACAGATGACATGCGTCACCCTGGGACAGTAGACGCGTTCGATGTCCCCACCGAACTGCCGAATAGTGTCCAGCCATATAGGCAGCTCGTCACTGTCCGTTTCGTCGTATTCTACAATATAGAAGGTGCAGCCCACCAGGAAGAGATCGGCGGGCAGCTTGAGGTTTGGATTGTGGCCGTAGAACTGCGGTATCGGTGGCTGTCCGGGCCGTGTTTGGATATAGCCATGCGGTGGACGCTGAACAGGTACGACCCCCACTCCCACGGGTATCTGTTGTTGCAGCTGTTGTGGCGATGGTGAGGAGGCCACAACAATCTGCTGCTGGACGAGATGCTGCTGCGAAACCGGCTGCTGCTGTTGTTGGGGAACACCGACAACTCTTCGCATTTGCTGCTGCTGAAGCATTTGTTGTTGCTGCTGCTGCTGCTGTTGCTGCTGAAGCATAAGCAACTCCTGTTGGGTTCTAGGTGGCCCTGCCACTCCCACTGCTGCTGCATTGTGCTGCTGGCCCATCATCCGGAGAGCACCAGCAGCAGACGGAGTCTCAACATGTTGTTGGGGCGCCAGTTGCTGCTGTGCAACCATCTGTTGTTGTTGCTGCTGCTGCTGTTGTTGCTGTTGCTGTAGCAACAATTGCTGCTGCTGCTGCTGTGTTGCCCCAGTCACCACCACCTGCTGGAAAATCTGCTGCTGTTGGGGCGCTTGCTGTTGCTGCTGTGTCTGACCGTCAGCCATTAGTTGCTGCGGCTGCGGTTGCACTCCATTGTTGCCCAGGCGGTTGCTCAGCATGTTTGCCAAAGCGGTCTTTGTCTTGAGGTTCATTTGCTGTGGCGTTTGCTGCAGCTGGCCATCCGGAGCTGGAGAGTAGAGGCGAAGGGTATTAATCTCGGGGTATCAGCTTTAACTTAAGTGCTACCTACCTGTTGTCATA